GGGGGGGGGAATAAAATAAATAAAATATGAATAAGAATAAGAATGGAAATGGAAATGGAAATAGAATAGAAATATAGAAATGGACGGATAGTCGTTTTGAGTATCTTATCTATCACGCGTACATCAATCTCCCTTTCTCCTTGCGATATAAATGTCAAACTTGCCCTTCTCCAACTTATCATCCAAGCTCCTTTCCGTATCCCTTTAAATAACGAAAATAGCTCTGAGCAATAAATAGATCCATGCCAAATCAAATCCTAATTGTATCCTGGCACGTTTCTGTAATATCTCTATGTACCGCTAAAACAGAGGACCAGGACTAGGCAGACACATAACGAACAAGAACCCCCTGCTGTAGCCGCTGTTCCATTGGGTTGGTGTCAAGTACGCATCCGCGCCTTCTCGAGGCCGGGCGTATCCACAGACTCTGCAATGAGCAGGTAACGGCATGTCCTCCCCTTATCATGGTGCTACAAGGATATATATACAGCTCTGATGTATTGATGTTATCCCAATGAAACAAAGTATGAAGTCACACAACGAAGCTTTGTAAAGTACAACTGAAGAAGCTGGAGGATAGTCTCGGATTCTTAGCAGAGATGGCAAGAAGCAGAGAGTAGATATCACATAGACCATAGAAAGTTGGGCAGAGCGCATGCATCGATATTCAAGTCCAACCAAACCACGGCCATCTGCTTATAACAATTGTTCTTCTTGTTTTAGTCGATAAAAAAAAAGGCACGTCGGAATTCTAGGAGCTGGGGAACGGGATTGGATATGCGAGAGGACGTGGAGGCGGTAATGTGGATGGTGTTTTTGGAAGCCAAACAGACCGCATGTGTTCCGTTATGGAAGCTTTCGTGAATTCATAACAGTGGTCAAGCCAGGTTTGCCAGTCCCAGTCAATCCATTCATGAAAATTCGCATGACGGTCCCAGCCCTGAGCCCAGCGCAGCAATGGAGATATGGGAACACCAGGAAGGTGTTTGGCTTTCCACTCAGGAGAACTGTTTGAAGGAGTTCGACCAATCCCACAATATCCAAAGTCAATGAGTACCACATGCCGATCCGCGCTATCCCTATCCAGCACAAGAACATTCCTTGGGTGCATATCTTTATGTATTATATTATGAGTATACAGTAAAGATTCTGCATCAATGATTGCCTTCAAAATATTTTGACGTTCTGACTGTGGATAGTAGGTTGGATTGAGATATTGCATCGAGATCCCAGGTACTTTTTCAATAAGGATTAACCGGATAGATCGTGAACAACTTTTATTTGGAATTGGCAGTTCAAGAGTAAAGGACCCATAATATCTTGGAATGATAGTTCCTTGAAGTGGATAAAGCAGTTGGTAGGCTGTGGTTTCATGAGAGTATGCTAGATCTGTATAGCGAAAAGGATCCGCATCATCTTGCTCATGATCAAAGTAAAGAGGGTCATAGAACTTAGCGACTAGATACTTATCAGTTGGTATCAAGTCTGATATATCTGGAGTCTTATCAACCATGTGGACAGTAACAAGTTGAGCACTGTGTTGATCTCCTATTCTGACAGGTTCAACAATCTTTAGTCGAATAGTGCCCTTTCCGGTCAATCCAGGCAATGGAGGGTGAAGTATGCAACGATCCACAGGATGCATACTTTCTCTTTCCCGATGGTCCTCATAAGATAGTATGACCTCACCAGTTGTGGGAGCAGGAGGAGTATGAGGGTGGATGCAAAACTCTTGCCCAGGAAAGTAAGGTAATGGCGGCTTGGACTCGTTGTATCTAGCACAGTAGGAAGCACTCAGCTGATAAGTCATGTTTGCGAGGTTGGGGAATTGGAAAATTAGAAGATTAGAAGATTAGAAAGCTGCTGATGGTGTTGGTGTTGGTGTTGTGGACGTCAAAATGAAAGGAACTTAAGATGTAAGCTCCACTGGTCCTGGACTAACCGGATTGGGGTGCTAGAACTATAATATAAGATTCTGAACACTATCAGCAGTGATGATAAATATATCTAATTGAACGGAGCGAAGCGGAGTTTAATTAACAATGTTTTACTGTGTAAATTTTTCGCTCAAATTTGAGTTGCTTTAGATCGCGTGCAGTGGAGATTTATCAACAGCAGGCCGCAATTGGTTCTGATGCCCCCTATTCTTACCCCTGAATTATCGACTTACCTACCTACCAACCTGCCTATCTACCTGCTCAATATTCAATCAATTGCTAATAGAATTGAGAGTGGTAGCTAGATTGCTAGGCTATCAATCAACCCGTCTGCTCAATATTCAATGAATGTCTATGGGAATAAACATCACTATATAGCTATCATCATCTACCTATCAATGCTGGCTTACTAGCTGACTATCTGCGTAGCTACATCATTTATTTTAATCACTGCTTAGATTGAATAGAAGTCAGTACTTGATTAATTTAAAATGTACTCAATAAAATCTCTAGATATGCGTTTAATGATGTATGACTATGTCGTTGATATGTTATTGCAGCCTTTCATATCTTCTAAGGGTTATTTATAATCTTAACTAGCTAGCAACACCATTTAGCCAGAACACCGGGGCGGCCTAACGGAGGTGCCAACATATGTGCAATCACTATTGATGAATGGCTAGTTATCAGTGAAATTAAGTAATTACAGCAGAAAAACATCTAACTAGTTACTTGACACATTCGTCACTCTGGGCTACGCTACCCCGCCACCCCACATCCTGTAACGCCGTATTTCTTATCCCCCACAATTCCACGCAGGGGTAACGGCCAGCCTGTTTCTCCACTTGGAGGTCACAGTCAAGCCCAGCAAAAATGTACGTCTCCGACTCCGGGCTGCTGTTACGCTGGAATCCGCCATCTCGCACAAACCGCAAATATCAACCTCATGAAAGAGTCCCTCCCCGTTCACCCAGCATCTCTCCCCCCCCCCCTTTTTTGCCCGAAACGGGCAGCGCATCGACTTCCTATCTGTCAGCAGAGTGGGCAATAGTTAGTCAGTTGAAGTTCCGGCTGAGACATCGAGAAATCAGGGCCAGATTTCAGACTCAGGACCCAGTCAAGAAATATCTTCTTTTCCGATTGGTGGTGCCTTAAGTCGCGTGAAAAAACTCTCCAGAGCATAAAAGGTTCTCTACATAGCTTGGTTGGAAGAAAAAGCCATACTGATCGCCATCCCAGCAACGCCTGCGCGGGCGTCAACAAATGTCGGAAGAAAAGTGCTATTAATTGAACCAAGAGAACCCAAAACACACACACACACACACACACACTAAAGAGGAAAAAGAAAGAAAGGCTAATATACAATATCTACCATAACAACAAACAAACACTAATTTCCAGTTCTATTCCAACGAAGAAGAAAGAAAGAAAACAAAAAGGGAGCCAACGCCAACAAGAAACCCCAAGAATACAGAAGAAACCCCCATGGACTCCTTCAACTCCAAAGTCTACGCCATAACTGGGATATCAGGCATCGGTCTCGCAGTTGCCAAACAACTCCGCAAATGCGGCGCCCTCGTCTCTCTCGCAGATATTTCCCAACCCGCCCTCGACGAAGCCTTCGCGGCCCTTGGCTCTTCAGTCGACCACGTCCTCATTACAAGGGTCGATGTCTCCTCCTCCGCTCAAGTCAATGCCTGGATTGCAGCCACTGTGGATAAGTTTGGCCGTCTGGACGGTGCGGCAAATATGGCCGCCGCTATTGGGAAACACCACGGTATCCGCGATTTGGTGGACCAGGATGATGATGAGTGGGATGTGATTATGCGGGTAAACTTGACAGGGATGATGTATTGTGTACGGGCTGAATTGAGGGCCATGATGACAGCGCGGCAGGGGGATGCTGCTATCGGTGCTGGTGCTGGTGCTGAGGGCATTGGGAGCATTGTTAATGCCGCGAGTATCCAAGGTGTTATGGGGTTCGGGAAATCTGCGACGTATTCGGCCAGTAAGCATGGCATCGTAGGATTGACGAAATCGGTGGCCAAAGAGGTTGCTCCAGGTATCAGAGTGAATTGCATCGCGCCGTGAGTCACCGCCCCCTGATTCGTTATTCATTTCTGGGTGTCATGCGCTCAGGACAGAAGCGCAAGTGAAGGTTCCAAAAGAGGTGATTTCCTGAAGGAGAGTTATGCTGATCAGGGGACCAGGGGATCGATTCAAACACCTCTGCTTGATGAAGGCAGTGCTATACAAGGACGTCTCAACCGTATACCTGGTGCTATATGCCGAACAGGGACAGCAGATGAGGCCGCACAGGTAGTTTTATTCCTGCTCAGCGATGCAGCCTCATTCGTGACAGGAGCCGTGTATAACGTAGACGGCGGCTGGGATTTGCAAGGCGGATAGCGAAAGTTGAGCAAACGTGCCGAGGAGGATCCTGGCACTCATGTCTCTCTATCGGATAATTTAAGATGTTTGGGCGAGCAAATTTTCTGAGTATTTTCCATTTTTGTGGGGGGGGAGGATTGTTGTTCCAGGAAGGTGTCATAAACGAGATACAAATGTAGTCAGAGTGGCCATGTCCCAAACATTAAAATATATGCCCTGAACAGAGAATAAGAATCTCAATCTGGGTGCCACCTCCGAGTAGAAGAGGTATCTATCATGCTAGCGGAGAGGTTCTGGGATTGTTCATGCAGTAGTTCACATCCGCCCTGGACCCGGAAATGTGCCTCCAAAATAATTAAACCAATCCCAATCTTCGAACCCCTATTGCAGAAGAGAGTAAGTCAGATAATCAATAAGAGTTCACTCATACTTTCGGAAATCAGAATTGGTAAAACCTGGAGAAAGCAAAGGAAAATAAAAGGAAATATGTAATCATTTTTGCCCAGGATAGCCGCGGAACGGCAAATTTGAGAATGACAAACAATGCGAATCGAGGAGAGAGGAAGAAGAGAAAAACCCTTACACCAAAGCCAATAATTTCATCAACCAACACGGAGTGACCCGGAAACAGGTGTTCGGGCGAAACTGAAGATATACTCTGCGGTGTCGCACCAGGGACTACTAAACTCGGCTGCTGAGAATCGTGGGTCTTCTTGGCTGCGAGGTTAACAACCAAATATCCTTATATCATCACTTGACTGAAAAGAACATAAGAGCAAATTAAACTAAGAAAGGAATAAGAAAGGGAAATCGCAACAAACGTACCCTTGATTCCTCATGATTACCGGCATTCTCTCCAAGATATTTCGCAAATAAATTATAACTCATTATACGCAACCGGTCAGCCGCCTGCTGTTGGAAGGTCGATGCTGATTCAGGCCACAGCTTGGTCTTGACGAGTGTAATTGACACGCAGAGGAAGTAGTACTCGCGCATCCCCTTTTCTAGAACGAGGAACTTCTCTTCGAGCCATGATAGTGTTTTTTGAACCAAGGATATTAAAATGTCCGTAATGCTGGGTATAACCTGCCGGACTATAGCGGATGCTGCAGATAATTAGAATTAGACAAAGAAATTACTGCTAGCTGTATGATATAACAACCAAGTGGCCAGAGGGGGAGGGAATGGGGAGGAAAAAAATAAGCCTTACTGAAGCCACAATCGGATGCGTGCAGATGATGACAGATCGTAAATGCAGCATGAAAAGTGACATCTGCTAATGCACACCAGGCGAGCTTGCCGATGTTATCAATGAGCAGCTGCTGTTGGCAAAGAATCACCACTGCTACTTCAAGACGTGCTTGCGTCGTATGACTATTTATGGAGCCCTTCAATCCACCGAGGACACTGTAGGTGTAAAGCGAAAGTTGGCACCGTCGCAGATTCGACTCCAAGAGCGTTCGCCATAGGAGCTTTTGCTGCTTCTGTGTCATAAAAGAGTGCGAGGCCTCAGGGGGCTCGGGAGTGGTATTGTCCTGCCAATCTGGGATATCTGAAAGACTCCGATTGATCTCCTCTTCTAGAAGTGAGAGATCGTTTGAAGACAAAGAAATACGTGGCGCATTGACAAGCGCACATATCCGCAGTCTCAAACCCATGGACTGCATCAGGGCGACCTGAAACGAACAGTCTGTCATGGTCGTGGTTGGCTTTTCTTCGGGGCTGACGGTGATGTTTTCGCATAGATCTTCGTCGTCGATATTCAGCGGTGGGGAACAATCATAATCCGATTGCTGCATTGTCGGAGGCATGCCGCGGTCCAAAGATGCCTGCAGGTCCAGTTCGAGAATTGTGGTCCATATCCTTCGGCGCATTTCCCGATTGAATGCCGAAATCTTAGTTTCGGGGGGCGGTTCGCGGTGGCATCCCGCAGACATGGCCAGCTTCACCAACGTCCCCGCTGAGCTCCAGGCTTGATTCTTCTGCGTGTAATTAGCCTCCTTAGCCATTATCAGCAAACACCGCACCTGTAAAACAACCAGATTTGGTCGCTTGATATTTGCATGGAACAGCCACGCCTCAGACCAGCGAATCCACTCCGTCGCGACGGTATGGGACAGAATCTTTGTGCCAGACGCGGTAAGGGGGCTCGGTGTGTTTACGCTCCACACGGACGCCATTACCAAGAGGAGCTGGACAATGAAATGGCACGGAATGTCCACTTTCTCAGCCCAGAGATCATTGAGCTGTGCGCGGAACGACGGCCTATGAAGAATGGGATGCATCTTTCCTACGTAAGAGAAGTAGCAGTTCACCAAATTCTCAACCACGGGTCGAACGGGGAGAAGGCTCTTCAGGAAATGACTGTCCGTCGCCAGTTCTCCAGACAAGGGTTTCTGTTGCTTATTATACCCAACTTTTCTGATTTCCTGGTGAAGTGCGCGAAGAGAGGCGGTGGCTTTCAGATCTTTCATAAAGCTGCTCAATCCCTCGAGCTATATTTTTTGTTATTGTTGGTGTTGTTATTTTCATACATTTAGCATGGCTACTTCAATTACAACGCCTCCGGAAAGGCTCCTTGTAACAATAGATCCGAAGACGGATTGTATAAATTCTTATATGCATATAATCAGAGGAAAGAGGGAGAAAAGAAAAGAAAAGAAAAGAAAAAACTCACCTCAAATGATAACTTCGACCCATTACTGCATCCCCAAAACCGAGTCCGACCCTCATTCCCATCAAAGCGGTGCCGATTGGGGGCGTCGCGTCCCCACGGTTCCGCCTGGACTGATAGATCGTCGCGCGCAGAAGCATCAGCGGGGCCAGCAGCTGTCGAACCCGGGTACGGGTGCGGGTGCGGGTGCTGGCCCGGCTTGGTCGAAAGAGGAGCTGCATTATTATTAAAGGGCGAATTGGACTGCTGCTGGATCAGGCTCTGTATGATTAGTCTCAGCTCCCGAACCCGAACATCGTCAGATTGCTGCTCTTCCGATGCCGCAACGGCTGGTGCATGCGCATTGGGCCAATTTGCTTCTGCTGGCTGTGGGTGCCAGAAGGCCGACGATGCTGATGCCGCTGCTGATACTGGTGCTGGTGCGGGTGGATGGGACAATTGTCGTTGTCGTTGTTGCTCCTGTTGCTGCTGCTGCTGCTGATGTTGCTGCTGATGTTGCAATGCATGGACGGGAGACTCATACATGCAAGCCTCCGGCCCGGGCCCTTTCATGCATCGATTACAAGCTGGATAGCCAAAGTCACACTTGACCTTCCGGTTCCTGCATGGAGCGCAGGCAATGGTCCTCCTCCGCCTCTTGCGGTGACTGGATTCAGCCGGCTGGTCATGCGACGAGGATGCAGCACGGCTGCTGCCGTCGCCGCCGCCACCACGGTCGCCGGCTGCGTCGTCTGATGCATGGGGATGGGGCGCATACGCGGGTGTCGCGTTTGTCGCTTGTGATTCGGGGCTGCGGCTCGATGACATCCGGCCTCGTGGAATTTTCTGGCCCGGTTTGTGTTCCTTTCGCTTCGACCCTGCGTCGTTCTCCGACAAAGCACATCCAGCGGTTAGCAAGAGCTCGGAGTAAACATGGTTAGCCGGCCATTGGCGTGGCCAGGGGAGCGCTACAGTGCAAGGGGGCCAAGACAGCGCACTCAGTCAGCGCCAAACTGGCCGTTTTGGGCCCGACGCCGACTAAGCCGAGGTCGGTGTCGGGGCTAAGATGCACGTAACGTTAGAGCGAGAGATCGAGGCGCTAGAGTGACGGGAGACCAGAGAGAAGTTGGTGCGTGGCTTGTGTCGAGCTGGTTGGTGAGTGGTGAGCTTGCGTTAAGCGTGCGTTAAGCTCGCGCCAGGCTGGAATGTGGGCTGGGGTCGGAGATAACAAGCGGTGTCGGAGCCCGTTGGCGGAGAGCGCATGCAAGGTCATCGTGACACTGCAGACAGCAGAACAGAGGCGTGTGCGGGAGGTATCCAGGCCCAAGGCAGAAGCATTTCTGCAGAGCGGGCAATTTGTCTGCTCGCGGGAGGGAAGCCGTCGAGGAGGGGTTTCTTAACTGCAGGAATTGCAATAATTAATATATATTGGCTGCACGTCTATATCTTCTATCCGATGTTTCCAGCTCAATTGACACCCGCGGATGAAGGGGAAACCGAGTAAACTATACAAAAATTATCTAGATACATAGAGACAGACAGACATCTATAAAAGGTCAAAAGCGTTTCTCAGGATGTTCCGCTCCCTCCTCTCCTTCGCATCCCAAAACCCCTTCGCTTCGGCTTCAGAATCCAGTTCCGTTGACAAAACCAACCTCTTCCCTACGGTGGATCCTGAAGTCGATGGCCCTGATTGCGACAAGGACTGTGCTGACTGCACAACCAAATTCCCATCGCGCTTTAAAATCAATTCCGACAGGGAGCTGTACGGGAGCATCAAGCCGTACACCAAACATGTCATTGTCGCGACCGGCAAGACGGACTGGGAGCAACGGGTCGAGAATGAGCGTGGCAGTCTGATGGAGGGGTTTAAGCTGGGTTCGTTCAAGCCGAAGACGGGGGTATGTCTGTCTCCCGCATTGTATAGATATAGATATAGATATATACTATATCATAGATTTTCCTTGCCATCCCCTTCTCTCCCCTTCTCTCCCCTTCCCCCTGAGAGCACCCCTCGTTAACACACTCCCCATTTTCTATGGCAGAAAATGATGGTTTCAGCATCGAACCTGCCCGTCGATCCGGCGTACAACGACGCTCAGGGACACGGCCAGGGCAAGAGCCAGGACAACGCAACAACCGTCCTCGTCTTGCCCGCATTCATCTTCGTCGACGCAGTCACCGTCTCGCGAATACCAGAGTTCATGGACCGCTTCATCGACTCCTCCCCCGACCCAGTTGCAAACGCACAGGCCCAGCCCCAGGCCCAGCCCCAGCAACTGCAGGATCCAGCATCCTCAAGCACCCCCGACACCCAATCGAAACCCGATAAGGGGGAACTATCCCGTTCTGGCCCCGAATCCCCACACAAGCTGACAACACGCCCCTGCCTCCGCGACCACCTCATCCTCCTCTGCTCGCACCACCGCCGCGACGCCCGCTGTGGCATCTCCGCTCCGCTCATCCGACGCGAACTCGAGCGCCACCTGCGCCCTCTCGGCCTTTACCGCGACGACGATGACTCCCGGCCGGGCGGCGTGGGCATCGTGTACGTCTCGCACGTCGGCGGCCACAAATTCGCCGCGAACGTGCTGATCTACCGTCGCGCGGCGGAGCAGATGATTTGGCTGGCGAGGGTGCGGCCGGCAGATTGCGAGGGGATTGTCAAGCAGACGGTGCTGAAGGGGAAGATTGTGCATGCTGACCAGTTAAGGGGTGGGTTTGATCGGGGGAGGGATGTTGCGAGTTGGTAGGGAGGGCTAAGGGGACGGCTAAGGGAAGGGGAAGGGGAAGGGGGAAAGGGGGGAGGACAAGACGGAGAGGGAGAGGGAGAAATGGACCTGAACTTATTATGCTGGATGTAAGTGATGGTGAACGATCTGTATGCTACCGTCACTGGGCAATGTTCACTTCGGCTTCGATCAGAATTGGACAGAATTCACAGCCATTGGAACGGGAAAGGGATAGCAGGAGGGATGCAGCTTTCCAAATAGAAGAAGAAGAAGAATGAAAGAAATACATATATAAACCAAAACACAACGACAAAAATGCAATCTAACGGGTTAGCAGGGCTTAGGCTTTGATTCCATTTCTTGTATTGTCAGCCCAAGCAACAAAAGCGCAACGGGGAGAACAGCAAAAGAAATAAAACAAAATAAACAAGAGAAGCCCACGCGATATACTTGAAGGAGGCAGAGAGCCAGAAAGCAGGAGACCACAGCATGGTATAAGGACTGCGAAGCGAACGTCTGGATCCGATCCAACATATCAACAGCGTTGATAATATGCTTGTTTTGAATTCTGAAGCCAAAGAAGAAGAAAAATGAAATGAAATGAAATGAAAAGCAAAAAGTAGGGGAATCTTTATGGAGAACGGACGCCAAAAATAAAAAGAAAGAAAAACGAACATATCAAAGCCAAAAAGATCTAGCTATGCGTGAGTGGAAATTCAGATACATAGTTACATGCAAAAAAAAAAATCAACCCTTAAATATAAAATCACACACAGTTCTGCAAAACTGGAAGGGGTAGGAAATAATAGAGAACAATCAAACATGCGCCCACCCATTATACACGATGACTTGCATCTCATCAATCAAACACGGCAGCCAAAGCTCTCCATTCTTCCCGCTCCTCCTCCTCCTCCTCCTCCTCCTCCCCCGCTTCTTACCCTGGATAGAAGAAGAAGAAGAAGTGGTATCGTCATCTTCCTCCTTCTCCCATGCCCTAAACCTCGCCTCGATCGCCCTTGGCCGCCACGGCAAGTCCAGCAACGACGCAAGAAACCCCTTCCACCAGCCCACAAGCACAGCGTCCCGCGTCGACGGCCACCCGCGCGCCGCAGACTCGTAGGCGACCAGGTTATATCCGACGCGCACGTTGGGATTCAGCCAGACACCCTTGGAGGCTGAGAGGGGGTTGTCGTAGTGGATGAGGCAGCATTCGGAGCCTTCGAGGTGGTATTTGGCGAGCGAGTCGGGGATGGCGCGGAAGCGAAGCGGGGTCTGGGTTGTTTGGAAGGGAGCGGCGTCGAAGATTGCTGTGGGTATGGGAGAAGAAAGGAATTAGCCTTTTTGTTTTTTTTCTTTCCTTTTTTTATACATTTTGTCTGAAGTGATGTTTTTTGATGGAGATTGGGGGAGAATTGGGTGGATGGGGAAAACACACCAATCCCGTTCCAGCAACTTTGCACGGGGATGGCCTTTCCTGCTAGCAAGGCGTTGCGTGAACGCCTGGCGCTGAAGTATGGATAGCGCTGGGAGAAGGCAGCGGAGCCCTTCCAGTCCCGCAGGGCAAATGTGTCATAGAAGAGCCCCGGTTTTGCGAAATCAAGCGAGCACGTCGCGGCGTATGACCCGGAGCGGGTATTGAGAAGGGTTATGATATCCGCCATCTATATATATATATCATGTTAGCCTACCTTCTGTGGTAGTTCCGCCATCTAGCTCGCACAAGTTTTGCACAATCCATACCGAAAATATGACATCATTCAGAAAGATAATCTTATCGAACGTCCTCCCAGCCCGTACAAGCTTCTCCAATGGCTCCAACGACTTATTCCGCATATGGGCCAGGTACGGGATGCGTCTGAGCTCCCTCTTGCCCCGGGCCGTATCAATCCACCCTTCCTCCGCGGGAGGCTTGCTGATCTCGTTCTCGTGGGTGGTGGGATCCAGGACGATCGTCCTGTCAACGCCCAATTCCCCCAGCTGCATATCCAGCTCCCTCAGCGCGCCTTTCGAATCATCCCAACTTCCACTCTCATAGACGGAAACGTATATGTTCTCTTTCCCGAACTTCCTCGCTAACTCGACAACGGCGGCATTCCAATGGCTGCGCAGGATGGCCTCATTGTTCCAGTGCGTGCTGGCCACATAGACGGACCTTATCCCTGGAACGAGTGCTGTATTTGCAGACACTCGCGACGAGGATGAGCGGGAAGATAGCGCCAATGACGACGTGGAGAAGGTGAGGTAATCGACGACGGCGAAGAAGAGGACGCAGGAGATGAACAGGACGCTCAGATGTCCATGCAAGCCGCGGTGGGCGAAGAGGACAGGGCCAAACAGCCATCGCCACCAGCGACGGTATCTACGAGGAGACACCAACATCCTCGAGGTGTAGTCCTGGACACCAGCACTGTATCAAGCATGGATCGCAATCGGGATTGATCTCGAAATCCGTGTGACTTCGGCAGAAGTTCGGAGCAGATGCGGTTTGGCTGCACATCTTGGTGATCGATCATTTGAGCCAATCAGATCATCATAACTACGGGGATATCCTTGGACAACTAAACTAGCTCGATAGAGAGATAAGCTAATTAACCAACTGCTGCGTGCTGCGCAGTGTGGAGTCGTGAGCATGAAGATTATTCACCCACACAATACAGGATGCCTGCTGGTTCCGTTTCCCTCACGTCCCTCCCCATAGTTACTGTCAGTGGACTGACGAAAGAGTTATTTCACTCCTGGGCGGCTTTTCTCATCCGATGACACATGGCAGCCGTGGAGCTGCAAAGAATGCGCTCGATGCCACTGCCCAGACGCCATGTCCCGTGCACGGCCATATCGCTCATTGCCCTGTAGAAAACTTCTACCCCGGGATATCATCGTATCGATCCATGGATGTCAACAGACTCCCCTGGTCCCTGGCGGGGTGCAGGGTCGCGCTTCAAAATTCTTGGCAAGAACCCGAGCTCCCTTGAGATATTGTGTTGGCGGCATTGGATTGGATTGGGTTGGTTTATCCCCTCCACCGCCAGCATGGCGCTGCTGGTGATTGAGCTCTTCCTTGGGCCCAGTGTGGCCGTTTACGATTTGAACCGCCGTTGAACTGCAACCCGCAGATTTCCCGATTGGGAAAGCCGGCAGTTGTAGTTTCTATGTCACGTGGTTTATATCGGTCCGCTTAGTCATATACGCGTCGACGCGACAAGATTGATTTGCGGAGACCTCGACAACAAAACCTGGAGGATCCCAACTCTCAACGCAGGATGCTGAAACAGCGTTCTGGCCGGTGATTGATACAAAGCGCTGCCATGGCGGACCACCAAGTGCCACACAATGAAGAGCAGCAGCCCTTGTCGACCCTTCGAGCCGAATTGAAGGAATGGGAGCGAGCCTTTACCGCCGCGAATGGAGGCCGCAAGCCTGGGAGAGATGATATCAAAAACAACCCTGCCATTTGTACGGAAACCCAATAGCCAATTCCTTACTCCCCTCTCTATTCCGCAAGGAAAGAAATGATATAGACCGCCGCTAACCCATTGGATCGACTTGGATGTGTGCGTTCATTTATCTACCTACAGCTGCCAAATACAAGCTCTATTCCCGCCTACGTGTGCAGTCGTCGCAAGCCAACAGCTGCTCTTTCGCACCAGCACAGGAAGTGCCCCAGCAGAGGAAACGTAAACGTCCCTTGGATACGCAGGAAGATGTAAATGGACTACCACTCCCGCAATCCTGCTCAACTCCCCGAAAACCCTCCGACCACATCCCCGCCACCCCCGACCGGAGGTTTCTATCAACATCGACTGCTCTTTGTGCAAACACCCACCCATCCCAGCTAGACCCTTACGATTCCCCATCCACGTTACGCAGATTCTTCAGTCCCAGCTATCATCGCAACTTCCACGAGGATCCTCACTCATCCTCATCACCCTTGCCCCTCCGCGCAGCCATTGGGCCTACCCCACAGCGTGATGGTAAGGCCCTGGGTCTATTTGACCTCCTCTCCGCCTCTGGGGGAAGTAATAGTAGTAGTAGTAGTCGTCGTCGTCGTTGTAGAGACAGTGCTGTTGCTGCTGCTGCGACTCCGTGTCTGAGACGCGGGAAGCGGGTTAATAATACCAACAATCAAGGGATTGATAATCCAATGCAGACTCCCTCGCGACGAAAGGAGAGCCGAATTAATTCAGGGGATCAGGATGGTGAGGACGGGGATGAGGTGGCGGATGAGGATAATGATGATTATGAAAACTTCTTCGCCAGCACACGCACGCCTGCGTCATCTGCTAAGAAGTTCTACCTGGCCAATTTCTTCGCTACGCCGCCTGCATATCGGTATTCGGCTGCTATTGATACCAGAGCAGATAGTCGTGATGGTGCCAATGATAACCAAACAGCAAGCAACAACGACCCATCTAATGGAAGAAGTGGCCCCCGGCGGGGTCTAAAGATGCACTGGGCTCAGACACCCCCTCTTTCCTCAGGCGACGGAACCTGTTCTCATCATCATCTTCCTCAATGGTCAACTCTCGGCAGCATGTGGGCGTAGTTGGTGGGGTTAGCGTTCACGATCTAAGTCCCGTTGCAGTTCGCATGCCGCAGAAACTTGTTGGAAAGGGGCTTAGTGCTATCGTTCAGGGGCTAAGGGATATTCAGGAAGAAAGGTTGGATGAAGAGTTGGATCTTTTGAGAGAGATGGAGGCTGAGGCGGCGGCGGCGGATATCGATGATGCCGTTGTTATTAATGATAGTCAGGTTCCTTTACGAGATGGCAGTGGCGGTGGTGGTGATGACGACGAGGGAAATACTCTTGCAATGAGACGGTGGAAGAAAAAAGGACAGAAACGCACGACGCGTCGAGTTATCATGAGGCCCGTTCGAGCAAAAGCGCAACCAATGCCGGGGTGGCCCGTAGCTGTGATTGATGGAGAAGGCGATGATGATGGCGACAGGAATGGAGGGAGTGGAGACGAGCTGGCCGCTATATCAGAAACCCAACTTCAGCCTCAGCTTCCCCCAGAACCCGGCTCGAACAAGGAAAACGAAACTCTCGCCCAGTCGGAGACGCACACGGAGACAAAAAAAGAGATTGCTCTCACAAATACTTCCACGTCCATCGCTAATGCTAATGTCAGTGTCAGCGCCAGTGCAGCGAAACTGAAACCAGCTACCATGAAGGGCACGACGGCAAGAGTGACAACAGCAACCAACCAGAAACACAAGACCAAACCGGACGCGCATGCTAATTACCGCGCGCTGAAGATTCGGGGGAAAGGGTCGAATGCGAGGGGAAAGGGGAGACGGTTTGGGAGGAGGTGACGGTATCGCGTGGGTATATTGGGGATACGATATGTACGGCAAATACGATGCATATCCAGGGATCTTACATACTTCGGTGTCAAGGGTGGAATACAGTTACTTCCATGAGATGGAGGTGAAGTTGGATAGCGTTAGGCTGGGCGCGAGTATTGGTGCAGTGTTATTCACTACGGAGTATAGAGTACGGAGTATGAATATGAAACGATACACAGTAGAATTGACGTATAGAGTAGATTAGAACAGACCCATGATGATGTTACTCCCAGGTCGGATGCCACAGCGACATGAAGTCCACGAATCAAAAAGTAAAAAATAAAAATAAAAATACAAAAACTCCCTATCATTATGCAAAGTAACAGCCTGGTCAACTATACAATATCATTTACGCCTCTCGCCAAGCTCGTCCAAAATCAAAAATCACAATGAAAAAATATCGTAATCGTACCGCACTTAACTGTGCATGCCACATTGTACATGTATATACTACGCTCATTAATCAAAAAAGTCAAAAATGGACCAGGGAACGTCCCCCCTACCTTCTCCCCCCAGAATCCACCAGGTTGAGCCTGATCAATCTGGTTGATACCTATCACGGGCCCGTTGTATTCTCCTCTCCCGAGCAGCAGCGACATTGTCACAACGCCTCGTACCCGCCGTGCTTGTCGCTTTAGAAATTCTCCCAGACGGCCAAGACGGTGCGCGGTCCCTGCCCCTGTCACTAGCGGCAACAGGCGTGGTAGATGAGGACCACGATATTGAGCGCGCATCTGCATGTCTACTCGAGCGCGGCCCCATCCCCGTCCGTATTCCCACGGACGCTGCCAACCGGGGCCCATCGGCATCGACATCATCATACTGCACCGCCCGATCCCAATCCGCCAACGAAATATACGGACTCCGCAGCCACGATTGCAGCTCATGCAGGAACAACCGCGCATGATCGCGCCCGATGAATTCGCGCAGCAGCTCCTCAGCCTGTCCGCTGCTGCCTTTGATATCCACCGTGCGCAGAATTGCGATGATGTATTCCAGCAGGAATTCGGCGTTGTTAGCTGCGCGGCGATCGGCTGCTGCAGAACGTTCGATATTGCCATTGGCGGTGGGGTCCAGGAAGGAGAAGACCTGTAACTCGCGCCGGATCCACTTGCGCGCGCGCGAGACAAGGTGCGCATCTTGGTTGAAAAGTTGCGGGGTGAGCTCGCGGTATTTCGAGAGTCTGTTGGTGCCTACTCGTCGGGAGTAGAGTTGATGGCGGTAAATGTGTCGTCGGCGGATTATGGGGTCATCTGAGGTGGGGGTGCGGTTGGTTGGAGAGTCGCGCCGGGGTCGATGACGGAGTGGGCGACGGGGGAATCTTCTCGGGTGGGGGTACGCTCCTGCAGCACTTCCTAGACCTGTGGTGGTAATAGGGGTGTGTGATGGAGGGGGGAGGTGGTATATTTTTGGGCCTGAGGCGGACTCGGCTTCTGGCTCATATTTCACGCTTGTCACGACTGCTTGGCCTGTAAGTCAGGGCATTCATTAGCTACCAATGCCTATGTACAGTGCAAGGGAAATGGCCTCTTGTATATACATAATGGACACGCAGGGCGCTGCTGCAGCCAGCTCACAAGACATAAGAAGTCGAAGCTGGCATGCTTGCAGGGCTGCGCAGTTGCAGCCTCCGTGATCTGCTCGAGGCAGATCACACAGGGATTCAGATGGACATCATTGCTGTTGGACTGGCTGTCGGCCACCTCGTCCAGGGTTTTGCGGAGAATTTCCTGCTGCAAACCGACATCCTGTGCCATCGCAAACACACACTTTATGATGTTTCGCGATGATTTTTATCGAATGTCGTCGGCGGGGGACATTGATGAGTCAGCATCACGGGGCAGGTCACGGGACCAATGCCGAGGCAGGTTCCCATCTTGGAAATATCAAAATTGCCCAATCGGGGAATTTTGTTGATAACAACGTCGACCGTCTTCAACGCGGGAGAAACCGACGGAGATAGACGGCGACAGCACGCATTGCAGCACGGTGTGATATCCCTACACCCAGCCTGTGTTGTGCTGTGCCATGTAATGCTGAGATCTGCTCGAGCTGTTGTTGCTGCTCGATTCGCAAAGTACCCCAAGATGGCGACTCCGATGGTGGGCGGGCCCTTGCGCAGCGAGGGCCGAAAATCCACATATACAACCACGGCACTCAAGCGATGGTCATGCCAAAGTGCCGACGAACTACCTGGTGGGAGCTTGTTCAATCTAAGCCTTAGTTTTCCCTGGCCGGACTCTGAAAAACTAATTGCCATACTCACAGCCGTCACGCAGATCAAAGCGATCCATGTCTACGATTTTGACAACACCCGTACGAGCCCGCAATTGTATTCCTCGTTCAATGGAGGACCCTCAAGACTAACTATATTCTTCTTCTCTGTTTTCAGTATTCTCGAGTCCCCTTCCTAACCCTCAGCTATGGAATGGCCCGACGATTGGCTTTCTTTCTACCTACGAATGTTTTGCCAATGGAGGTTGGTGGCATGACCCCAACATCCTTGCAGCGACCGGACAGGGGATGGAAATTGAGGAACGTAAAGCGTGGAAAGGATGGTGGAATGAGCAAATAGTATGGTTGCAGACATTATATCAATGCATTATGGAATGCCCTACTTACCATTCTCACTCAAAAAGGTACAATTGGTGGAACTCAGCATGCAGCAAAAGGATGCGCTTACTGTTCTGCTCACTGGGCGAGCAGAGGGTCCATTCGAAAACATCATCAAACGGATGATCAAGAGCAGAAAACTAGTGTTTGATCTAGTCTGCCTGAAACCTGAAGTCGGTCCCAATAGCCAGCGGTTCTCTTCGACCATGAACTTCAAGCAAACTTTTCTGGAAGATCTGGTTACCACCTACAAACATGCCGATGAGATCCGAGTTTACGAAGATCGCGTTAAGCAGTTAGTCCCATCCTTTGCTGTTTGACTGAGCCAAAATCTGACTCTCCCCCCCAGTGTTAAAGGCTTCCGCGAGTATTTTGAAAAACTCAACCGAGCTTTACAACCCGGGCCACCCTCTGCTCCACGCAAACCTATCAATGCCGAAGTTATTCAAGTTGCTGAGGAGGCTGCTTTCCTCCCTCCAGTCACCGAAGCTGCTGAGGTTCAACGGATGATCAACTCCCATAACAAGATTCTAACCTCAACGTCTGGTAATACTACCAAGTCACCTTACGGGCGACTAAGAATTAAGCGCACAATCTTTTTCACAGCATATCTTCTGTCCAACACAGATTCCTCTCGTATCATCACTTATGTTTTAAATCCATTGATACCCCCGAATATGTCTGATTCGACTGAGATTAAATACTTAGCCAATGCAATCCTGATCACTCCTCGCCCACCATCAAAGTCTATCATTGATAGAGTAGGCGGAATGGGGAAAACAGTGCGCTGGCGAATCACCGATACAGGAGTTTTTGAAAACAAACTCTGGGCCGCTAAAGTGACGCCAGTTCTGGACTCGGAAATCATTTACACCGAAAACCCAGAACCGATCATGGTCCTTGCCATGCGCAAGAGCGCACGACCCACGGACGCTGGCCGGATCCGTAACTGGCAACCCGTCATAGAGGATAACGCCCTCGTCTTCGACGCAACTGTCGGACAAAAAATGGCGTTGATGATCGAAGAGGAACACCCGGGCGACGGTGAGTGGGAGACGCTACCGAAAAGCAACAATAAGCGCAGGCTTGCCCAGCAGAATCTTCGGGAAGATGAAGGCGCGCCGCTGCCGGCGTACTTACGGGAGGGAGATGGCAATAACAGGGCAACTAGTCCAAATACTTCTAACTATGCGAACGCGAGTATGGCTCCTTCCAGCATGCGGGACCGCGAGCTTGGATCGCGTAATTACCCGCCACACCCCCATCCCCATACACATTCGCAGACACATCCTCATGCACCACATGGACCTGGTGATGCTCATCGAGAATACTCACCTTATCACAGCCGGAACAATCCCCCCTATCCACGCCATCCTGGCGAGGGCGGGGGCGGCGGCAGCGGTGCAGGCGGAGGTAGATATTACGGAGACGAAGGTGGACCGCCTCCTCGTCGCGGTGGCGGTGCGGGTGCTAATTATCGGGGAAGTCGCGGACGTGGACGAGGAGGGCGGGGCCGGGGACGTAGCCGTGGAGGAGGTGGCCGAGATGGTGCCTCTGGTTCCCATCAGTACCGTTCACTGGATGATCATGTCGCGGGCGGTTCTGGCAGTGGAGGTGGGTACGAGGGACCGGGGACCGGGGATGAGAGGGGTTACAGAGGGGGTGGGGGTCCTGTTATGAATTATTGATATATTCGGTTATCAGTTGTTCCTAAATTTTAAGAGGTTTGTTTTGCGTTTCCTCTTTCTTTTTTTTTCTTTTCACTTTTTCATCTCCTTTATACATTCCTATGGACGGCTCTTGCTAGGCTTTTTTTTTTCTTTTCTTATACGTTTGGCATCTCCGTGTTTAAATACTACAGCATCTTTTTAATTTCAGCTTAAATTTTTTTTTCTTTTTCCCCTCTAAATTGAGGATGAGCTTGTATGGAATAATGAATCTCATTTTTCTCAGCTTCCTCTATTTCTTCTCTATTTGTTTCATTTATCCCGGCTTTCCAATATGCCGATATGGCTTTTACAACAATAAAAACATCACGTTTTGTTTGAAACCCTACCTTCTAGGTGTTAACGCGACATAATTTTAGGGTTAGGGTTAGGCATCAACCGATCTATTATTTAATTACTGTACTCTCTTACAAGCTACGATTATGCACATAAAAGAGGACAGAGATGGATGAGGATTCCGGGGGAAAAGATTAAATTAAATTAAATTAAATTAAGAACATGCAAACGCACACGCACACACAAGGCCGTTAGTTCTTGCTCTGGGATGAAATAGTGTCATTGGCAATTAATCATTAATTACTTTGGGTTGTTTGGTTCGAATCTAACATTTGGAAAGCAAGGAATAGGAACTGCAAACAACGGTATAGAGCGTAATCTATGATGATATAGAAATGTGAATCCCAAACACACACACATGGGCCCTTGGAAACAGTATTTGCTGGACATCAGGAAAAAAGAGACGAAAAAAAACGAAATAAAAGATAGAAAGAAGAAAGAAAGAAACATCGCTGTTGTACATATTTACACGGTATATAATGTGGATTAAATCGTTTTTGCAAGCAAGAGTTCCCAGCTCTTTCTTCCACCATTCAGGCAATTCAATTCGAGTCTGGCAAATAGATAGATAGGGACACTATCCTATCCCATCTCATCCCATTCCGTTCCGTAATCGCATCCATATATTTTCGTCATAGAACTGTTTCCCATCCATATTCATTGTCGTATCACATCGTCGTCGACCCCTTATAAAAACAAAGTGGGAACGAACATAAAATAACAAAATCCACCAAAACGGATTCGATCAAAAGAAAAAAAGTAAAAAACAAAAACAAAAACACAGATGCAATCTAATAGAGACCCCAAAACCCAAGGTCAAAAGCTATGAAAAAGAAGAAATCAGTCGTCCGTCAAATTCACGAACAAACTGATGCTCAAAATCATCATCAACAACCCAATCGTCACAGTAACAAGCAGCGCAAACCCAAACCACCCTAGTATCATGGCCGACGTCCCCACCCCGCTCTTCACAACCCCATTCCCCAGGTCCTGCGCGATCGCACTCGCAGCCACAGCCGCCGTGTGCTGCCACAGCACGGAAACGAGGATAAATACCACCGAGATGAAAATCAGCGCCAGGCACGCTTGCGAGACGGGTCTGGAGGGAAACCGCTTCACTTCGCGTAGCTCACCGTCTTCGCCAACCACTTCGTGCCAGGCTGGAAAGGTGGCGAGGAGGAGGAAGCAGAAGAAAGCGAGGATTATGGCGACGATTCTGGTGTATATAGTTAGCGCATTGCGGGCTCTTTGCGCCCCGGGGGAAATAAAGGTGCGAACTGATTTAATCGGAGAAGAGAGTCAAAGGCGTCTGGGAATCACTTACATCAAATACGGAAAAACAACTGCATCCTTGAATGTCGACGCAACCCACACCAGATTCAACGGATCTTCCTCCGGCTGTAATATATCCGCCAGCGCGGTGGCGTTTGAGTTACAAATGAACGCGCCGCCGGTGGGCTGGACGCAGATGCCAAAGTAACCCACGCGCACCTCGGCCTGTGCACCACCAACGATGTTGTTCATGGCGATGTTGATGGAAGGCGAGACGATGGCGGTGTCCAATACTGGGGCGTATTTTTCATAAAAGAGGGATATTAGGAAGATTGTGGGTATTTGTGGGGAGGAGGAGGAGCAGCCGGCTAGGAGGAGAGCTGGAGTTGTTTTCCATGTTAACGATGTTGTCTATTTGTTCCTCCCTTTTTTAGAGCATTTTGTAAATTCGGATTGAACTTACATAGTAATATTATAGCAAGACCAATGAATACCATGAGGATATGGTGGTAACCGATCAGGGGCAGAAATCCTGCAACACCAATAGTACAGTCCGTCAGCATGTCCTTCATATTTTTTCTTCATCAATTCCTACGTAACCATTAGAAAAGCGAAAGAGATATCACTCACGTAGAAACTGCCCCGCAAATCTTAACTCCGGCATCTTGACAGCAGTCTTGTATTGAACCAGGCCTTAGATGCCGTTGGCAGTAGGGTAATTTATTATCAAGCCCAGCTTCAATCCTCAATGTTCCCAGGGCTCAACAACAGAAACAAGGGAAAAAGTCCCAACCGCCCCTTTAGCGGAATGGGCCTAATATTCGCCTCGGTTTCCCCTCGGTTTCCCCCTTTCTTTTTTTCTTTCTTTACTTTTCTGCCTTCCCTTTGCCTATTCCCCCGTTTGGTGCACTGTCCCCAAAACCCAAAAACCGAGCGATGGCACGCTCCCGTTCTTTCCTATTCACCCCTGGAAGATGTGAATTCGATTCCCTTCGCCAGTATAAGAACAAGGCTGCACGCAACAAGATGTCTTGTCGAGGTATCTTGATGCGGAAAGAACCGCTTGCTGCTGAAATATGCGCAAACCCTTCCTTTTCAACCAGCTTTTCCCACACTTTTTGAAGAAATCCCGAAAAATGGCAGTCTATATAGTTTGCGGAACAATTTTCGACGAAGGAGAGAGTTTATCTTCCTTTATCTTCCTTGCGCAAAGGGTGCAAGGGAATGTTTCTCGCGAAGAGGTCGGAGCGGATTGGATGAGTAAGTGGGAGCTGTTTGTTTCCTGAAACCCTTTGGGAAATGGAATATGTTTGTCAGAGACGGCAGACCGGTAAATAGCTGAACAGCGGGCAGAGAGAAGTCGTAGGGTCGGGAGATGGGATGGTGTAGGCAGGTATGTGTATATGGATCGCAGGAGTGTATGAGGGGAGATGGATGTTGACGGGTGGGATGTCAGAGAGGTACACGAATGAACGTATGTATGGAGAGAAGGGGGCAAGATTGAGAGAGAATATCCTGCTATAGCATTGAAACAAACGAGTGGACTTGTATTGGACGTATATCCTCAATTCAATTCCAGGGCGTCGTCGGTCGTAAAGGTCGGGGTGTGGTAGACAGGAAGAAAGCAAAAGAACAGAAAAAGAAAAAGGAAGGGAGAGACTTCCCACACCCGTTCGCCTAGGAAATCGAATCGAAGAAACAAAAGCAACCAGCTAGCCAGACCACGCAATATTCATGGTGGCTGGATCAATGGGATGGATTCTGCGTTGGAAAAGACGAGGTTGGAGATCTATGCGCCGTTGAGGTTTAATCTGTGGCTGGGCGGCTTTGTTTACGGCGGCGGGTTGCCGCGGCAACGCGCTGACTAAGGCACTTACCGCCCGGCAGAATCGCCTCGCTGGGGTTAGTCAGCGGGGTGTCCGGATGACGTCACCGCTACCCATCTTTTGCCAATCGAAAACTCTGGCTGAAGATGCTTTGAGTTGCAGGGAAACGATATGGCGCCTTCAATTCGCTTCTCCGGGATCCAAAGTGATGGCGGGCTCAGTGACAAGAGGAAGATATTTATGAAAAAGAACAACAACTTCCATTGAATTATACAAACCGGCATGTGTGGTATTTATTCATACTCCGCTCCCCAAAGACCCCGGATAACACCGATCCCGACAGAACGCCCTTGGTCCGCACCATAAAACTTAAAAGGGGTAAGAAATAATGCAAGAATAAAAGGACATATCCAGAACAGACACTCAAAACACCGACCCTCCGCCCATGAACAGGAACCGCTGGAGATCAACAGCGGCTCCTTTGTCTTTCCCCTTCCCCACATCCACACCCAGGTCGACCTCCACCTCACTCTCCCCTTCGCTATCCGGAATAATCAAATCTTCACTGCCGCGACATGGGTGCTTTATCACTTCCCCTGATGAACACTCCTCCCCCGAGCTTGCAGATTTCGAGTAGTGGGATCCCGAGCGGGACGGAGTATCACCATCTCCGTTGCCATCACGTTTATCAACGATATCATCATCCTTATCATTCCCACTTTCGTCAAACGGCGACGTTTTCATTGTGCACAAAGAACCCATAGACTTCGACCGATGGAGCGCAAATTGCCCCAACCTTTGTAACGGGGTCACCCGGGACGGTTGCCGCTGTTCTCGTGGTGTAACATGCGGACCGGAGCTCTTCTCAAGAACGCCGTTTCCTCCCCCTCCACGATGTGGATCTTTGCGGTAAACCTGTTCATTCTTCGCATCGGTCCCATGACGAACCTCAGATTTATTCGGTTCGACATAAGCGAACCTATCACGGAGGCCCAAAGAAGAATTCACAGATACATCATCGTCAAGATCTCCAGACTCAAGCATCCTGGTAGAAATTTGGGAATCGCTACTTCCCGTGGAAATCCCTGTCATCGCCGGCGTCAGTCCGGTCGTAGTAGCCGTGGGTTCTTCCACAGTCACACTTCTGCTTAACAGTGCATCAGTGATACTCGACGCTATATCCTCTATGGATCTTCCCTCGACTTCCATCTTTGGCGGTGTAGTCGAAGCCCCGTCCTCACACACATTATTCATGCCATTCGCATCCGGTGACTCACCCTGACTCACCCCGTCAGGAAGCTGTGACATGATATCCTCAACCACCTCATCTGAGAACACCCCAAAGTCGGCCCTCTTAGCCTTCTTCGTACGTGCTTTATCAGGATTACTAGTCACATTCGAACCAGCTATTTTGGTCCCAGCTGTTGTACTCTTACCTGTACCCGCAAAGAAACGACTGCGCTCCCCAGACCCCAATACAGCGGCTGCAACCTCAGCTCCCGCTTCATCCGCGTCAGAACAAAGGCGTTGCCGTTTAACAGGTTGAAATTTCGACACTTTCGAAGCACTGGCAAGAAATTTCTCCCTATCGCTACTTAGAGGTGTTTCTGTGGTTTGGGGCAAGAAAGCGCGTGTGGAAGTGGACGGGGAGGAAGTCGACAATGGAGCCGGACGGCCATTCCCTCTCGTTGGTGCCGAGCTAGCAACCCATGATCGTCGGGCATTCGCTTCAAGAAGCCGCTGCTGACTAGGTGATGGCGTGAGGCTATTCGGATCCAGCTCGCCTAACGGAACGCGTTTCGGCGTGAAAAAAGTGTCTATCGGTTTGCTTGGTTTCAAATCTGACATGGCTGGGAGTGTCTGTCGTCTAGAGATAGTCAACCGCGATCTCTCCGGGTATGACGGTTTCAAGGTTATTGGTTCTTTGGTCATGGGGTCTAGGTCTCCGCATGCAACTCCAATTGCCATGTCCGGTTCGATATCCGTGCCGACAAACGGCATGCTATCCAACTTCGCACCCGTGGGAAGCGGCGAAAGAGTAACTAGTTTCCTATTCCGCGGACAAAAGACCAGCTGATATAAGAAGGTAAGTTCTGCTTTTTTGAAATTCTCCAGATACTGCGGGGGAACGCGGATGCCATTTCCCTCAAACTGAAGCATCTTCAAAATCTTCTCGATGGTCTTGTACTTCCTGACATTGCGATATGCCGTCTTGAGCCCCATTTTGGGCAAGTTTGCTAGATAATCACAACCAGAAAGAATGCACATGAGCCGAAAATCGGCATCTGTCCAACCAATAAGACTAATATCGCGACATGCCGTGAAATCCGCCCGATTAATCTCCACACAGTCCCCATGCTTATCCAACTTAGACAACAACCGCTTCGCCCCGAACACCAGCATATCTGAATCCTCTGAGATAATCCCGTTGATAATACCGTGTTTCTCAAGGTACACTAGCTGCGCGTCCGCCTCATAGGGAGCAACGATATACTGGATCTTCATCTTCTTCAATTCTTCAATCATCAGACGCGCCATGTACGGCGTCACGTCGACGGCCTTCTGCAGCTCCTGGTGAGCCTCCGCCACCCGGCCAGAGCGGTATAATTCCAGGCCAATTTTCTTGCTCTCTTCGCGCCGCTGGGCTCTGGCTGACTCCGTTCCGGCCTTGCTGGGGAGGTTATCACCGTCAAAGACAAGGTAAGGAGTTACGCCAAAGTAGAGCAGCATGCGGACGCGGTTCATGGCGAAATCGACATATCTTGAAGGGTGTACGGCATCAATTTTTGACTCCAATCCATCGTAGAAAAGGGGAAATGGTTTATTTCACTTACTTCGTATTATGCTTGTCGAGAGCTAGGTCGATGGCACAGGCGACGGTACCACGATGCAGCCATCCATAGGCATCGACACCAAGTGTCTGGCCCTTAAATTTCCGCAGGCTACATGGCTTCTGGATTGATTTGAGCAGGCTGTGGAGCCCTATTTTATATTTTATCCCATTGATGTAAGAAAAACAGAAAAGAAAAAAAAAAGAACGAGAACGATACACAGCATTCCGCACAGTGATTGGAATTCAAAAAGTATATATATTTACCTGTAATCCCCATCCTAACTCGCACAAAATTCCCCCTCCCGCCTCGAGATATCGAGGTAGGTACCCCCGGCGATCTAGGAATCGAGGGTTTGTTTACACCTGCAAGCAGAGCCAGCCATGCGAGATTCCCGTAACCAATCCAAATCCAACAAAAGAGAAGAAATGAAAGATGGAGGGCAGGAGAGAAGCATATAATCAGAACATGAGGGCAGAAGTCGAACGAGAAGGCGATTGTTGACTTGAAATAATCTCCATATTGCCTCGATCTGAACGCGCCGAGGAAGACGCGATGGAGGAGGGGTCACGTGGGTATAAATTACTGCCGTATCTCACCGCGTTTGGTGCCTCCATCAATCCTGGAGGAAGGATCTGAGAGATGAGGTTTCGGGGTGAAGGTCTTTTTGCTTTTATAACTCATGTGCTTGAGCCTTGCAAAGGCTGAATGGCGGGATAAGAAAATAAATTATCTGACTTGAAAGGGAGAATAAGAAGAATCCATATCAGGCAAAAATCCAGCAAAAATCTAGCAACAATACAATCTTATCGATTTCCCGCTTCTGAAAGGAACCTGAAAGAAAACGGAAATCAAGATGCCAAAAACCCTCCATAAAGTCCAGAAGCAAATCGCCAAGCAGCGCCGGAAGCTGGATTCACTCCATGAGAACAGCCGGGATTCGAAGCGGCTGCGGCGGGCGGGCGAGCGAGAGCATAAATTGGCTGTCGCTGCGTCCGTGACGATGAAGGGAAGACAATCTTTTGGTATGTTTTGAGAAATATGTATGGTACTAATGCGTGTACCTCGTTACTTAACACCGTTATAATAATCTAATTATCTGATTCGTACGAATATCAACGGGCATAGTGGACCGAGTGCATTTTTTCAAAGAGAACATCCAGGATCCGCCCGCGGTGTTGTCGGATGGAGATATGGCCCAGTTGATTACGAGGTGCGCGTTCAGAATTCCTATTCCTCCAAATACTCTGGATATCCATTGCAGGTTTTAAAAATGTCTATGCTTAAATATATATATGTTTCGAACCTAAGCTAACCAATCCATCAAAACTTACCGCCATCCTATATAGATTCATCGCCCGCCACCAACCCGAATTAGATCAGTTACAACAAGAACGGCGGCCGGGCAGGCCACCAGTGAAGCGCGAGGAGGTCCTCAGGGAGAAAATAGAGGCGGAGGGCAGAGAGTTTGAGAGCGGCTTCTGGCTGCCGGATATGGGCGATGAGGAGAACATCAAGAAACTGGCGAAGTGGAATGGGGAGTGGTCGTCGATGAGTACGTTGGGATTTGTGAGGGTAGCCAGAGACGGCACGAGGCGGAAGTCTATATTTCCACCGAAGGGGCTCTCGTGATGCTTATTAGTTTTTGTATTCATCAAATGCCACGGACTTCCATATTGTGGAACTAAAAGATCTCAAGGTCACTTTTTCAATTATCATCAGCTGACAGAGGCCGCTAAACCCGATCCAGCAGCTCCCGCAGCTCGAGCTCGGTTTTTCCGGCTTTCCCTTTCCGGATAGTTAGTCCGACCAATTGTTCAAGAAAAAAACCTTCGACAACCAACATTCGATGTTCGATGCTCCAACCTCCAACCTCCATACCCGCAATCTCCCTCAACTCCCCGGCATTCTAACGCTGCAACACCACCTAGCCTTCTATCCACAATGCTCTCCCTCCGCGCCTTCGCCCGCTCGGTTCCGCGCACCTTCTCCAGATCCATTGCCATCTCTGCCAGATCAACCATCTCAAAACCTAGCATCCTCCAGTCAGCATGGATCCGTGCTCCCCGATATGTTTACCCTGCCACTGCTGCTTTCTCCACGACCAGAGCGAGATTGGAACCTGCGGGACAGTGTAGGTGTTCCCTTGTTATTTCTAAGAATTGGTCCAAAGGGAGAACATTGGTGGGCTGACTAACCTTTGTCTGTAGCCGATCTCGAACTTGCCGCCAAGCTGAATGAGGAAATGAAGTATGAGCAGAATGACTCTAGTGTTGAGACCCTCCCGGAGTCAGTGCAGTATTATATTGATAACTGCCCTTTTGAGGTATGTACTAGACAAGGGAGAACTGGATGTGCCATAGGAGATTAAATAAAACATGAACTCAATCTCACTGAAATTTCGGTCTCCAGATCCAACACAAGGAAGGTGAAGATGAAGTTGTCCTCACAAGAACATTCGGAGATGAGAAGTACGTGAAAGAACCCACAAATCCGCAAGTGTCTCTAGTTGCTAACACCTTATCCAAAGAATCCGCGTCGCATTCTCCCTCTCTGACATCCAAGATCTGACCGAGAACGACTCCGCCCTCGCCGACGAGCACGATGACCTGGACGCCCCTACCAACGAACGACAGGGCAGAGGCAGCCAAGTCCCCGTCGCCCCCGAGGAGAAAGTCTCCGAGGCAGATCAAGAAGAGGAAGGCTTCGAAGATGAGGACCAGGTACCCAGCTACCCAGCACGCGTCAGCGTCACGATCGAGAAGAAGGGCAAGGGCGCCATGCAGATCGAAACCATCGCCCAGGACGGGTTCATCCAGATCCAGAACGTAGGCTACTTCGCCAAGGCCGACCTGGCCAATGCGGCCAGTGCCGAGAAGGAGTGGACCCGCCAGAGTCTGTACAGCGGGCCTCCGTTCGGCAACCTCGATGAAGACCTGCAGACCCTGATGGAGCGGTATCTGGAAGAGAGAGGGATTGATAGTGCGCTTGCGTTGTTCGTGCCGGATTATATTGAGTTTAAGGAGCAGCAGGAGTATATTCGATGGCTACGCAGTAAGTCCCTTTTCGTAATCTTCTCCAGGATTGATTATACCGTTTAATTAATTTTGCGGACGTATCGGGATTTTGTCTAACATGTTTCTCCTCCTTCCTGTTTTGCTACAGACCTCAAGACTTTCGTCGAAGCTTAGATGGCGGCAATCCCTTCGCTATCCGAATCCCTTAGCTACACTTGTCTTAACCGAACTCCCAAACTCTCAACCACGACTCTTTCTCCCCGTAGAACTTCCGCCACTCCCGCTTTTTCTCCAAAAGAAAAACTACACAACGACTCTTACTCCTCCTTCTAATCCCACCGACCTCTCCTATGTAACAAATAACAAACCCAATCCCCCATTAAGCATTCCAAATCACATATAAAACCTCCACCCTGTATTTTATACTTTACTTTGGTAGTAGTTCGTTGGGCAAACTACGAAGCGATAAAAAAAAATTCACACCTTGTGTATTCCATGCATTTTACTTTAGTCTTCTCTTTTCTTCTTTCTTTCTTCCTTCTTCTTGTGTTGTTAATGAATTAATAAGTCATCAAATATCATAGCGAATAAATGACGCGGATACAACGAGCGACCCTGATATTGTGCCTTGTTCTATCTATACCGGGTTCCTAAGGAAAGTGTCACGGCGGAGGATATTAAACCAGAAAAAGGAAACGAACGAAGACTATGCTCTACAGTCCACTGCAGGCTTCCACGAGATTTTTTTTAAAAAAAAAAAAAAAAAATCCTGAGCAGGCCAATCGTTTTCTGTTTCTAATTGTCTCCACACAGGCAAAATACCTTCGTGGACAAGAGGGGGCGGGGGCTCCCTTTCTGGGCTCTTGGGACACGGGTTTTGACACCATGGGGAACTTTTCCAAATTATATCAAGAAATTTAGTATATATATATGTGCATCGTAGCTAACGCATGCTTCGCCCCGCTGGAAAAATAATTTTCTCGTCGGAAGACACTCGCATGATAATCTCATTCCATTCAAATAAATCCATTGACTCGATTGCTTGATAGCTAGTTCTAAATAAACGTCATCCCCGCCCGAAAGATGGTGAAAAGAGGCCGTGAAAACACCCGAAAGTCATAGATACATGCATCATGCATACATACTCAAGCAGCGCTCAAAAGCACGACAGAAAAAAGGAGAAAAAAACGAGAGAGAGAGAGAGAGACAGAGAGAGAGAGAGAGAGAGAGAGAGAGCGATAAAAAGGGAACAGAAAAGGAAAAGGGGAAGAATAGCCTCGCATCAAGTTAAAAATTCGGATGGGAGAACCATCCCTTTCACTTCAAAACTCCATAGCGCTCGCACCACTGGCCTCCCAACCCTCGGCGTCCCTGCCCCTCTTCCCCGCTCCAGCCCCCGCTCTCTCTGCCTTAAGCAGCCCCGCCACGAACGAGCGGAAATAATCAATATACGGCTTCAGGCTAGTCTTCTCGTAGTCCTGCACCCGCCTCCCTTTGCCATCGACGTCGGCTGCGCTGGAGAGGCCGGCACCACCAGCACCAACACCAGCACCAGGATCAAAATCAACATCCCCCGCCATCTGCTCATCTTTCACAACGTCATTCATCCCATTGCTTCCATTCTCCCTCGAACCACCTTCCCCGCCATCCCACGCGTTGATCTCCGCAATCAGCTCTCCGACCGTCGGCACACTAAGAGGGTCGAACTGCTCCACGCGGCGGATGTCGATGGGGACACACACGCGGCCCGTGCCCGGGTGCACGACAAAGGGGCTCTTGAGCAGATGGATGAGTTTCTTGCTCACTTCCGCGTCCAGGCGCGGGTAGGTGTACTCCAGCGCGATGTCCTGCTTCGCTTCCAGGAGCGCCTTAGTGTCCAGCGACTGCTGCCCGGCTGCCGCGGCGCCGCGTGACTTGGCAGACTTGGCCACAGCGTCGATGTCGTTCCATTTACTGGTGCTCGAGCGCTCGGGTGCGGAGTCCCATTTGCGCCGCAGCGCGTCCGCGAGCGGTTTATCCGGGAGCAGGGCGAGGAGCTGTTCGGCTTGTGCCGGCTTGCTGAAAGTGTCCTGCGCTACGAGGATGGTGGAGGCGAAATGCGGCTTGAGGATCTCGAGGCTCCGCGAAACGTGCGGGTGCAGGGGACGTTTGAGGTTGACTTTCTTGCCGCTCTGGCTGCCGCCGCGGATGACCTCGAGGTAGCCTGCGATGGCCTTGCGGCGGTCGTCGGGCAAACTGCGGGCGCGCGGGTCGCAGACCCAAGCGTGCGCGCCGCGCCGACCCGAGTAGACCCAGAGAATGTGCTCGAAGCCGAAATCGTCACGGAGAGCCGTGTCGATGACCTTGATGGCCATGGTGACGAAGGCCCAGCATTTCTGGCAAATGTTTGCCTTGTTGCAGCAGGTGCGGATGTCGTCGTAGTCTGTCAGGTCGATGTCGAAGACCAGTTCCTTGGAGACAGGCTTGAAGAGGCTGGCTTTGCGGAGGGTTTTGCGGTCGCGTGGGTTGGTGCTGTAGACGGGTCCAATTTCGAAGCGAGAGGGTTTTAAGTGGAGGATTTCTTTACGGAGGCTGTAATTTTGGTCTGTTTAGTGTTGCTCTTGTCTCTTCGTTTTTCACCTCTTTTCCATCGTGCGCAGCGTTCCAGTTGTTGGGTGATGTACATACAGCTCTGCATTTGGGAATGATTGGTAACGTAGATAGGCATCGTTTTGAAGAGTGAATGCGAATTCCCGGTTGCCAAAATCCGGCGAGGGTTTCACATCATGATTGAGCCATTGGAAGAGATATTTGAACGGAAACAGGCGTAAGTAGAAGGCGTACATCGTCTCGGAGTCTATTTGCACCGGAGCGGGCCCGGGCGGTCTAGGCGAGGGAGTTAGATCAGCATTGTCTGCATATTTGGGCGGGTGAGAAAGCAGTACTTGAGTGGTGGCTCTGGGGAGCTCTCGAGCTTTGAAGTCACAGCTGCGCTGGACGTCGGAAATTCATCATCGTCATCGTCATCGCCGAACAGGTCTTCTAGCTTGACAGGCTCTGAAGTATCCGGTTGTGCAGTGGTAGTTCTAGCGGGGTCATCGGCGGGGTCATCTTCAGGCCCATCTTCAGGCCTGACATGGCCTGTGTCTTGCTCCGAAGCACATGGCAAAACCTCCTTGCATTCTTGGCCAGCATTCGGCATGATGAGAAGCGCAGAAAGATATAGACGACAGCTGCTTTGTGGACACTGTGCTGGCTGTCTCCATCTGATGTCGAATATCTGTCTTTTCTGCTGAGACGCGAAGGCGCGACGCGGATGTAATTAAACCCGATTAGGAAATAGTGCCGCGCCTATTTTGCCGCGCGACTGAAGCGTTGTTATTGGCCAGCTAGCGCGGGGAATGCGCCCCAATGAATGAGCCTCATTTCGCATCAACTTCTCAAGTACGAAGCGTGAACAAGATCGAGATGCTCCTCGCATCTACGCAGGGACAACAACAAGATAACAGGACTTGACCTGCATATATATCTAGAAGCTATACGGTGGATGGCGATTGCGAGGTTCCTGGAGAGGGGCACTTGCCTCTGTGAGTCACATAATGTGGCCCTGGCTCTACTTCCACAGTGTGTGTCCACTTCCCCGGGGTGGGCCCACGTTGTCGTCATGGACAGAAGGGTTACTTTGCAGAGCATGGAGTTTCTCCTCTGGACCAGGCCTGTTTGGGGTGTTCATTGTTCTTTGCGTGCGGCTATCTTCGGGCTTGGTCGTGACCGTGCTCAATTTGTGGGCGGCTCGGTAAGCAGCTAAGTTGATGGATAAGCGGGGCTAAAGATCCTACAGGGCGGGCCTTAACCGAACTGGGCTAGAAATGACGCTCAAAGCCGAATGTCGACGGGTTAATTAAGCTGCAGGGAAAAATCTGTGCTCCGTCCTCCAACAGTCCTTCGCAGTTGACCTGGTCTGCATCAATTGATCCTTCTGTTGCAAGGGCTGTCCGCTGGTCGAATTCCCATCTGCTCTTCGATTGCGTTGGAAAGAAAAAAGAAAAGAAAAGAAAAGAAAAGCAAAAAGAAAACCCTTGCCAGTTGCCACTCCGGCAGTACTGAGCAAGCTGCAGGCATTGGAACCCCTGGAATTCTTCGGGAGACTAGTATGCGGTCGGAAATTCATCGTCGAATGGACGCAACGGATCTCGTCACTCTGTATAAGAGCAACCTACAGAACTGCGTACGATATCCCCTCTAGATGTACTGTACACGGGCATTATACAATATACATTATCCAGCTGGTAAGAGTCGACCGGAGCCCGCGCCCTCTCTATCATGAAGTCATGAACAGAACGCTGTATCCCCACTCGAAAACCGACCTACATATCTTTGATTTCAGAATACTTTCTGCCCTTCTCCCCATTGCTCGCCAGCGCCTGGCCGAAGAAGCATAGAGTGGCGGGGTTCGTCCTGGTATCATTGCATAGCTTCCCAGCGTCATCGCATGGTGTGATCGAAGCAATTTTGTAATAGCCTTTCCAGAATACCCAGGAAGACGGTTAAACGGATGCGAGTGCCAGTCGATCCTGATGACTTCACCAAAAGCTTCCCTACGTTGCTGTGACATGGAACCGGAGGGAAGGGCCCTCTTGGGAACCCCAAGCCTGCCATGGATGATGATTTATGATTGAGCCATTCCTGCAGTGGAGAATACGGCTGCCCACGAGTCCTCGCAGTAATGACGCACCATTAATTCTTCGGGAATGCGTCAAATATTATATACAGACAAACTGGTGTCGGTCAAGAGTCGCAAGGCGGTTTGAGATCTAGAATCGACAAAGAAGCCCAAACTTAATGGAAGGTGGAGTTAAAGGTAAATTTTATTTTATTTTTTTCCCTCGCTTTTCTATTCTTTTCCTTTTTGTGAATTTGGTATGAACTCACTCATAATAAGCACTCACTCACAGTAGGTAGCTTTTTGAACATTCGCGGGTAGGATTTAGCGTTGATGTAATTATAGCAACTACTGCTGAAATATTTTATACAATGGATCCCTGACGATTCTTCTCTAGTTTAACAAGATGCAATCCGCTAACCGAAAAGGCCTAGATAGAGTCGGCTTACTCGTACATAATACAGCGGTAATTCCACGTCACGATGGCTCTTTAAAAGAGTACCCCAATATCCCTATCCCTAGTTGTTGCGCTCTCCTCAAGTGAGTCAGTGCCATTGTCAATGCCAAATCGCAACCCATATTCTCCCCCTCCGCAGACCCTTTGTCGAAATGAGCGGAATCTCGGTGCAACCGCCGCCGCAAAAGGAACCTCACAGTCCCAGCCATGCCATTGCCAGCGAGCCATGCGGAACAAAGCCCGAATGCGTTGAGACGACCACTTGTGTCGACCCTGAAAATGAATCGGTGGAAAATGTCGCTCCCAATGATGGCATGAAGAAGAAGCCCAGCGCTGGGATAATCGTAGCGGCGTCAAGCATGGTTTTCATGAACTCGGCCTTGAACGGTATGCTGACCGTGGGCCTGCCATCGATTGCGCGGGATACCAGATTGCCCGACAATCTCATACTATGGTGAGGGCAATTTTATTTTTGTCGCTTCTCTTTTCTGTTCCTTCTTTTCGCCGTCCGTCATGTCCCACGGCTTTCCTTCTTTCCGTGCTCGAATATATATCAATGTTGCGTTTTTTTTTTTCAAATAACTAAAACCAACCTCAACAGGCCAGCATCCGTTTTCGGCCTGACCTGCGGCTGCACTCTTCTGCTATCCGGGTCCATTGGTGACCTTATCGGCAGCCGCAGAGTCTACCTCACCGGCGGCCTGCTGCTCTCCGCCTTCACTCTGGGCTGCGGACTAGCGAGAACCGGTATCCAGCTGATCATGTTCCGCGCGATATCCGGCATTGCCATCTCGATGTGTCTGCCCACCGCCGTGAGCATCATTACGTCCTCGTTCCCCAAGGGCAAGCGGCGGAACGTCGCTTTCGCCTGCCTGGGCGCCGTTCAGCCGGTGGGCTTTTCGATCGGCCTGACTCTCGGCGGTGTCCTGGTTGACACCCTGGGCTGGCGATATGGGTTTTACATCGTCTCCGGCGCCATCGCCCCGTTCCTCCTCCTGGCTTTCTGGGGGATTCCCAAGGACCCCCTCAAGACAGCACCCATCACGCGGCAGCGCCTGGCCTCCGAAATCGACTGGGTAGGAAACGTCTGCATCAGCGCCTCGCTCGGAATGTTCTCCTACAGCTTCGCGTAAGTTCAGCCCCCCGCCCCCCCAAAAAAGATGTCCTGAATAAATTAGTTATATATTAGCCACATAACACACACGCAGCGCATGACTTACGCATTTCAACATATACCTTCTAGAGTAATGTCCGGCGACATCAAATCCCTTATCCGCCCGGGAAACCTAGTCATCCTCATTCTCGCCATCCTCTTCCTCGCCGCCTTCATATACTGGGTAACCCGCCAGGAATCCCTCAACCGCATCGCCCTGATCCCGCCTTCCCTTTTCCGCTCCACCCCTGACAGCCCTAACCGCGCCCGTAACTTCTCCGCAATCTGCATCTCCGTCTTCTTCACTTGGGCCATCTTCAACGCCAACCAGTACTTCACAACCCTCTACTTCCAGAAGATCCAGCACCTCTCCACGCTCGAAACATCCGCCCGTTTCGTGCCCATGATCGTCTCCGGCGCCATTGCGAACATCATGACGGGCCTCACCGTGGGCCGCGTCCGCGCTGATATCCTCTGCGTCGGCACCGCGGCCATCTCAGCCATCGCGCCGCTGATGCTGGCCGTGGCGGACCCGTCCTGGTCGTACTGGGCAGCGGCATTCGTTGCCACAACCGCTATTCCGATCTCGGCAGACACGCTCTTCACGATATCCAATCTGGTCATCACGTCTATTTTCCCGCCCAAAACGCATGGGCTGGCTGGCGGGGTATTCAATACCATTTCGCAGATAGGGATGTCGGTGGGGCTGGCGGTGACTGCCGTGATTTCTAGTTCCGTGGCGGAGCATGAGAGGCGGCAGGTGGCAAGTGGTGGTGATAACGATGGCCAGGGTAAGAATGACCAATATGCCCTGCTGCAAGCGTATAAGGCTACGTACTGGGCGTTGTTTGGGGGGAGTATTGTCGTTGTCGTGCTGAGTTGGTGGGGGCTGCAGCGCATTGGGAAGGTTGGCCTTAAGGATCGAGTGAGGCCGGTGGATTATTGAACGAGGCCTTTTTCTCGAGGATCAGTCAGCGTTCCTTTTTCAAACGGCGGGGGTTGCTAGGGAATACAGAGTTAGAAAATATGTATATATGATATATGAATATGTGATAGATAAGAGTGAACGTGATAGTTTTAATTTAGAATTATTTTGGATTAATTGATTCATCGCTAAGGCTTTCTAAGCTTGCCTCCATTCAACATGAAGAAGGACTGGATATAATAAACGTAATGCTTCACCATACCGGGACACCGCACTTCGAGGGTTCTTCCTATTCGTTTCAATGCGCCGTCACAGGTGTGCTGCTAACCTCGGGTTTCTCCTTCAATAAACCTTGGGGTTCTTCCGCGACCTGATTATTTCGCGCCTGCTCCTCTCTGATTTTCTGGAGGAGCGCGGGATACTATGGTTAAAACAGAACAAGCAGGGTCAGTATGTATGTATCGTCAATATATGTAAACCAAAATTAGAAATATATACATACCCAACGCTCCCCAACATCCGGATGGCTCTTGATCCGATTCATCAGCGTTGCCTCCCCCAGATGCCCCCACCTCCCCTTCGAAAACGTAAACTCAATGTCATCCTGCCGGATGCCGTTGCGCCTGATAACTTCCTCGCGCAGAGCTTTGACGTGCGCTGGTACGTCCATGCTCTCGAATGTAGCATCGTAACTTACACCCTGGAAGAAGGGAACGCTGTAGCGGGCACCACTGCCCCGAGCGGGGCTTAGGACGCGGTGGGTCGTGCTGTATGTACATGCTACTTAGCCGATGCCCCAAAGTTCCAGGACGCCCAAGGGAAAATATATATAAGAAAGGCCTCAAAATTCAATACAAAACCAACCTCTGACAGACTCCCTGCGTCATCGCCTCCAGCCCCTGCCCAATCGCCACGACAAACGTCCCATCGATGGGCGGACAATCCACCCAGTCCCCCCGATGATTCTGCACCTGCAGCCCCCGATGGTGGCTCGCCTGCAATAAATAGCTCGTGAGCATACTGTCCTTATGCGGACCTACGCCCTGGCCCTCCCCTTCATCCCCCTCCACACCCAGCTCTTGAAGGTCTGGATACTTCACAATCTTCAACTTGTGTTGCTGGCCCTTATCGAAGAAACGCTCGAAGGCCTTCGACGGCAGCCCGATCGCTTCAGCTACGAGCGATATGAACTCCATGCTGATGGCGCCCATCTGGGCCATATACTGTTCGTAGACGGGGCGAAAGCGGGGGAGATAGCTGCTATCTGGCCATTGGTTGGGAGCTAGGAGATTGTGGTATAGAGGGTCGGATGGGGCGGGGAGGGGGTGTGTGGTTGACAGGTCTATTTGTTCGCGCCAGTCGGTCTTGAAGCGTGTTATTTCATTGCCGAGCCGCGAGTAGCCTGTTGTAAAGGGGAAGAAAAGAAAAGAAAAGAAAAGGCACTAAGATCAGCTATTTTCCATGCTTCAATTCTTTTTTTTTTTTATATATATGTAAGTGCATTACAAGCTCATGCGGGCAGCGTTGTCATACCCAGAAAACTAGGCGCATTCTTCATCTCGACCTCCAACTTCTTCTCATCTGGCAATTCGAAAAACCTCCTCCCCTCCTCAATAACCCCCTGGATCAGCTTGTCGTCAACGCCGGTGTTCTTGATATAGAGGAATCCGACTTCCAGAAGCGCATGGCGCAGGGAGTCGAGGAAAGCCGGCTTTGTCGCGGGGTCGCGCGCCTCCGACAGGTCGAGGATGGGAATGGAGCTGAAGGACATGGCTATACATGTATGTATGTGCTGATATATATGTTGAAATAAACGAACATGGATGCGACGGCGGGGTATGCAAGTTGTATATATATGTGTGGGCGTGAGGAGATCGAACCCTTATGCGGTGGTGTCATGGTTGGCGGGAATTGCGGGCGTCTTGCGTGAGGGGAACAGGCAACTAAACATTATGGCCGGCAACTTGGAAACAAAGTTTAGCCAACTAGTTCTACTGTCAATGCCGAGAAGCTGAGAGACTCTGGATATGCAACAGTCGCGGACGCTGGTGGAGAAACCGATATTGCCGGTCAGCATGGCGAAATTGTTATCTACGTGAAGCATAACTCCAAGTTAACTCAGGCGAAAACATAGATGAAGAGACATGTTAAAGTACCCCTCATGCCCCATGATGGCCGCTATACGAGATATGCTCACCAGAAACTTATATTCCACTTATATACGCAAAGTCCCATTTGAAAAAGAAAGAAAGAAAGGAAAAGAGCCCACGTTCTCAATTCAGTACATGCAGAATCTTCTTTGATACGCTAGATCTATTATACCGTAACAGCATTCGCATTTGCCCTACTAAAATGCTTAACAACACCCTCAAAAAAGGTATCAACGCCCGGCAAAACAAACGACGGTCCGACATCAAAGATATCAGTCAAGCTTCCACCCTCCTTTGCTTGTGCCGCTTCCTGACCACGGCCGATTTGCCCTGTTGTTGGTAGGGATGCCGCCGCATCCGCTCCAGCAGGCGATACGCGTTCGAGATGCCCATATGCGCCGAAAATGTTCTCCAGGCCCGTTTGTATTAGGGACGAGGAAGCGTCAGCCGCAATCTGGGGTACGAGTTGTTTCCAATCACCCGAGCCAATCTGCTGGATCTGAGCGGCCGCATCGATCAGGACATACTCGCCAGTTCGGAGATCAGAGAGGAGAGCACGACAGGCATAGTCTAGGGTCGATTGGAAGACAGGTCTCAGGGATTTAACGTCGAAAATGGCCAGCTGATGGCGGGCCTTCCCTCGCTTTTGCTGCTGCGGGTGCTCTTTGTGCGACTTGCGGCTACCTTTCCGCTTAATGCGGGTGAATGAGATGGCAAATGTTTGGCTTTTACGGTTCACGGCAAGTATCTTTGGTCGGGTTCCCTTTGGATCAACTGCGTTGTCTTCCATCAGCATTGTCAGCTTGACAATGTCGGCCACTGTATCCCACACTACCAACTGGTCTGAGAGGACGACCAGGTGCCGATCCAAAAAGCCCAGCCCGCGCGGTGTGCCTAGGTAGAGGTTGTCCCGCGCGTGGCAGATCTCCCCGTTCTTGGGATTGATGAGATAAACCAGTCGCGCTCCGCTCTGGTCAGTCCAACAGACAGCAAGAACCGAACCATCGTCTGAAAACGCGAGGCTGCCCACTTTGGAAATTACTGCGGATTCTGATTCCTCTGAGAATCTTTCGAGCGCGATGCTGTGAACGGCTCTCCAGGTTTGCAGGGTTTGATTCTGTTTGTCTTTGATCGTCTGGCCACTGCGATAGCGAGCGTTAGGAGACCAGATTCGAACAACGGCATCTTCCCCAACAGTGACAAATGCGGAGCCTGCGGGATTAGCCACTAGATCCAACACCTGCGCAGACCCGAACGAAGGATCGAAATGAGGCGCATCAATTCGTGTACTTAGTTCCCACTCTCGTGCACTTTCATTCCAGCGCCAAAATTTCAAGAATATTTCTCTCCTTTCCTTTTGAGGGGTAATGCTCGGTGGGTACAACACGCTCACGTCTTGGGAATACTGCAACCACTCATCAACCGTCGACAGCCACTCTCCATCTGAAGTTATACCAAGGAACTTGACATCGGGTGTTGTTAACTCCGTTCCTTGCGGCCCGGTCTTGACGATAGTGGCATTTGTTCTCGCAAGTGCTTGACGAGATACTTGCTGGTTGGTGAGTACATTGAAGGTCTGAAGCGACGATGCGCTGGGGGAACTATCAGGGGATCGGGCGGGAGAGGAGGGAACCGCTGCAAGGAGATGTTCGGATTGTACGGGGTGTAGAACAGCAGGCAAGGAAACTGTGTTGGGTTCGACGTATTTCGAGGTCGATGACTTATCCTTTTTGCGCCCTTGTGATGGCTTTCTCCTGGCGACGTCATCCACTTCTGATGGTAATTGTACGCCGCTCACGCTAGCAATAGGGCGCAACTCTGATGTAGACAGAACCATGGCAGAATTATCCGCAAGTCGGATTGCATAAAATTTCCCTGTACGAGATACGACAATGGAGCAGATGTGGGACGAAAGATGGGGTAAGAACTGTTTCCTTCCAGTATCAAGCTGATATTGTACGATGACAGTCTCCGAACCACCCGAGATAATATAGTTTCCTGCGTGCACAAAGATTAGCTTCAGTGCCTAGTGATTCTCTTGAAATGTATTTTGGTTATTTACCGTCTCGAGACCACTTCACTGTCTTGACCGCGTTCCGATGCCAATGTAGACGGTTTGTCGCTAAACTTGTTCCGGCCTCGGATTTGTTCTCAGTTCGTAGCAAAGAATTGAGGATATCATGGTAGATCAAGATTGCACCCTCCACATCTCCGACGACAAGGTCCACTACTCCCGATGTCGGAGAGGACATCTGGTCCGATGGCGAACGTTCGCGGATATCACAGCAAGTAATAGCAACAGACAAAGTGACCTCCAGCCAGGTATACTTGATCGAATCCCACGCTTCCAATCGCAGTCCAGCTCTGTATCCCACAAACAGCTGATCATCAGCAATTATTATAATAACCCTTCCATCGGAGGAGACTTTGAGTTCATTCGCAGTTGCGGACATCTCCCGAATAACTCTGGTATTCCAAAAATCCGATCCCCTCTTGGAGTGCATGGTCATCTGCACTTCCCCTGAGCCTGCGGAATTCATTGAGACCACAACATCCTCATCAGGGCAATCCTTGCCACTCGAGCTGGTACAGATGTCAATAGCAAATATTTCGCCAGAAACATTCCATGTCTCAATATGCTCCCCCGATATCCAGTCCCATTTCATAATAGCTCCAGAAACAGTCGACATGTAAAGATGCTCCGGATTGACAGGGGACAGTTTGCAGGCAGTAATACTCCGCATTTCGGGTTGTATCTCCAGCGTCCGTACCACACTGGAGGTCGCTACAGAAAAGACCCGAGCGAAAGCGTTCGAGAAAAGGATAAAATGCCTATGTTTATGTTAATACCGAGGTGCCGTACTGCGAACGAAAGGAGCAAAGCTACTCAGCACTCACTTCTCATCGGGTGTGATAATGGTGTCAATATCAGCAAATCTGCCGCCCACAGTGCGTAACACGGACCATTGTGCTGATTTCGATGGGTTATTGGAAGATTGAAATTCTCCAGACGATTTCCCCTTGTGGCGCCTTGATACAGCGGTTGTGGATTTAGTTTGAGAGACATCACCAGCGACGCTCAGGGCGTTATCCGCTGGCTGAGAACCTTTTTCTTTCCGACCATGTTTCTCCTTGCTCCTAGGCTCCGTCACTGGTGTCCTTTGGTCCACGTTGCTTTCTTGTTCTAGGGATCTGGCAGGAGTGTTCTCTTGTTTCGTAGGCTTCAGCGACGCAGTTTTCTCGTTGCCGACGACAGAAATATCACGACCGATCTTGCGCCGCTTTGTCCGACTCTGCTCAGAGTTGATTTTCTGGTCATCTTTTGTATCGTCAACGACCAATTGCCGTTTATCCACTTTCCGTGCGGGGGAAATTTTTGAGATCATTCTTCTGAGGCTCGGAGATGGGGGCTGACAGGTCGACTCAAATGGTGCTTGTCAGGTCCCAAGCCGATATCCTGAAACGAGAGGCTGCAAGGCAAATACACGAGCTATATCTGCGAGTCCCTATCTATTCCATGGAGTTCTAAATAATAGTAGCTGTGCGTAGGACACCCATTCCCCTACCCCGATGTTATTTCCTCGTCGAAGGGAAAAAATAAAATATGCATTTGGAAAAAAACAACCTTTGGGGCTAAAAAAGTTTCCGCCGGCAGAATTCGACACCGCCAACCCACTTATGTAAGCATTCAAGAAAATCTTCGGGATTTCGAGAATTCCATGTCGCAACTCAACTACAGCTATCTGAACTCTTTGCTCGAAGCTTTTGTCTCTATCGCTGGAATCCGCGAACTGCTGTGCACATTAGGCCCCGTCTCCTTATACAGGAATCGGATTCACTCCTCTACGCAGACTCCTACATCTCCGATCTCCAGTCTCCTCGCATCAACAACTTGCGGCCGAATCGCCTTCCTCCCGCCAATTCAAAATGATAATTCCCGTCCGCTGTTTTTCATGTGGAAAGGTGTGTGTGTGTGCCTTGACTACGAATAGCGGTTTGCATTTTTTTCAAAGCCACATCTCACATTGGACATAGGTTGTTGGTGACCTCTGGGAACGATATCTAAAATTACTTGATGAGGGCGTACCTGACGGGTGAGTAGCTTAGCATTGAACCTGCATATATCTGGGTAAAAAGGAGCTCTGTCTGATAAGGGGTAAATGGCACACAAACAGGGATGCGATGGATCAGCTTGGCTGTAAACGATACTGCTGCCGACGAATGCTCATGACCCATGTTGACCTTATTGAAAAGCTGCTACGGTAAACACACACAACCTATCACGTTTTCTCTTTTCTTTTTTGCATGCATGTTTTGTTTCTACTGCTAATCATTTGACGAATGGTATTTCTAGGTATAACCCTGCGGAGAGAGACCGAGCGAAAACCCAGCTGTAGCTGCTACTTCAGCCCGTTAGGCAATAAAGAACCTGTTCCTCGACCAAGTTAATGAGTTTATGTATTCAAAACTCCGCAAACTCACAATTCCTGAGATATACATATTCACAACGTATTTCACCCCCTTCGGACCTCCTTATTAACTTCGTAATGATGGCCGCCCTTCCTGTGCCTGCCTCGCTTCTACGAAACGCCATATCCAACCCATCTATATCTCCTTCCTCGGGTAGTCGGCAAAACTCGATATCCTTTTCATTTTTTGTAAACTTTATTAAATTATGATTTGACGAACGGCCTCACAAATGTTGTATATTTCTTATTTCTTCTTAAGGGAGGGGGCTTATAGAATACTAGGGAGGAATCAATCCTTCCCGCACATGGCTACCACGCTTTTGCTCTTCTTTTTCTCTTTCTCTATTTCGATTCATACATGGGTCGCTTCTGGTGTGAGCCCGCTAAAGGCGCGCTAATGCATCCAGTATGAGGATTTGTTCGTCGATAATACTGAGAAAGAGCGGGGATGGCCACGGTGCATTTGAAGTGTTTCACTATGAAATGAAGACTGAAAATGAAAAGAAAGAGAAGATAATTATTTCCCTTTTTCCATTAGTCATTCATTATTTGGATCAAATGTGCAGTACGGAATACTGCCATAGTTTATCAAATAAACATCAGACCGACGGATGAGCTGTTGTTTCTTCGCGGCGGAGATGTCGAACTACTACTCCTTTCCCCTCTCTTCACTCATGATCATTTCCTCATATCCAACAAATGGTGGGGAACTATGCAATATTGGATTTAGCTCCTCACAGGTTTTGGGGGCCAAATATCAAGCGACCGTGCTGCACGTTGCAATGGAGCATGGTTGTTTGCTGTGCAGCAATTGCCGAACGAGAGGACCGTTATGGGCTAGATCAAATATAAATCATTTCACCGAGGTCACCCGCATCAAATCACGGATTATTACCAGGTAGAAAAACAACGAATGATCAATTCACAGTAATATTTCAAGCAAAAATTGTTTTTCCCCCCTCAATCGCGCGTCTCTGTGTCTCGCCGTTCAGCGGCCCCTTCGTTTATCCCGAGAAGAAGCGCATTAACGGGTGTTCTCCTCTACTGTGCGTATGAATTCATACCAAGAAGACAGCTGAACAACGCGTGGGAGGCCCAACTCAGGAGCTCAGAGAGGAAACAATCCCCGCCCAGGGCAGAGTGTACCCACAGCAGATAGTCATACATAGCCTGCTGACAGAATGCGGGAAGTTTAATCATCCCTGACAAAAACATCAGCACTAATAAATAAATGGTTCGTCTCGAAAACATTTTGAAGGATGGAAATATTATTGGGGGCATCGAAAGGGTATTTCGTTCCAGCCCACGCTATTGTGTGAACAAACCCATTCTACGGGGATTCTTGGGCTGTGGGCGATGGCGGTTTTGCTGTCCCACGCCATTGAGAATCCATTCGTCAGAAACAACTTTAACTCCGCTGCTGGGACCGGGAAGCTTGGGACTCGGGAGTGTTCGTCTCAACTAGGGCAGGGAATCTTGATTGTCTTGGGAATTAAATCAGTGCTAATCATCGGAAGTCAATCATCAGCAATGAATTGGCCCCCAACTTCCCCAGAACTCAATCAACAGGCGGTGGGATGGTGTCGATGCTCAGGCAGCCCACCGTCAATCAAAGCGTACGTGTAGATTCTAGCTGAGCTGGCGTTCGGGGCCGAGAGGTAGGTCTTTCAGCAGCCACTGAGGCCTCAACCCTGATCTCGATTATTGCAATGTTGCTGTATTTTACGCTGGTGTTGGGTGTATTCAGAGAGCGAGAAGGGCAGCCTTGCCAACCCTCGGGGTCTTGAGAGTGCGCAAGCCAACCACATCAGGGATATTTAGTCTTGTCGAAGCAACGCGCGATGCCACTAATGCAGCTGTCGAGAACCAACTCGGGCTGTGACTGGTGGACGCGGGCTCTGGGAAGGTCTTGGTGTCGGCCATCACTTTTTCCCAGCGCTTAAGCATCTTCGACTGTTTGCAGCGAATCCCTCTCCAACAGTCTTGCGTCGTTGGCTTGATCATTATTGGCCCGTCCTTGCAGGGCATTACCCATGCTCGAGTTATCGGCTCGTTGGATTCTCGACTGGCCTTCAATTCCCTCTCCTTAGGCAGTACTCCGTAGTCAGTCTTCCGTCGAAAAGGACACGAACGAAAGCAAACGGACAAACCGGGGAGACGAAGAATCCAGCCAGACGGACAAGCAGATACCACACCCTCCGCAGCAGCTGTGCCTGTGGGACTCGTGCAACCCGTGGACAAAGCATCAGAAAGCCGCAGTCGACAGCATCGCAGCCCGCTAACGCTGCCCTTTGATTCGGGTTCCCTGACAGGACACTAACGAGCTTTTGGCCCCCTCTCTTTGTCCTGGATCAACATTCCGCTCAAGCCTCTCCCTCTCCATATCCACCCAACGGGGAGCCAGACGACAGACTATCCTTTGCCCAGACCGGATAGCACCAGCAGCAAAGGGACGTGCAGTGGAAGAAGACCTGTGCGGCCCAGCAGGTTAATAATAATCGCATTGGAAACCTGGTTCGTGGTTTGCGTGAAGAACCAGCATCCAGCATCCAGCGCAAGACGCAGACGTCTGTTGGTCCTAAGCTCCAGCTCTTCACATTTTATCTCCTTGCTCGAAAATTTTATGCTCGACCGTTCCATACCGTCGCCATTCCGGTGCGTATTGCCGTAGCTGACTCTCGGGGTTACTCAACAGTTGCCGGTGAGTCTCTTAACTATCCTTTGTTTGAATCTCCTGTTGGAATTGGAGCATCTTCTCTAACCTGCGCGCGGGGGGCCGATTTTCTCCAGGCTCTGGCTCGATCTATCCAACAATCGCAGACGCCCCGAATTATCCACATCAAGAGGATGAGCGTTGGATGATATTTTGTTGAATATCTCCATCCCTTCCGCTTTCCTCCCCCGCGGCATTTGAACCCCCCTCTTTATCAACCACACTCGGCTTCTGGGAACAAAAACGTCGAGATGTTGGCTGTCAGATCTCCGTCATCTGTGTCCTCCGGAAATCAGATATCTGCTTTCTCCCCGTACTCTGCTTCCCCAAGCTCCCCAACTCCATTTTCAATGTGAGTTGAAGCTCAAGAAACCAGCTACTGCTTCACAGCCTTTTTGTTTCATGCCTCTAATTATTTTTCCCCCCTCACCCCCCATAGGCAATCCGATATGCTCCCGCTGTCCCAGGGATCTCCTTCCCCATCCCAGATGTCCTCCAACTCTAGATCGAACGACATTTCCAGGTCCTCGCCTAAGGCGTTCACTCCAAATGGAATAGATCCTTCGGAGACCCAAGATACCATCACCAACGGAGACATAGACCGCTCTATCACAAGGACTGGAAGTTCACTTAGTGTATGAAGCTTCCCACTACACACCCCGCAACAGCCAAGGAGCTGGCTTCCATTAATTTTTTTGCAGATACGGACTTCCGGCGCTGGAGTAAGTGACTTCAAACCCAACTCTGACGACGACGAGGCACCCCAATCTGTAATACATGTTCCGTCCGGCTTTGGAAAATTTGTAAGCTTGCTTGTTCTCCTTCCTGTTTTCCACTTTTTTTTATTTCCTTTGAATATCGGGACACTGATAATTTAGTAGCTAGACAGTGTTCCTTCGCCGCGAGCAGAACCTACCAGATCATCGTCGGCGCTATCAGATGTGACAGTTACTTCGCCCCTAGTTGTCCAAAACGGCGACAACAATGCGGGAAAGGTTGGCTCCATCATTGACAATTTCCGATGTGAAATTCAAACTAAAAAATGCGCTGTAGAAGCCCACAACTCCAGTATCGCCTCCACCAATCACCACCACACATATTGCACCTCCAGAGGACTGGTCGGATCGAACAACCCCTCGTGCTCAGACAAGACAGGAGGTTGAAGATTTCAAGAAAAGAGCCAGGAAAAGCAATCTCGAAGGTGGGGTTGTAACCCGTAGCATTTTATTTATTTCTTTCTTTATTTACCTTTACCAGTTTTGTCAGAATCTGACTTCTGCTAGATATACCCGAGACATTTGACGTCGAGCAGGCTACAGAAGAAACGGAAAACGAACCAGAGACTCTCCACGATGGCGGGGAGATCACAACAACTACAGTTGGCAAATTTCAGGATAATGAGCAATTGAACGCTTTGAGGACGGCATTATCAGAATGCTGGACTCTGTGTAATACCCTAGCAAGTCTAAGCTACATCCATCGTGAGCGATTGTTTAACTTTTCGGGAAAGGGCGACATGCAGGAACAGGCCTGGAAATCGTGCTGGAAACTTTGCCAAAACCTTTACGAGAACCGCGATAATGACGACCATCACACCTACGTGCGGCCTACTCTAGACCTCTGCCGGGACTTTTGCCAAGCACTGTTCGAAGTTCGTGTGCGCGATAATGAAGTTGCAGACTCTGTTCTGCGTGTAAGTTTTGAACTCAATAATCACCTGTATAATACACATGATCGAAACCTTCCCGAGGCGTTCAGGGAACGGACCCTGGATTTCTACATCACTCTGTGTCATCGCCTTATGAAACAGCGGACACGGCTGGCGGAAGAAACAGACACACTACTCAGGGCCTGCTGGTCTCTCGCAGAGATGTTATTCAGCTTACGGCAGAACAAGCGGGAGGGCAGATCTCCCGATGAAGAGCTCCTCGGATCCGCGATCCAGGCCTGTTGGGAACTATGTGATCTTTTCCGCGAAGGTTGGACCCAAATTAGACCTGATCGTGGCACGCCGCGGCCCAGCCAGACGACTTTCACTCAAGCCTTTTACCAGACTCAACGATCAGAGTATCCTATGATGAATGACGAAGATACACCGGGACGCGCAGGAAATCCCGAAACCCCCACGACTATATTCGAAGATACTGCCACAATTTCACCCGAAGAAGCACACGTCCCTAACATCCTCCTCCTTGCCCCCACGCAAAACCAAGTAACCCCTCCAAAATGGTCATCAAACTCCTCCACGCTCTCAGGATACTCCCAATCCTCGTCTGGAAAAACCGCCTCGTCCAGCAACACCGTCAAAACCCCTGCAGAAGACCCGAGCCTTACCTGTCTGAAGCTCTTGATCATCCGTGCAGCCATGAACAGCGGCTTCCAACGAGGCACGACCCAGACCCTACCCGTGTTTGTCAAATCTCTCTCCTCAGATTCCTTCGGGACACAATTGTGGCAACGCACGTTACTCGACAACTATAAGAAATTAGTAGCAGTTGACTCGGCGTTCCGCGACCTCCCTCCTTCGGCGCGGGCGGGCGCGGTAGATATTGCGAACGCTGTTAGATCGATGGTTCAGCACAATGGACAGTATATGTGGTTACAGGACCTCTACCGACTAGTGTTTGGCTTCCATACCGAAGAGGCGATGCATCGAAAGAGCATTACCGTCCAGTCGTAGAGGTGGTTAAAAAAGAAAAGATGACTGGCTGTGTGAGAACAGCCATAGACTGAGCTTTTAGAGGAAAAAAAAAAAAACAAGTCTTATTTATTTATTTATTTTCGAGCGCGCTTCGCTATTTATTATCGGATGCAGCCCCCTTCGCCTTCTTACGACATTATTCTACCTTTCCTCAATCTCCGGCCCTTGTCTCTGGCTATAAATCTATATATTGTTGAGTTTGACGATATTTTATCTTCCCACATAGCCAACTGCACGTCGAAGTGGACATCCCGCAATACGTCTCATTGAACTGGCCGTGGCCCATCCCTTTTTTACATTATCCAACCCTCGTCTCTCCCGCAACTCCTCAAAACACCTCAATCCTCATCTAGCTTCTACAGATCGCGCCCTGTCGTATTATCCACACTCTATGTACCTCTCATGGATATTTTGGATGCTCGTATGATTACTTTATCCTTTATGTTTTACGAACTCAACTTCGCCAGCAAGTTCACGAGTGTTGTCGATATCCATTTTCTCCCCTCCCCCTGTCACCAAACTTTCGCCCATTCTATGCCATTCCTCCTCCTTGACGGTTTTTTTTTTCTTATTTATTTTATTTTGGAATATTTCATCAGTAGCATTCTATATACCACTTTTTTTTGGTCCGGTCTGTTCTATCCCCTGCTATCATATCCATGCATCATCCATCCGTCCATACCCCCTCGTTATGAAAGGTTTTACGAAATGAATTGATATTTAAAATATAGCTCACATTCTCTTTCTTCTTTCTATTTATTTTATTTTTTCACTCTCGTTCTCTTGTCCTTTTCTCAAACGATACCTCTATCTATTTTTTTTATTCCCCTTCATTTCTTCTTTACTTTGAGACACCCGTGAGTAAGCACGGGATATCTAGATATATAGCTGTGATTGTGACTTATACTTCTTATTTTGTTGTTACCTTTCTTTCTACATCACTGTTTGAAAATGAAAAGTGATTTATTGGTTTCTCTACATAAATGCATATATTATTATTTTTAAGCATGTATTCTTTCAAAACAACTCCTCTTTTGTTGAAAATCTCTTTTTTATTCTCGAGGAATCTGCCATCACCTTGACAATCAAAGCGAGCTAGGAGGAATGAGGAAATGAGAGAAGAATAGAGTAGACAGAGCGATCTCACAAAAATCAAGTCAATCTTTTTCAATCCGAGTGAGTTGCTGGAGCTATGCAGCTAGCTATCAGTGTAATATCCGACATTGAACTATTCAGGTTCAGCACCGGATGCAGAGCAACACAGCATCTCCGAACAATCGCCTTTTTCATTCACATCTGGTCGATTCCTCTACAATGAATCTATCCGACTCCGCGAGAGATATGTTGAATTTGATGTGGCCGCTCTCAGGGAGGCCGTGGAAACGGTTACTCGCCTCCAAAATTTGAGCGAAGTGGGCTTCAACCGCGTTTTCCTCGTTGAAATTGAGGATAAATTCGCGAGTTATTGCCGGGATTCCATTTGGCCACTCGGTACGGAAAACCTATGCGACTGGGCTGCAAGTGAAGTGGCAACTAGTACATTCCTGCGGTCTAAGGAAATAAATACCTGTTCCTAAGGTATATGGATGGTCATCGACAACAGACAATCCAGTTGATGTTGACTATATAATAGTAATGGAACATGCTCCAGGCATCGGGCTTGACAGTACATGGTTTGAACTGACGAGAAAGCAGCAGTTGAGTTGACAGTAGCAACGGAGGTCATTGATATTGAGAAGAAGCTATTTGCTCTTCCATTCAGCTCTACTGGGAGTATTTCCTTCAAGAGAGATATATAACTGCCTTCCCAGATGCGGACTGGCCTCTATCTGCCCGGGACTGCAGACCCTGATGGGGACTCTGAACCCTTTTGTATGGGCCCAATCGCGGAATACAGGTATTTTGGCATGGCAAGCGTGCCGAAATGCAACTTGACGGCGGACCTTGTAAACATCAATCATGCCACTCAGTATGCTATACTGAATCCCAACGACCTGCCCATTAGCCAACATGTGTAGGGAAGAATCCCCATGACTACCTCTTTGCGATCGGTAAACGGGAGCTGTCATGGACTCGACAATTTGGACAACCTCAGGGTGTTGATTTTCCCTCAAACCTTCTTGCAAACAATTGGCGCGATCAGATGGGATGGGTGGGGTCAGTGAGGATGGTTGGGTGAGGACAGAAGTATATATATAGCCAAGCGGTTGAGAAGAACAAGGAGATAAAAGGCCCGGTGCATGAGAGAGGCAGACCACAATGAAGTCGACTCTATGAGCCTCTGGCTGGCCCTTCCGGGATAAAAAGGAGTTCCGATAATCATTGGCTGCGAACGTTTTAAAATTAGTGACATTCCGGCCTGAGTATAATTGTGTTGTAGACAATCAACCCCATATGTATTCTTCCATTGCGACAGCGGGTCGTGGCCGTCTCAACACCCAGCGGATCCTATCAATCTCCAACCGTGCAGGGATGTCTGCACGTAGCCGCCATCGCTTGATCTGGCAAATCAGATCCCATATAGCGGTTTGAACTCTGTTCACACTTTGTACCCAATGCATGTCTTTGAAATAATCATGTCTGTTACCCAGGGAGAAAGTATTTCCTATGTGGTGTGGGCCTCACTAAGCCTAACCTTAATAGACGTGTAACAAAGGCTTCGTAGGGGATTCGTACGATCCAGGTTGGTTTCCAAGTTCGAGTCGTTCACATCTCATGAGGGACAAGAGAGAAGGGAAAGCGAACGCGAATGGTGTTTGAAGTCCGCTCTAATCGCTTGGGATGTTCAAACCACCATTATTCTATGCTGGTTGGAGGTGTCAACAGAGGGAGTTCACGTCCGTCATCTGTACAAGCTGGCGGAGATCGAGGGAGAGAAAATTTCATGATAGCAAAAGAAATCTGTCAAGTGCAGCAGAAAATGCACGCTTTGTCGAGTTTCTCCTTTCCCGTTTCCCGTTTCGAACATCCTCATCCTAGAACGCGGAAGAACGGTGAAGTGAGTGAGACTGTGAACGAACAACATGTGGTGATGGTACTCCGTACTCAAGGAATGGAAACACCTCATGGCAGTTATTACCAGTCTTCTGGGGGAAGAAATTGCGCATCGGGATCTGCAGCTTCAAAAGAGCATTGTCTTGGACTCGATTAGAGCGTACGCCATGGCAAACCGTCCAACCCCTTTGATCATAGCTGGGATTGACGTCTGTAGCTCTGGCGATCTTGGTTCCTCTAACCCAATATCATCAGCTTGTTTTCACAGGGGGGGGCAAAACTCAAGCATTTCCGCCACATGCTCGTTTATGGCGATGCTTCTCGGCGGCGTCAACATGATCCGTCTATTTCCACCTTCGCAACCGTCTCCTGGTTCCTGATTGAACGGGTCGGCCGCCGCAAGCTCTTCCAGCCCGGAACAGCCAGCTAGTACCGCTCTCCGCAGTGATCACCTTTGCCTGCCTTATCCCCGGCATGGCGGGTGGCCACCGTCAGGCCCTTCACTTCATCTACATCGCCAGCTTCTGCTCCACGTTGGCTGCCGCTTCCCATGGCTGTGCTCGGCCGAGATTTTCCCTGATCAAAACAGGCGCCAAGAAGGCCAATGAGCGCTCCACCAGCAGTGCTCAACTGGCTCTTCAACTTTGTTATTCATTGTCATGATCTGTGTCCGTCATGTTGGACGGGATTAGCTGGGGCACGTATCTTGTGTCAACGACTGCTTCTTGCCCACGATCTACTTCTTCTATCCGGAGGCGGGGGGTGCCGCATTCTGGAGGACGGAGAAGATCAGCTATGTGGCTGCCGCACAGCAGCTGCCGTACCCTCACGGCGGATGAGATCAAGCGGATGAGCGAGCAGTACGGCTTCAGTTCCTAGCATGGAGACTGGGACGACGAGGCTAATGAATAGAAGGGGAAAAAGGGGGAGGGAGGGGGCTGGAGGAGGGGGAAGTGAAAAGGAATGAGTGAGCGATCATCGACTGATTTTTGGATAAATTTTTTAAGCGCCACGTGGATACACATCTATATTATGTGGGATGGTTGATCTTGTTATTGTTGTGGTCGCTAGCTAACTATATAGGGGTAATCACGTGCGGTGGAGGGCCACCTGGGCAACTAGTGCCCAACACCCCCCCACGCGCCAACGTGCGTGATGTGTTCCTACGAATATTCCATGCTAACTATCTTAACCTAGATCATCCCAAAAACATGCTATATACAGAAATTTAATCATTCTCGCTGTTGCCAGCGAAAAGTCCTAGTAATTTAATGAAACGCCTAAATGCCACTGTGCCCAGAGGTTTGGTTAATCCGTCTGCTACCATATCCTCAGTGGGAACGTGGTTAATTGAAATAACGCCTTCGTTCAGTTGCGTGCGAGAATAGTGGAAGCGAGTGTCGATATGCTTGCTGCGCGCCGTGATCGCGGCAACGGTAGCTAGGTCGATCGAACCTTTATTATCTGCCCTGATGGGCAAGGGGTCCTTTGCTGTAACGAATCCTAGTTCCATCATCATATTGCGCAACCACGTTGCTTCGCGTACTGCTTCGCTGAGTGCCACGTATTCTGCCTCATTTGAACTTAAAGAAACACAAGGTTGTTTGGACGAACGCCATGAAATTGGTGCACCTGCTAACTTGAATATGAAGCCCGAGGTAGATTTGCGTTCGCCGTTCAACGGTCCTGCCCAATCTGAATCCGTATAACCTATCGGCAGATATGACGCGTTGGGGAATTCATCGATCTCGTTCTTGGGGCCTTCGTATAAGATGCCTAGGTCGCTCGTTCCTTTTAGATATTGTATGACGCGGAGGAGAGCCCTCCACGCCTTAGGTGTAGGCGCAGTATTCTTCTGCGCTAGTAGGGATGCTGCTCGCGCGATATCTGGGCGTAATTTGACTGCCAGATACTGCAAGCACCCTACTCCGTGTTGGTATCGTTCTTTAGTGAACCCTCCTTCTCGTTCTGATACAGGGGCATCGTCTATCTTCATCCCCTCAAGTATTGGCGTAGGGACAGGGACGGCGTCGTCTAGGCGGAAATCTTGCACTAAACGATCGATATAGCGTCTCAATGTCAATTTTATGGCGCCATCGGGGCGACGTTCAACCTCCATGCCCAAGTATTTCGAAGGTTCTTTCAAATCTTTTATTTCTAATTTATTGGCGAGGGTATCAACTAGCCAATCGGCATCTGCCGAATCTTCTGCTATAATATGAAGGTCGTCCACGTAGATTGTCATATAAAGGTGATTGCGGGACGTGTGACGCCATAGAGCAGGGTCGTAGGGGCTAGGTTTGAAGCCATTCTCGCGGAGTAATGCCGTAAGGAAATCGTACCAAATCTTAGCAGCGGGGTCCAACCCGTATAGGGAGCCTACGACAGCGCAAACCATCGCGTGTGGAGTCCCCACCTCAAATCCGGTAGGTTGCCGCATATAAATCGTTTTACCAAGTCGGCCGTGCAGGTAGGCCATAACTATATCGACCTGGCGCAAGGTCCAACCTCGCTTCGCTGCTACCGCGAACATCATGCGATTAGTAGCGTCATTGACGACGGGCGCGTATGTTTCTTCGCGTGCGCTCTTCTTTAACCAATTGCCGCACACTACCCATCGAGATTTTCGTAATATACCATCAGGATCCGCGTTGGGGTCCTGGGGGCGATCTTTTTCGACATAAACCCAGCGGCCGGGGGCCACTGGCTCACCAGAAGGGACGTCAGAACGTGGGATCATTGTCCAAGTGTTCCTTCGTTCCAAATCTGCAATCTCGCGTTCCATTGACTTTTGCCAATATTCGCCAACCCCCCCAGGTCTACTAACGGCGTCCTTATATCCTTTCGGAACGGAACCGGTGAGGGGAGAAGGGACGTAGGTGGCGAACGCTTTCGCTGGTCTTACCCATTCGGCGTCGGCTAGTTCGGGAACAGCAGCATCATCAACGAGATAAGTCGCTGGACTTGCAGCTTCGGGTGTCGTATGATTAATATCATCCTGCGGGGTTGAAGGTTCCTTTGCAGGGAAAACGACATCACTGGTGACAATTATTTTATCAGTCGTAGGACTCCAGAGGCGGTAGATTGAGTTACCACGGAATCCTATAAGTTTAAATATTTCTGCCCTGGCGGACAGCTTATCGGTAGGTTTTTGAGATCCATGAAGGTGCGCGTAAACGTCAACACCTAGCTCCCTAAAATGGCGAAGTTGGGGCGGGGCGTTGGTTAGTGCTGAGAATGGGACGGTATAGGGGCATCGCGTAGGTGCTTCTTCGGCGTTGGTAGGCCAGTATTTCTCATTATATAGGGTGGTAGATGTCGGAGTGTTGTTGGTAATTGCAACTACCGTTTCGAGAACATCTGCCCAGAACTTCTTCGGTATATCCATGCCTATAAGCACTGCCCTAGCGCGCGTCATTATCGTGCGGATTCCTCTCTCAGAAACACCATCTTGGTGAGGGGATTGGGGCGTAGTAGGTTCCCAGATAGTGCCATCTTTGGTCATCATCGTTGTCATCTTGTTTGATCGAAAGACACCATCGATATCGGTCCTAACTAGCGCCGGTGGCGTGAAGCCGAGATTTTTCATGAATTGGACCCAGTGAGCGTAAAATTCGATAGCTTGGTCCTTAGTGTGTAAAAAATAGATCCACCTATAACGGGTGGCGTCATCAGTGATAAGCATATAATATTTGGTCCCTTGACGAGATTCTATAGGGTAATCGGACATGTCATCCAGCGTACGACCGCCGCCAGCAAGGTCGATATGAACACGTTGCATTGCTCGCAACGCTCGTGGCATGGGAGTTTGCGAGAACTTGCGTGTCATGCCTGCTTTGACGCAGCTATCGCAGAAGAAGCCTGTTTTAGATCCTTTGATGCGGATGCCGGATGACGGGTCCTTCGCTAGTGCGATGATCGCGCCAGCGTGGATATGCCCTAGGGTGACGTGCCATTCCATGAGTGTTCTTGTCAGGGGGTTGCGATCGCTAGATTGATCGCTAGATTTCCCCACGGTTGTCGACATTGCGTCCCCGTAATTGTAAGATTTGGCCATAAAATGGACGGCCTGGGACGGGTGATGGACGTCTATTTGGGATTCTCGTTCTATTATCTTGTAGACCGATTCTTTGGACGTACGAACGGCGGTGAAGTTGGCACCGTTCGGGGCCCTTATTGTAAAATAAGAAGGGGTGGTGTCAGATAGTTGATATCTGAAACCTTGATCTTCTAGCTTCGCGAAGGATAGAAGGTTGACAGTGAGGTTGGGGATCCAGTGGACGTAACCCACTGAGATATCCCCCCCTTCTGATTCTAGAAGGATATCACCTATCTCCTCAACCCGTCCTACGCCACCGTCCGCGGTGGTTATCTCTAAATCCCCCTCGAACGACTTTGCGCGCACCAACGAGTGCCTTTCACCCGTCATATTAAAGCTTGCGCAGGTGTCGAGATACCAAGGTTTGGATGTTGTAGCGGACGACGCAGATAAAGCAAATGCCGCGTTGGCACTAGGTTGCGAGGCAAGGAGATCTGGCGCTCTGGTGCCAGTAGGTTTGTCGTCATCCTTGTCCTTCTTCTTATCCTTTCCCTTCTTTTTGGCACCCTCAGTGTTGTCAGTGCCCTTATTATCCTTATTCTCCTTCCTCCACCACTCAGGTGCTTTGTCAGGGTTCAGGTGATAGCAATTAGCCTTTATATGCCCTGGGACCTTGCAGTATCCGCACCGTGAGATCGTGGTGGTGGTTGTGGTGTTATCATCATTATCATTGGTGGCCGCGTTGGCTTTTGGAGCTTTGGGGCGTCCAGGACCCTCTGACTTACTCATCCGGTGAGCAATTTGTTTTGTGAGATCGTCGATATCTAGGTTGACAATCGGACCCTGACCCGTCCCGTAGAACGTATCAAGGCGTGATTTGACGTAGGTCCTCTGATAATCTCGGAGGCCGATAATAAAGAAATCATGGAGGTAGTTCTCACCGCGGTCCTCCGTTAGTTGTCGCATGCGAGCAGACAGGTAGTGATATCGACGCACGTACGCCAGGTAATCACCGTCCTTGACATGCAAGTGGGTAAGTTCTTTGAGGATATTAATCCTTTCCTCCCCTAGGGACATCGCATATACTGCGCTTATCTTGTGCCATAGGGCCGCCGCGTTGTCGGGTTGAATGGATCCCATGGTCAAACGGACAGAACCTACCAGGGATTGTAACATACGACGGAAGAGTAGCTTTGAACGTATCACCCAATATCGTTGCTCGAGTGTTGATAAACCTTCAGGTGGTTCCTGTTGGTTCTTATTGAGAATATCTGCACCACCGATCACCTCTGCATCCGAGAAGAATGCCATCTTCCACGTCTGGTAGTTGGTGCCATCGAACGTGGTGACGGACTTTGTGTTCAACGAGGCCTGCGCTTCCTTCTGGTATTCGCGAGCCAGCATGTTCGGATCTTCTTCTGGTATAGGGTTCGGGGGAGGTGGAGGTGGAGGAGGAGGTGGTGGAGGAGGTGGCGGCGCGCGTGCTGATATCAGTCGCTCGCAGAGTGCAATGAGATCTGCTGCTGCCATGGTCACCATGCCGTTAGGATTCGGCGTAGGAATCGGCATAGGACTGGGCGTGCCATCTTCGGATTCCTCGCGTTCTGGCATCTTGCCAGTATCGCGTGCTGAGCCAGAGGTTGTCATATCTTCCTCTGCCATTGCGTATTCGGTTTGATCACCCTCCGCTTCTGAGGCGGATCCTTGCTCAGTAACAGGGGGGAAGGATTGGGGGACCCTTGATTGCGAACGTAGTGTCTTCTTACGTCCTGATATGGGGGTCGCAGGTAATCGAGAACCACTCATAATCAATCTGATTTAGGAAGGTTCTGAATGAAAATAAATAAATAAGTTTTTGATCCCTTCAAGATAGTAATGAAATCTCTGCAGCAGTCTCGACAGTAATTCCGTCAATTACACCACTTTTATAGGCAAAGAGCTCTCTTTTCAGGGGAATAATGTCTAACTCATCCAATATAACATCGGTTGCAGCGTATTCTAATCAAAACGCGTCGTTTTTCTTAAAAATCTGCTATCCGGGCCATAACCTGTGGGATGGTTGATCTTGTTATTGTTGTGGTCGCTAGCTAACTATATAGGGGTAATCACGTGCGGTGGAGGGCCACCTGGGCAACTAGTGCCCAACATATTATATATCCCACTTGTCAGAAGGAACCCGGAGGAAATGATAGCATTGTTGCAAATCCTATCTATATATATGGTGGCGAGAGCATCTGAGTTTGGCATCTCGCCCCTGGTTCCAGTCAAAAGATCATAGCTACTGTGAAAAGATATTCGTCGAGCGGAGGAGAAAGCAACAGGAGAATTGAAGCAGGCCATGGGATCTTTCTCTGCTGCTGCTCTTGGGCTTGACTGGCTACAAATGAAGTTGTGTGGTATGGGAGACGAGCGAGCCCGTAGAAATACATGCACACATGCATGCCGACATAGATATAACCTCCGTTGTATTTATATGTAATCGCTTTATATAACTGTATATACACATTTGTGACAGCTGTAATCTTCCCTCACGGTCCCCGAACGGATTTTGTTCCCTTCCGCCGTCCTTTGAGTTGAGCAGTATCCTTGGGTCATCGCCGGGAAACCCGCACTGGCTGCCATAGGCGAGCTGGCGCTGAGTTTGCAAAGATTCTGAACCCAGGAGGAAGAGGAGGAGGAAGCCCGCTTTGTAGGGCTGCTGCAGGGGGAATATGGAAGACGCGATGGATGTCTTTTGTCTGTTTCATCGCAAAAAGCAATATGGAATGAGACAACTCGCAACTCGCAACCTGCGACTCCAATTGGAACTCTAACGCCAGTGACCACTTGGATTCCTGGATCAGGCCATTTTCAGGAGCAGAATACGAGGTCCTCAGCTGGTTCCGTTGGGCCATGAAGAGTATTCACGGCCAGGTCGATGTGTTTTGCCTTTCCCTCCCTGCGCTGCCACGTCGGCACGGAGCAAGATAGAGAGATAGATGGGGAGATCCCTCCATACATCCAGACATCCGCTGTGCATCCATCGAGACAGATATATGATCATCGACGACTCGTATCCATGGATCGTTCCAAGATTTGGATCTCGCGGGACAGCCCAAGCCCGCGATCTTTGGTGTCTCCGCCATGTCTCGAACTAAACACACCGCCCGACGCCACATTCGCCCGCTTGTCAAACCCAATGTCCACCAGCCCAGCGACTGGCCCAGCGACTGGCCCAGCGACTGGCCTCTGCGCGATGCCGCCATTCTTGGTCTCTTCCTTCGTGCCCTTCCTTCGTGGATGAGGCAAACTCTGGATTGCCCTTCCCACACGGCGGCTCCGCTCGAGTCGGCGGCGAACAGATCGCCCGCCCAATCGACCATTTTTCTCGATCTCTCGCTTGATCTTTCTCTCTCGATCTCTCCTCTGTTTTCTCTCCCTTTTCCTTTCTTGATCCTCTTCTACTTCCGGTTGCTTAGTTGGTTACTGTCCTTCTCGGCGGCATCACTCGGCTCCCTCCCGTCCGTCTCCTTTCGCCCACTTCTCCCTCCTCTCCTCCCATACCCGCTTCCTCGACTCATGGTGGGTCACACGCCAACTCGTCCACCTCCATGCTCTCCTCACAGTCAATTCGAAGGCCTGCCGTTCTCGTCTTCGTCGCCGTCGCCGTCCTGCTATGCCTGATCAAGTTGTCGTTCTCGCTGGATCGCCAGCCGTGGAGATCTGCTCCCACGATAGGCCTGCAGCAGGAGCACTATGGGAACAGCAACAGTCATGGGCAGCAGGGCCAACAAGGGCAAGTAGAGACCCTTGTTAAGCCTAAGAATTACAATATCACAGGCATGGTTTTTTTTGGGCGGCGGGATCGAGCGGCATCGATGAATTGCTATGTTGAGGTTGGTTTTATTTTTTTTTATCCTTCCTTATCTTTTAACCCTACATTCGCTCACAATTTGAGTAGCGGAATCTGGTAGACAATGGCGGATGGCTAGATGAAGTGCTTTGGTTCGCCAATACGAATAATAAAGAAGATCTCAAATTTCTCGATGAGATCATTGCCAGGTCCCCCCGCTATAAGAAAATTCCGATAAAAAAGCCCGTCGGATGGCCAGACTATACCAAACTCTGGAGAGGGGTGCAGAGGGGTACGATTTATGTCAAACTTGACGATGATATTGTTTGTGGCCTCCCCTCTCCCATATTTCCTGTCTTACGCGACAGGGACAGCCCGTTGAAAAGTCTTATCCACTTTTTGGTGTCATATCACTTACCTCAATCTCCTAGGTTTGGCTCGCGGACGATGCGATTCCACATATGGTCACGACCAAAATAAAATACCCGGACAGCTTTGCTGTCTCCGCGAACGTCATCAACGGCCCGCCCTTGTCTTTCCTTCACTTCCACCTCGGTGCTCTGCACCCATACTTCCCTGAACTCGAGGCAGATCCCACTTACACCAACCACAGTAGTTCGGAAAACTGGCGTCCCTCCAGCCACCCCTTCTGGTCCGGCCCGAGCACGTTCAGATGGCCGCAGGACAGAGACCCCCCGGAGGGCGGCAAACATCGCTGGCTCCGTGTCAACGACGACAGGGCGCTCCACCGCACCCCCGTCGCGAACCTGACGTACGACTTCTGGGGTCCTACGTATGAGAGCTGGGCGATTGCGGCGCAGCAGCATTATTCACTGTTGGAAAACCTGGAGCGGAATACCACAGACCTATATAAATTCCAACCGCCCTGGAATATGCAGGGCGAGCGGATTCGGATCAATTGCCTCGCGATTCTGGGAGACGATATTCTGGATACTGATGTGGAGCATTGGCCCAATAATAGAGGGGATGAAGATATGATTGTTTTGGATTTGCCGAAGAAGTTGCAGAGACGTGAGTAAAGACAATATTCCTCTCACCCCCCTCCCCCCCCAAACCCCCCCCGGTCCCCGCAACCGTCTTGGATACGTTGCTACTATTCTATGAACACTCGCTCTCTATTATTCAACTCTTGTCAAAAGAAAAGCAAATGCGACACCGACACTGACACTGTTCCGCCGTTTTCAATATAGATGTTCTTATCGAAGGCAAAGCACTCGCCGCACACTTTAATTTCATGCATCAACACAAAATCACAGCCACGGATTTACTCTCTAGGTATAACTTGTACGCGAACGAATTCATATGTAGGCACGGCAGCCAATCGAAACACCAGAACGATGGGCCGAAGCAGCAATAACTACGCGGGACGGTAACATCTCATACCTCCTCGTTTACACATATTCTATTTTTCACCTTTCTTATTCACGTCTCCCCCCTTTTCGCGAACGACCATTATTATTATTATTATATTATTATTATTTATATTGTTATTGTTATTATTAGATTATTTTTCATCTTGGCATCTTATCTATCCCCTTTTTGGAGCATACTATTTGTTGTATTGTTTATTATTTATTGGATGTGTATAGACGGCTCTTTGGGCAATTCCATCTCATGGTTCGAACAAAAGACCACTCGAACTGCCACCGTTTCGCTTCTTTTTTCCTTTTCTTTTCCCTTTTCTTATCCTTTTTGCCCTGCCGGTTTTCCTTTGTTAAACTATCCAATCAAAACTCAGTGAATAGGGATGGTGATGGTGATGATGATGACGATTCATCGGGCTTGTGCGGCGACACCAGCAGCAGTTTGGCCCTTCGGAGAGATGGGGAGTTAACTGGATAGAAACTTCCCCTCCCCCTCTTGGCTAGCAGAGTAGCCAAGCCGGTGTTCATAGGAATAACTAAATAAATAAATGTATAGGAGTCTACCCACCCTCCTGCCCGCCCACGCCTCATTTGGCCACCTGATTTGAGATTTTATCTGTTCCACGTTTATATAGTATATTTATATTATGTACGGTTCATTTCATATGGTCCAAGCAGGCTGATTCGACCATTTATTTGATGCCAAGTGGGTTTGGCTTGGTTTGGCTGGCGTTGTATCCAAGCATCGGCAATTTCCCGGTGAATTTTTTTTTTTTTTTTTTCCTTTGTGCAAAAACTTAAAGTACCGTCAACGGTTCTTTACCAGCGGGGTGGCGTTGGTCGCAGAGCATTTGAACCCGTGTCAAATTTCATGATAACACCTGTCAAACGAGTTGCTCCCGATTGATTGATATTCTGTGTGTGTGAGAAACAGCCATGTATGTACAAACAGTAGGAAGGAAAACCCTGTCCCATGTTATTTAATGGAGCAAATCTTGGCACTGAAATCATAAAATGGATGCAGTTGAAATATGTACAAGAAAATAAAGACGAAGGAATAGAAATACAAAAATAAATTAAAAAAAAAGGTCTACCAACAAACCACCCGCCCAGTACAGTATTTATTGATGATATAAGGGGGAATAGATAATAAATCAATAAATCAATAAATCAATAAATAAAATAATGACCGAGTCAGCAATTCTCAAATAAATCTCACGCAAACGGCAGCGTCGTTTGGCCCCGTTCTGGTTCGGCAAGTCTAGAGAGAGAAGAAAGAAAAGGAAATCTCACGTTAGTTTCAGGGTCACGATTTCGGGTACAGAGAGAAGAAAATAGCATACTCTTTGATTCTAACGTCTGGCGCAGGCTGGATTTCGTGTCTCGCACCTGGGGTAATGAAGATGAACTGCCGCCCAACGGACCGCCTTGCTGCTATCATCTATTTTTTATTACCACGGGGTTAGTCCGGAGAATAACACAGAAGATACAAGACGACACAAAAGCAGGCGCGGGAAGGGGGGAACCTACCAGCATCTCGATACTCATGCGCCGGTTGATAGAGTCCATGTATACGTCACTAACACGTGGGAGAAAAAAAAAAGCCAGTTAGTATGTAAACAAAAGAATGAAGAGCAGTAAGTAAGGGTATCAATCAGTCATGACATCACATACAATTCATCCAAGCAGCGGATTGGTGACCCCATGGCCTCCCACAGCGAGAGCAAAAGACATATCTGCGAGAATGACTTTTCTCCTCCAGATAGAGTCCTAGCATTTCTGCCCTTGGCACTCTCCTTGGTGATATCCGGCTCGACATGGACATCCAGCAATTTTTTCGTATGATCTGATAGAATCTGGCCGCGGAAACTTCGCTCGGACAGCAGATAGGTAAACTGGAGTTTAGCCTGCGCAGTGATGAGGGAGCGGAAATTCTCCCATCGTTTTCGCCGGTTATTTAATGTAATCTTGAACCTCTATAGAATTGTTAGCTAGGGTTTTGTAGGCACAAGGCCAGATTAGGGTTGTGACCAAAATTTGTATCATGGAAGTGATTACCTGCGCGAGTTCTTCAAGCTCAGCAACCTGGCGCCTAGCACTTTCATATTTTTCCTCTGCTTCGGCTGCTTCGGTGGCAATCTTCTCCCGATCTCCCAAACTAGACCGCATTAGCAGAGCTCTTTTTCCTGTCCCTTCCCCCCTTTGGCAAAAATGAGAAATATACATACTCTTTATCGAATCGATCAAGATCCCTCTTCAGTCTCACAAGTTTCTTATCAAGACTATTTGCTGTCTCGCCCTCAGAGACAGCCACACGTGGAGAAACCGAACTTGCCTTGGCAGTGAAGTCCAAAATGATATCGCCAAGTTCCTGGCGCTTCCTCACGATATGTGCCTTATCCCCCTTCAAGGACTCGAGCTTATCAATAACCACGTTTTTATCAACGAGAGCTTTTCTCCGCTTCTCCAGGGTTTTCGACTCTTTGGCTTCAAGTTTTTCGACCTTTTTGCGATACTCAGCGATCTCCATTTCGATCTCAGTCACTTCTCGTTTCTTCTCCTTTAGAGTCTCCATTATGCTGTCCATTTTATTGACGCTATCCTCAAACGAACTCTCGTGGGTTCGTTTTTCTCCTTCATGTTCTTGCAGGGATGTTTGCAATGCATCAAGCTTGCCGTCTTCAGTTGCATCTCCGTCAATTGCACTTTGAAGCTCCTCAACGCGATCTTCCGCCTGTTGCCAGGCAATCTTTAGCTGCTCCTGCTGTCTGCTATGTCTAACGACTGCTTGCTTGCATTTTTCAAGATGGTTGCGCGCTAAGCGTTCTTGGGTTTCCAGTTCGAGGAGGTCCTGCTTCAACCTACTGACAGCATCTTGCTGTATCCTACATGAGGCAATGAGTAAGTAACTGGGGGGTCTAGTTTTCTTATTGTGCGTAAATGGCTACGTACTTGATTTGGGACTCAATGTCGGTTTTCATTCGAGGTCGTCCTAAATATGCTTGGACTGGAGATTGCGTGGGCTCCCCCGTCCGGCTATAGGACAAGTGAATCCCTCTTCGTCGGTCTCGTTGGTCGATGCACAAACATCGCCTCACGTTTCTTGGCCGCTCGCCGTCAAACATTACAACCGAAGCATCTTCCAAGTTCTCAATGAGAAGCACCTGTTCAATGCCATTTGTTATAACCAGCTGCCGCCGAACCAAATCGTTATCGATCTGAAATGATTTTAGTAATGAAACTCAACATCGTGAATTCAATCGTTGGAGGTTCCTTACCTCTAAAACACGTAACATCGTGTCGAATTGAGGGTCTGGTTCATTGGGGGACGTATCCATATTCCCAATATCATTCCCGATGAAGATAGGACATTCACTAAATGCGTATGAAAATTAACATACAGATCAAGCACGTCGCAAAGTCAGTAAAGGCTTTAAAACCTACCATCCGACCCGTTTCATGATGCTCGATAGAATGTTGGAATCGCTTTTCGCCGTCACCACAAACCCAGTTAGGTTTGCCCCCAGCGAGCTTTCGAGGACCCCAGACCATTTCGGCTTCAACAGCCGTATATGGTTACCCAATGGCCCGACAGGTTTTCTCGAAAACTTGTACTGCTCCTGTTCAATAGCCCTTAACAACATGGGCATCTTTTCATGGAAGCCGTTCTGCTGTTGTCCTCTGTCCCGCGTGAGGCTGCGAAGTCGGTTTTCAGTTTGCTCTATATCAGACCGCTGTTTGTTGACAGGTTCACGCTTCCCTTGGTATTCTCGCTCCGCATTGTTGATGTCATCTTGTAGCCGATTCACATCTTTTCTGTGGGCATTGTACGTATTGAGCGCTTCTTCCGCTTGAGATTTTCTCTGCTCGAGTTCCGCCAGCCTCCTAGCGTGGTTTCCGCCGTCTAAATCCTCAATTCGTTTCTTTTCTTCATTTATTTTTCGTTCTGTCTCTGCGATAGCTGACTCGGCAGTCTTCAGGCATTCGCGGATTGTGCGTTGTGTCGCCTTGAGAACGTAAAAAAGACCCCGGAATTAATTACCAAACAATATCATTTGACCAAATATTACTTGACGTACCTGAAGCTCGCGGCGTTCTTTCACAATCTCATTCATACTTTCCTTTGCGACCTTCCCGCGATCCGCTTGGGCTTCCAGTTCAGATTTTGCCGCTAGAACGGCTTCAGCAGCTATGCCATATTCACGATCTGCCGATTGATAAAGCTCATCAGCTTTCGCAACTTCAGACTCCAAATCTGCGATCTTCCTAGTAGCTTCCGCAAGTTGCGCATCGTACGCATCTCGATTCTATTCCGTAGGTTAGCCGAGATATGACTACCCCAATACTCATTAGATAAAAATATATATACATCTGTTTACGAACTTTTTCCTGTTCTTCAACCTGTACCCACGCCATCTGAGCTCGTAAGTTCCTCACTCTGGCCCGCATGGTTTCATTTTTATCCGATAGCGCGAGTTTTGCCCTGGCGTTGTTCCTGTTAGTCTCCAGATCCTTGATCTGGTCCAAATGAATCGACAATTTCGCTTCCGTCTGGTCAATTGACTCTTCAAGCAAGCGGTAATCCTGATCCAGTTGTTCTAGTTGGACCCCTTTTACGAAAAATTTGTATTTTTCCGACGGGCTGGAGCTGCTTAGAAACTGGCGGGCCATGTCTTGAGAGAGGACATTCATGGGATTGTCAATCTGGAGGGCAAAATAGTCGGTGATGGAGTCAAGTTCGGACTTCTTCGTGGATACAACACGGCCGGAGGAACTTTTGATTTTGAATCCACTCGAGCCGTTTCTGGAGAAATGACGCTCGATGATGATTGAGTTTCCGAATTCGTTCGGATTGTATGCACTATCTCCCTGATTCTTGATGCGAACCACAATAGTCGCTGAGCTAAAAGAAGAATATAAAAGGTTTAGCAAAAAGTGCGCGCAGTTAATCTTAATGACATATCACAGGGGGAAAAAAAAGGACATACTCCTTTCCCTCCTTAATGAAACTCTTCAAACTCTGACCTCGATTCGTCACAGATGCCTTTCCACCCAAACAGAGCGTGAGGGCCGTAAGGATAGCACTTTTCCCACTTCCATTCTTGCCCACGATGAAATTTATCAGTGGGCCTAGGTCGACGGAGAAATGCTCGTGGCACATGAAATTGTAGCAATCTACCCGCTCGATGATGCCATGTTCAGCGGGCACGTTTTCTATGTTTTGCAAAAATTTCTTCTGGATGTATTGGCTGGCGCGTCGCTCGATGGCGTCCTCGTCTAGGTCTGGTTCGACGAGTTGGGAGTCGGATTCGAATGCCGGGCCGTTGGGAGTGTGGGCGGGGTCTGCTCCGTTGCGCTCAGAGGCGGATTCCGCCGCGGAATCATACATATCCGAATTGGAAGAGTTGGCGGCGTCATCGTCGCTGTCGCTGTCGCTGTCACTGGCTCTCCGGGCTGTCAGGACGTCTGAAGTGCGCACCTTCTTTCTCTATAGATAAATGGGAGAATGTTTTAGCGCTGGATTATTTTATTTTTCCGAGGCCTCGAAGAGAGATGGGGTGAGGGGACGCAATTCAATGTTTTCTTTAAATTTCACTCCGGGCCAAGCTGTGAACTTACCAGCGCACTCGAGGAGGGATCATAGTGCTGATCGACTCGACTCCGCTTGATCGGAGCCATGGAGAGGAATGGGAGCTGTCAAATGACAAGTCATGAAAAAGATTTTGTGAGTTTCTTATGAATCACAATAATCCTGACATCCCAGGTCCCCGTGCAGTTGTTCTGAGTGCCGAGCAGATGTTGAGTCAAGCGCTTTTCGTTGTTGGTAAACTCATGTCGCGTCGCGTACAAAACCAAGCGCATCGTGGAACCACGTGATAGCGACCTCAATATTTCCCGATTGAGATTTATCAGATGCATCGACATTATCCCACACATTGCATACAAGATTTATCTAGGCGATGTCTATGTGCCCTTGACGATGCGTACGCTACATGCAAAGTATTCAATCAAGTAGCTGATTAGGGAAATACGATTTTCGGCCAAAGATTGTCTCATCAACCATGCAGATGAACTACATAGAACACATAAACCGTAATCGCCTGCTGACACCTGAAAAACCATTCCTGGGTACTTTCATGATCAGTTGTAGTTATATCATGCTACATGCTACTTATAGGGCATCTACAAAGTCCAAAGTGAAAACTAACTATACAGTAAATATCAACCTCCATCCCTCCCGGACACAAATACCAAGTGTAACAGGAAAAATAAGATAAAAAACACAGAAAAGTTTGTCTACCTGTCTACTCGTTAACAGGTTCCTCAGCAACATAGTGCAGATAAGCGCCCATCAGCTTAGTGCCCTCAATATAGTTGCGCTTGTCGAGCTTCTCGTTGGTGGAATGTGCCATATCCGTCGAGCTGCCCATGGGCAACAAAAGGACGTTCTTGCCAGTGGCTTCTTCGAAAGTGAGGGTGATGGGGATGCTAATTGTGTTACAGTTAGTTAAAAATTAATGTTCATTCGAGTACAAAACGACACAAGGGAAAAAGGAAAAGGGGATCAAAAGTACCTCCCGCCCTCCCTCGTCATATCCGGCTCCATACCAAATACCTGCTTAACAGCCTTACTCGCAGCCTGGAAATTCCAGTGTTTAGGGCTAGCCACCCACCACTTCCCACCATGCTGCAGCGAGCAATCCATAGTATTCTTGCTGTTCAATTTGGCGAACTCGGCCTTGATATAATCAAACACCAATCGGTCCACATCATCGCTCTCCATATTGGGCACGGTACGGATGGAGAACTTTCCAATGACTTTCGCGGGAATAACTGTCTTGGCACCCGGGGCGGAATAAGCGCCTTCCACGCCGTGGACAGAGAGAGATGGGTAGCGCCATCGTCTCATGAGGGTGGATTCCTTGTCTGGGAAAATGGAGGTGGTGTTGCCAAGAGACTCGTACAGGTTATCCATAGTGAAACCGATGTTAGTGTACAAGTTCTTCTCATCCTCTGTCAGTGGAGCAACGAGCTCGTTTATGCCTGGAATCTGGATGTTGCCTTTAGCATCAACCAGCTTGGAGAGGAGAATGACCAGATCCGTCATAGGTTCATGGACCGTGCCGCCAAAGACGCCGCTGTGCAAGTCCTGCCCCGGGCCAGAGACGGTGAGCGAGTAGTAATTGCAGCCGCGCAAACCGTAGGTGAGACATGGTTTCTCAGTACCCAGCCAGTAGTTATCGGAGATGCATACAGCATCAGCATCCTTGAAAAACGCCTTACTTTCGGCTTTTACGAACTCCTCGAGCCCCAGCGAGCCGTACTCTTCCATACCCTCAAAGCAGCCGAGCAGGTTAACGGGGAAATCGACTCCAGCCTTCTGGTGCGCTTCGATGACGTTTAGCCAACCCACGACGGGCCCCTTGTCATCCGTGCTGCCACGACCGAACATTCTGCCTTTCTCATCGACTGTGAGGGTGAAGGGCTCCGTGTTCCAGCCATCCTCACGAAGGGCGGGCTGCACATCGTAATGACCATAGACGAGAATGGTCCGCTTGTTCTTGTCGTTGCCGTAGCGGGTGAGGATGACAGGGGGCAGGTCCAGATGAGGCCGTCCAGGTTCCTTCCCTAGTTGTCGGATCTCAACTTCAGCTCCCAGACGCTTGAGTTCATCAACAAGGAATTCTCCCATCTGTAGTAATAAGCAGTAATTAGAAAATGTGATGCCTTTTGAGGATTGCAGCGGCACATATCGGCCGTGGAGATTTAGCAACGTACTCTGACAACATCCCGTCTGTTGTCATCCTGGGCAGAAATTGACGGGATAGCAACAGCTTTTCTCAGGCCTATATCAAATCGAGGGGAATTAGCAGTCATCCAAGCCTGTAGCTTCTTGATAGGATTAGGTCATCGCACATACGATCAATGAAGTGGTCTTGGAGGTTGTCAACCCTACATGGTAAGGCAATGTGGGCCTTGATATCAGCAAACGGCATATCCTCCATGCATCGGTGAATTTAGTGGGAAAATATATGTTCTATCTCCATAACTCACTCCTTGAAAAACGGTTCCAGCTGAGGCGCCATCTTGCGATCGTCGATATTTGCGTAGAAGGCTCTCTTGTGGATTCTTGCGGTGAGCGAAGCAGGTTGTTGACCGTTGACGGTACGACAACTGGAGGAGCGTGTTGTGACGAAAGTTGAGAAAGAGGATGAAGGTGAAGAGAAGGAAAAGAACCTATGAGCACTGAAATACCTCGGAGCGTGGAGCAATGGAGGGATGATCAAATGCGCAGTACTGTGTTTGATGGCAGGGAGCGATGCTGCGATGCGACTGAGGGGAAGCGAGGCGGGGAGCATTTGGCGGGATGTTCTGGGTAGATGCGGCAAGGTCAGGAGACGAGGACGATTGCTGACGGCGCAGAAAACGAGGTTGCATCGGTATTGTCTATCTTCCACTTTTCTCTGCTAGATTTGATAATAGTTGTCTTTTCTGAATAGCTCGTTTCGTGCTGCGAGTAGCGTCAGCATGGGGTTGATTTATTTATGTTTTTCTTTTTCTTGATATCATCGTGATTACAATCTAAGGATATCCGCGTCTGTTTGGAGCAAAAGATTAAGCTTTTTTGAGTGTTCTATATTTATACATTGAGGGCAGAAGATAGATACTATGCTGTACAGAAACATAAGGGAAAAAACAGAGGAAATCTAACAGCAAAAGTTAGGAACGGAAATGGACGAGGGAAAAGAAAATGGGACAGTGATCAGCTCTACAATGAGGCCATTCCCTCGTCCTACTCGTCCTCCTCCTCATCACCCGCAACCACCCAGTATACAGACGTTATGGAGAGCAGAGTTGTGTTCTCTCGCCCTCCTTCGACATTAAATCTCTCAATCTCCACTCCAAACAGTAGCTGCGACCTCCACAAATAATAACTCCCGATGAGGCCGACCTAGCTAAGGTATATAGCGGCCCGAATAAATAGATTATTGATCCGTTGCCCATAACTCTTTCCGGAGCTGTCTATCCTCCCTAGCAATCGTCCGCTTCTTGCCCCAGCGCGATTTGATAGCTTCAAGGACCTGCTGCTGGATAGCCTTCTTCTGCGGACCAGCATCGCACACCTGCATGACGAAATGGGTGCTGCATCCGAATTTCTGAGCCAGAGCATATCTGCTCCACTTCATGGGGTCCTCTAGCCGTAGCTGGCGCATTTGCGCTATCTCCTGTTCACCCAAGATGGTTTTGGTTTGGCTTTTTTGTCGAAAGACCGGTGGGAGTTGTGAGTGTTTTGCTGTTGTTGTTGCTGTGGGTCTCCAGGGAACGAAGAGGCGCGCAGTTTCCGGCGGACGTCATCTGGTGGGAGGAATTTGGTAGGGGTGTGGTATACTGAAGGGGCACTGGAGGGAGGATTGTAGATAATTCGCTCAGGCGAATTAGCAGAGAGAGGGCTGAATGAGGCATCAGGTTTCACTCGTAGGCGTTGCTTCAGGCGACGGAAAGTTGACTGGTATCTCCGGCATACAACGGTTGAAGCAGCTGATTCCGACCACGATGGAAGTAAGAATGGCAGAATCAAGATATTGCGCCGGGAATACGTGACGGGACAAGCCATTGCAAAAGAGGATGGAAAGATATGTAAAGAAGGTATGTTTGCCGGAAGGAATTCTAGGAGACCCACTGCTTGCCGATAGGGAAATCCTCAAGGGAACAACGATCAACATCCAGGAGACATGGCAGAGTCCGATAGAGTAAGAGGCCAGCAGAGGAGAATGGGATACGAAAGGGTGTTGAGACGGTCAAATATCAAATCGACTGCGGAAGAGAAATTGACAACGGACAGAAATTGTACGGACGCTTAGCCGGATTGGGATATCGATCATGTGAGAAGGGCACGGATCCGTATTACGAGCTGTAACTCTCTAGGGACGATAATATGAATAGATATTGGGCTTAATTACGTATCCCTATCTAGGTACAGCGTTCAATGCTGCCCGTTACAATAGGTGTGCATTTTTACGCGATCATATTGTGAGAAGACATTATTCCTCCGCCTTCATGGAGAAATACGGCGAGCTGCCTGAAATAACGTTACAATACAGCAGACCCTTCCGCCTCCTTAGGCGTGTAATAATACTCGCGTACCGTACCCGTACCGCACACGCACCCAAGAGTCCTCACCATCCTCAGCCTCATCATTTCGCTTCAACGCTCAACTTCATCTCCAGCTCCGGCTCAACCTCTTCTGCGTCTTCCTCGTCCCTTTTATCCTCTTCATCCTCTTCATTCTCCGTCTGCGCCTCCTCTATATCCGCCCCATCCCTTTCCTCAATATCCTTCCTCGGTTTTCTCTTGCATCCGCCATACTCCATTCAATATTACCCCTTTTTCCCAGCATGACGTCGTTGATCCACTTGACACCAAGGCCCCAACGCCTTCGCTGCTGAGTCTGACATTATTCTCACCAACTACATATTGCAACCCTCCCCCCCAGCGTTGTCCAAGCCACCGGCTGCGGCTTTTTGCACTTCTCAAATATCTCTCTGCCAGTAGACAACATCCATCTATTCCATCGTGTTCCCTTATCAACCACACCACCCCTTTCGATCTCGTTTCTTCGAATACACACACACAGCACAGACAAGCTCTCTCTTCCTTTTGGTCTGCCACTGAAGTGGGGAACTATCCATACTTGTGTTTCTTAAGCCCCCAATCCGAAACATTTTTTCTAGAGAAGTTTCCCCTTTGCGCAAAGTCGTTGGGTCTCTATTTGCGAGAGTTCCTTACTCTGCACACCACTATTGTGTCTCGACTATTCCATTACTTCTATCCTTTAAGCAGTCATGGCTGCAGCAAATCAATCAACCGACAAAACCTCAGATACAACTCCTGTCAACGAGTTGCCAGTAACTTCGGCTCTATCCGTATCTGAACCACAACAAGCCCTACCACGACTTCCCCAACCAAATATTATCCCGGCAGAGGAGGACAAGGTGGACGCAATGAACAACAAGGAGAATAAGGAATGGAGACTCAAACCAAAGAAGAACCCTGAATCAGGCGCAGCTGAGAAGAGTGAATCGCAACAACGCCCATCCAACATCCCTAACCCCATAGCCACCATGAGACCTGTCTCCCCTCTTAATTCTCTCCACTCGACTCGACCATCCGCATCTCCACATCGTGCTAGAAATCCCTATATATCTCCGTCATCTCCTAATCGCGGATTTCGTTCTGCTTCTCCGCGCCTGCACTCCCCTGCTTCCTCGCAAATTTTCGAACGGAATGTCCAGGAAGATTTTGCTCCAGCGCAAGCCTCACCATCTATACCCTCACATATCATGACAGAAAACCATATCCCCCCTATCCTTGGTGCCTCATCTGCTGCTTTAACCGACAAGCATCTTGATCCAGACTCCGTCGAAATCATTACCCATAACTTCCACCAGCCAGCGTCACTCAGCGTGACAGGTGGCCAACTTGAACACTCGATGACGTCGTCTTGGCATGACGATCTCAACCCACATATACCCCCAGACGTAGAAGATTCGGTTTCAAACTACGGCGCCTTGGACTCATCCGACGTCCAGCGCCTAAGTTTCGTATCATTCGCTGACGTCGTCAACGGCGAACATGCCGAAACAGACCATGCCTCAAACCGCGATTCTATGTACATGGCAGGTCTGTCGACCAACGCCGCGTTGTTCGCCACGCAGAATCGCTCTCCATCCCCAATACGCTCTCCGGTCTCGTCCCATGGCTTCGGTACGTCACCGCCAACAAGCGTATCGCCTTCTACAAAGGGTTTGGACAACTCCCCCAATTGCGGGACCCGAGTTGCGGGGAGCCCCCGGCTCTGCGGCCATAGCCCCCCTCCCGGCACCTTTGGGGGTGAGTTAAGTGTCGAAACCATGCGGCAGGCCCTCCGGCGGACTGGCTCCGGCGATTTTGGTGGATTCCGCAGTCAACCCATGAGCGCTGTTGGAAATGATGATGGGACATATGATCGCCCTTTCAAATAGTCATAGTCACTCATCCACCCACTCTTGGAAGAGGTTCGATGCTCCTTTGTATTTTCGTTTTGTATTTTTGTTTGTATTTTTCTGTTCCTTTTTTCCATTGCTTCGCCTATCATCGTTACTTCTTTTTTCCTAATGCTATACTCTCCGTTTGACTAGCCGATTTTAATCAAAGAGGGGGTAGATGGGTGTTGTTTCGTACTTTTCAATTCTGAGGCTTTGCGTTTCGGGAAGTTCGTAACTCGGGTTTTGCTGTAATGTTTCCCATAACATTTTTGATATAACAGAACATTTTGGGAGGACTCATTCAGTTTCTTTTTTCTTTCTTTTCCTTTTTTCTTTTTCTTTTAATTTTCATGAATGATCTGTTTGTCTAGTTCTAGCTTGGTCCCTTCGAGCTATTTGTTTCTTGTCGTTTGACATTTGCGTTTTCACTCAATGTCCGCTTCCGAAATATTTTTATTTCGTTTCCCTTGCTCCTCTTTTCTGATTCCCCTAGGAGAAATCCTTGCGTACGCCACTCTACCGGAAGACCGTATAATTCAAATCCCATCCTTATAGGAATTATGTTCAAGTTGGCTGGCTAAATTGAACAGCGGTCTGTTTTCTATTATCTATCTATCTATCTATCTATCTGTCGATATACATTATCAGTTCGCCCACCACTACTCCTCACATTTCATAGATTGAAAGTCACGTCTTTTAGGGTAAATCTCGGGTCGATGACTGGATGTTTATACTGTCATATCCGATAATTGTTGAAATTATACACCACCCCCCCCCCCCCCCCCAACCCCCCACCCCCTTTTCTTCTTTCCCAAATTTTAAACTCTCTAAAATGGGAAATTGTTGTATTATTTGGTATCCCTCTTTTCCCATTTTTAAATTCCCTGGCTAAGTATTGGCCGTGGAAAAATGAAGGCGAGGCAATAAAGTAACGAAGAAAAACTCTCACAACTCGACTCATGATGCGCCATCCATATACAAATTGAGTTGGGTTTCCATCAACTTTCCATTTTTCCTAAGAAAAGGGTCGCGTACGTGGATACCCTTCACTTTCACACAAAACCGAACAAGCCGAAGGCTCAAATAAAAACGTTTTTATCAGGGAAATATACCACGCAGAACCGATACCCCATCGTAACTGACAACTCCGTTTTCGGGGAAGCGCGTTTCCAACGCGATAGAATAGGAATAAGGAGATGAAATCTCCCATTTTTCATCTACCACCCTGTAGGCCTCAAGATCCCTTCCTTTAACATGCACCGAGAAGGTTCCCCTCCCCTGGAGTTTCCCGAAAGCCAGCCCTCCAATCCAGGAGAAATATCAAACGTTTTATTCACGACTTATTCGAGACCTTCGCGGCCGCTGCAAGGGCACGGTCGACGCGAGCCTGAAGGTCCACAGGGTCCTCAAGTCCGACGCTCGTTCTTATTAACTCTGTAGGGACGCCTAGTGAGTTTGCCTGGGAGATTATATGTGAGTGGATTTTTCCCCTTTGGCATGAAAAGATATATATTGGGGTAGTAAATGGAGAATACGAAGTGACTCACCCATTCCAATTCCTCGTAGTGAGCTAGGATCACGTAGGGAGAGCTTTTTTCCAGAGGCACCTTTATGTTAGTGGATATCGTATCTAGGGGTACGCTTTCTAGGAGGGGGGGAATACCTAAGTGTAAAATTCGTGCCTAAACTGGGGCCCTTCATGACTTCAAAGGAGTCGTAGAAGGCAACCGCCTGCTCTTTTGAGTGGAAGGTTATAGAGAATAGACCCCCATACCCTCCGTTTGGGTTCTTGCATTTATCGTACCAAGGTCGAGTTGGGCTGTATTTTGGGTAGTAAAGGTCCTTGACTGTTAAAATGCATATTAGTCCTGTGCTCCTAGTTTTATACTTCCTGGGTTGAAATCCTGAGCTCTTTCAAAGAGGTACTTACTCAAAGGTGACGCTTTTAACTGTGCGGTGATCTCCTCAGTAGTAGCGTTAATACGCTCAATCCTCGATACGAAATCCCTGCTGTTTCGCTCGAGGAAAATGGCATCTTCTCCCCAATAATTATCTTCGTACTCCGTCTCAAGCACCGCCTTCAGCTTCTGATAATATTGCCCGTGCGGATTAAACACTGCACTGCCGCCCATAACATTGCTGTCTCCACTGAAAACCTTCGTCAAACTGCTCACGACCACATCGGCATACGGGAGAACGTTGACATTGATAAAGTTACCAACAGATTCATCCACCACCACGGCGAAGTCATATTTCGTCGCTAGGTCTCGAATACGTTCGAGATCTGGGGCCTTCAGCAGGGGATTCCCAGGGAATTCGGTGAAGAGCGCTAGGAATCGTTCCCCTGACTCCAACCGTTTTTGAAGATCATCTAGCTCTTCAGACGATGCATGCCCATAAAACTGAACACCAGGGCCCCATTTCTGTAATATCTTCAGCGTATCAACATAAGGGAAGCCGAAGCATATACTCTTCATCGGGCCCCGAGCAGCCGTTAGCATGCGATGGGTGTTGAAGATCGCACTCATGCCCGAGGGAAAGAGGAAGACGTGCTCTTCTGCCAACCTGGAAATCCGCCCATCCGATGATGCAGATTTCAGTGCTTCGCTGAGCTCACCATTGCAAGTCAATGAGCCAGCAATCCGCCTCCGAACCGCGAGCTTGGCATTATTGGCATGTGCCAGGTTCAAGTTACGGCCAAACCGCTCTTCAATGAATTGGTCAAACTCCATCGAAGAGGGGATTTCGCTTTTCTGCAGTAGATGCTGTGGCTGCGTTGATGTCAAGTCCTTGCTGATGCTCCCTAGAGACCCGTTTCGTTGATACCGCTTCGGCCCCTTGTGCGGCCATTGAGTTGTAGGCTCGTCCCGCTGCAGCAGCCGGCTCTCTTCGATTAAATATCCATCTTCCAAGGCCTTCAGACAGAATTCACTTCGGCGACTTGATATCCCATCACCCGTGTGTTGCCATACCTCCTTTGCAACGCTGCTTTGTGCGGATGGATAAAAAACGCAAAACAGAGACGATGCGATATTCGGATTTGCTTTACCACCGTCACCTTCATCTGAGAGCGGCTGCTTCTGCTGCTGCTGTCTCCGTGGCGGCAGAAGGCTAATAACGCGAAGCTTTTGTGCTTCCTCAGCTGGTAGCCGCGACGTCATGAACTGGTAACACCTGTCTGCAGTCTTACGAGACGGGAACAATGTGGCCGAATCCTCCCCGGGCGTACCGAAGCGGCGGACAACTTCTGCCACCAGCGCCCGGATGCTCTTGTGGATGAAGAAGCGTGGGTAGCCATTGGTCATGGCATCTATTACCCATTTTTCGCCCTTTTCATAGCCAATGTTGGCTCCCCATGTCGGGAGGGAGACACTCACAGCCTATATCCGCTATGTTAGTATATATCTGGAAAGGCGATTTGGATACTGAGAAGATAATGAGAGTAGATGATGCGACAAAGCGAATTATTTTATTTGTCTCGTTTCACTGTCCAGGGGTTCTTCGCGTTCGCAACCAACCAAGAGAGCAGAATCCATGGCTGAAAGCCTTCTAAATAACATTACAAAATTGAATGTAATTTCACTTATTCTTTATGCGAACATACATGGTCAGTTTCTGGAGGGACAGGTCCTCCCACTGGTAGTTGATTTACCATCCCCGGACGATCAGAAAGCAGCGCAGAAGGCGGGAACAAAGGCGCTTCAATTCAAGGAGGAATTCAAAAGCATACAGCAGGCATTGTCGCAAGTACTATTCTGTTCGAACCACCACTGGATTGCACTGTACTCGTCGCTGAAGGGTGGGAAAAGAAAAAATGATATACAAAAGTGAGGGGCAAAAAGTGCAGAGATTGATAAGAAAAGAGTCAGCGCGGGTCCCTCATATATAGATTACGCCGCCAAAACATCTAGGTCCATGGACCCATGTTAACTTTGTGAACTTATGAGAAACAAGATACACACTACAAGCACAATAAAGATTTATTTATTTATTTATTTATTTATTTATTTATTTTGGAATTCTTTTGGGGATCCTCTTTGAACAGGGTTCTATGAGTATCATACTCATTTTGTAACGATGTAATATATTACCCGGGCATATTTCCGTAATATAATACCGTACAATACGCCGCTATTCTGCTCAAAAAAAAAAAAAAGTTGGAGCCTCCAAACCGTCTCCAACACCATCCCAGCGACAAGAAGACGGGGAATTTGGGAGGGATTTCACAAACCGCCATAACGACGGCAGGCCCCAAAGTCATTTTCGCTGGGCTTGAGATTCAGCGGTCTTTACTTTCATCGCCTCCGTTTACTTCAATTCCAATACCTGCTCACGGGTTTGGCCTTCTTCATGGCAGAAATCACCGCAAAGCGAAGAAAGCTAAGCGTGGGCGATGGAGCTCAACAACCTGCCAGAAATGGAGCCAAATGGACGCAAAGTCGGTCGCGATCGCATGCTCCAACCGCTGAGCTTGCCGTTGCTAGTGGAGTGTTCAAGTCCAATGCCTTTAAGTTGCAGGTGGATGAATTGCTCTCTCAACTTCGGCCGGATCATGACAAGCTGCTTGCCCGAGTCGAAAAACCACTGCGGACATTGAAGAGCATCATCGAAAAAATACCAAATATCCCTCCCAAAACCGTGTCGGAGGCGGAGAAGAGTCTGCGCAAACGATCAGGCGTTTCTGTTCCGTTTCCAGAGCCCCGTCCTGCGAAGGATACGAAGTATACCCTGGAATATGCCGCACCCGTGAATATCAACGTCGTGGGGAGCTTCGCGGTCAAGACGGAAATAAAATCAAAGCTCACAACAATCGACCTGGCTATCACTATCCCGGGTTCGTTGTTCCAAAAAAAGGATTACCTCAATTATCGATATTTCCACAAGCGTGCCTATTACATAGCCTGCATTGCGGCAGGCATTAAAGATACCGTGGAGCCGGGCTTTAAGATAAGTTGGAGTTACCAAGGAGGGGATACACTGCGTCCTGTGATTCTGCTGGAGCCCACAGAAGGCGCCGACGAATCCTTCATACGCTCCAAATCCCGCATCCGCATCCTCACAGCCATCGATGAAGATGTTTTTCCAACTTCCGTCACCTTTCCCACCGCAACAAACATCCGAAAAAACAATGCGGATCACGATCAGCAACATGATTCTACTCAGCCAAGGGACCATATCGCAACGCCCATTTACAACAGTGCTATCCGATCGGAGGCATCTGTTTCGGCGTTCTTGAAGCTTCAATATGCTGCCAGTGTCAAATGCACGGCCTATCGAGATGCATGTATCCTCGGCCGGATTTGGCTTCAGCAGAGAGGTTTTGGGGCCTCTTTTGCACAAGGCGGCTTTGGCCACTGTGAGTGGGCTACTCTCGTAGCCCTACTCCTCGAAGCGGGGGGACCTAATGGGAAACCGCTTCTCTCCCCGAGCTACAGCAGCTACCAAATCTTCAAAGCTACAATTCAGTTCCTTTGTGGCAGAAATCTTATCCAACCATTCGTACTGTATGCAGATGGGATCTCGAAGCTCCCACCATCTGACGTGCCTATTTTCTTTGATGGAAAACGAGGAATGAACATCCTCTATAAAATGTCCCCCTGGTCATATTCTCTGCTACGCCACGAGGCTCTTACTACCTTGAAAATGTTAAACGACCCGCTTCGAGACAACTTCAACGGAGTTTTCATTTTCAAGGTTGATGATCCCCTTTGCAGATTTGACCACCTTATCTCAATATCTCCGCAAATCGCTCTTTCGTCAACTCTTCATATCAGGAAATACCAATCGTCTGTCTATGAAGTCCTTTTTAAGGCTCTGGGTGATAGAGCTAAGCTCATCAATCTTTCCGTTCCAGATACCACCGACTGGCCTGTTGGATCGGGTGCAACCCCTTTCACAAAGGGAAATGGACCGTCAATCACCCTCGGTTTATTACTCGATGCTGAGCACTCTAACCGGATTGTTGACCACGGTCCTTCAGCCGAGGATAAAGAAGCTTCCGCTACTTTCCAAAAATTCTGGGGCGATAAATCCGAGCTTAGGCGTTTTAAAGATGGAAGTATCGTGGAAAGTTTAGTATGGTCCGATCGCCAGTCAGACCCACCAATTGTCCAGCAAATTGTGGCCCATATCTTGAAGCTGCATCTTGGCCTTGATGGAAACCGCATCACATTTGCTAACTACGACCTTGGCGACGAATACTTCAACGGTGCCAGCGCATTGAACCCTACTTCTTCCTTTCAGCCGTATATGGATGCATTCAGCTCTCTTGAAAAACTACTCCAAGGCATCGATGGGCTTCCGCTCACATTACACCAACTCTCCCCAGCTAGCCCTCTCTTAAGGTACACATCAACTCAAATCTCAAACAGCGGGCTAGTGCAAAACAGTCCTGCCGATGTTCTTCTCCAGTTTGAAGGCTCGACACGATGGCCAGACGACTTGACGGCCATCCAAATGACAAAACTGGCATTTTTACTCAAGATAGCCGAACTTCTACAAGACTCGGGAGAAGTAGCATCCTGTCAAGTAGGTTTAGAGAATGAAAACAGCAGATTACTTAACACCTCCTTCCTCGACATCGTCCTCCCAAACTCCATCACATTCCGCCTTCGCATCTACCACGACAGGGAACAGACTCTGTTGGAGCAACAACTGAAAAAGAAAGATCTGGCAGCACGACAAAAGGAAGAATTAGCCTTTGCTCTCGCCACACACAAGCGCGCTTTCATTCAGGCTCCCCGACACACACAAGCAATCCGAATCCTCTCCACCCGGTTTCCCTTGCTCTCCCCAACCATCCGCCTCGTGAAAAAATGGGCAAATTCCCACCTCCTAACCCCTCATCTCCGAGAGGAACTTCTTGAATTAATTGTTTGCCGGGTCTTCGTCCATCCATTCCCCTGGGATGCCCCTTCTAGCATCGTCACCGGTTTTCTTAGGACTCTTCATTTCCTCTCCCGCTGGGACTGGCAACTGGAGCCGTTAATTGTCGATCTAAACCAAGAACTGACATTGCAGCAATTGTCCGAGGTCCAAACGCGCTTCGATGCCTGGCGAAACATCGATCCGATGATGAACACCGTCACCCTCTTCGCCGCGTCAAACCTTGACCGGGATGGCGTCACTTGGACCCAGTTCTCGAAACCGCCACGAGTCGTCGCAGCGAGACTATCTGCCTTATCCAAATCGGCCATGAAGCTCGCGGCGGAGAAGAAGCTAGATTTGCATGCTCCAGAACTTTTCATATCGCCCTTTACGGATTATGATTTTGTGCTTTGGTTGAATTCAAAATATGCTGCTGGTAGCCGGAAGAAGAGGGAGGACCGAGCTGTGTTTAAGAATCTTCAAGGACTATGCCAGGGGGTTCTAGATGGTGATATGACGGGTTTTAAACCCGCTGCTGCGTTTGCGGACGAGTTGACACGTTTGTATGGACATGCTATTGTATTTTTTCATGGGGATTATGGGGAAGCTGGTGGTGGTGTTATCGCTGGTGTTTGGAATCAGCAGACGACGAAACCACGGACGTGGGGGTTGAAGATTGGCTATTCAACTATTCCGTCGATTGTTGAAGGCGAAGAGGAAAATCAGACGGAGCTTGCGCCTAATAAGACGGCGATTTTGAATGAGATTGCCACCATAGGTGGTGAGCTTGTCGAGAAGATTCAGGTTAACCGGTAAAATGCATACGAAGATGAGGAAGCAACAGGAGCAGGAAATGAAGAGTAGAAGTTTCATTATCAGTACGTTAAAAATTTAACGTCTACCTCTTCTCTATATGTAAAGGAAACAATAGACTACGCAAAAATGTAAAATAAAGAAACGAAAACGTTGACCAAAAACGCCGGTGCTATGTAATACCTATTCTTTCATCCAGGAACAAACCATAAAGTCCACACATTCTACCCATCAGCTCTTCGGAACTCTATAGATGCAAGTGACTCTGTGGTCACACGAGTGGGCGGTCATCTAATCTGTATCGTGGCCACACGTCTTCACTAACCTCTGTTCCTCTCACCAGCTCCGGTTGCATCCTGGGTAGAGAACGAGCAAAACTTGTCTTTGATCGCAACAACTTCATAGCTACCTTCATCAGACGTTCGGATGATCTTGGTGTGTTCATAGGATATGTCATGTTTAGTATCCAAAATTTGTGATTTCTTGCCCTTTCTGTCGATAGAACTGCGCGTATATCTACAAAAGGAAGTAGCAAAATCAGTATTTCTCGTCAAAAAGAGAGGAAGAAGTTTAAGGAAAATAGGGGAAAAATAAAAAAGACAAACAAAGCCAAGATGCAGGAGTATGAAAAGACGGCAAAAACAAACAGGAGGGAAAGGATCAACGAAGTAGCTTACGTGAACTCGAATGGGGGAGTTCCCCAAAACTCAAAAATCATCTCAGCCTCTCCACCCTCATGTATTTCGACAACGGAAACAGATCCGCGACTGACTCTAACGCTAGGCATCTCGTGAATAATCTTGGTAATATTCTTGTACGCCTTGCACTTCCCACTCGCCCCATCGCTCACGGCCGTAATGGCAAATTCACCTGGTTTTTCCGCAATGCGGCGGAAGCTGGAGTTCGGCACTGCTGCTTTCCGATCCACGCCGTTAAACGTATAGTACACCTCGAACGGAGCGTGGCCAGATAATGAGAACGAGAGTCGCTCTCCAACACAATAGTCTACCTGTGTTTCCAGTGGTATAATTGTTGGGACATCTGAAATTGCAACTCGAACAGAGGAGCCTTCATATTCTGTTGTGCGTTGGCAGCCGCGTGCATCCCGGACTTTCTGGATGCTTATGACGTGTTGGCCTAGGTTGAGATACCGTCGGGGGATTGGCAGGTTATGTCGGTTGGAGTCTATGTGTGGAATGGATAACACCTCCGGTTTCGATACAGAAGAATGTTTGATCCCAATCTCCAGGGAGAACGGGGGAACTCCTTCCAGAATTATAGGGATCACTTCCTCCGCATTGCCTTCTTCTTTACAAAATCCGTATATGTGGTTGGGCTGCTCAAAGCGCGCGGAAGGTCGGGGATTAACCCGCTGCGTAATGGTGACTGGTGCATGCTTCTTACGATCGAAGCTATAGAGATTATCACCAAGTTCTATAATCTTATAAGAATAATCACCCGGTTTTGATGTGTCCATTTGTAGAGAAGCAGATCCCAGTGCCGCCGTCATTGTCTTGATGCTTGTGGAGATCGCGCCAGTGATTGGCCGGCGCTGTTGTTCGTATCGAATCGTGTAAGGGGGGGTGCCATCAAATTTCATTTCCATGAGATCCTCATCGCCCTCGCAAACCTCTCGTTTTGCTAGAACATCCTTATCCTCAACGGGAGAACCATCGATAGCTGTAATTGCCGGTCGAGAAATCCAAGAAATTTCGAATGTGCTTGCTCCGTTGTCGACAGAGCCGGGGCATGTAGAATCACTAACTGCGACGATTTCATATCGGCCACGTTGGGTGAGTTGGACAATACTATTCTCATTCCAGAGCGTCCTCTCGATGGGAGGTATCGAAATGTTGTCAAGGTTTCGAAATCTGACGGTCCACGGCGGAACTCCTTCCAACCGTAGCGGTAGCTCTACTTTCTTGTCCTCCAGAGCAAGAATGCTGCGCTTCTTGTCGATCAGACCGAAGGCAGCTTGAGGTCTCTTGGGCCGGACATCAATATTGATCTCCTCCTTTAACAACTTCTTGCAATTTGATTTGTCCTTCACACTTGTCAAGCCTAAAGTATATCCACCACCATCAACGAGATCTTCAGTAACAACGGTCGCTATCTCATGCTCACTCCGAAGCGTACGTTTGTTCCTCTTCCCATTGTGGACGAGCTCGTATTGCAGTTCCCATGGAGCTTCCCCAACGAACAAAACATCGATCGAAACAGGTTCGCCAAAGCAGGCTTTGCGACTAGTCACAGAGCCCAAGAATTGTGCTGATGCGGGAGGCTTCACATCCTGCTCCAACACCGGAACCTTCCCCTTCAATGGCTGGGGAAGGTAAACGCGATCCGAAATGTCAATGAATTCGTACTTATAATGCCCTGCTTCTTTTGGCCTAAAATCGATTTGTCTCCTTAGAGAATCGATGGAGATGAGACGGGTCTGAACTCCGGTTGCCTGCTCGATATTATACCGAATTTGGAACGGCGGGGTTCCAATCAGGTCGAGGTCCACCAGAAGGCCAACCGAAATGTTTGCACACTTGTCATACAGCTTTTCGTATCGTAAGTTAATACTTGGCTCAGGAGGATTGTGAAGGAAGCAGGACGCAGGTTCGAATATCTCGCCTGAGCAAAATTGGCTGGAGATGGCAGTAAGACTATACCATCCCTGCTCCTGGATTTGAGGTTTGTCGTCAACGCTTTGAAGACTGATTTGCTGCACGGACGGAGGAATGGAACTGTCGTCCTGGGTGGCTTCACTCTTGTAAGAGTACGTCAATGTATACGGGGCATCAGCTGCCTGATCGCGCCCAACGGAATGGAAATGAAGTGGTAGATCAATGGAATGACCATTCGCCACTTGGAGATACGATTGAGCGTTGCATCCAGACAGCGAAACGCGAGGCCGCTCATGAACTAAGAATTGCTGAGTTTGTGATGAAACTTTCGAAAGTTGTTGATCGCCATCTTGAAGAGCGAGAGAATAGTTTGCAACATTTCCACAAGCATCGTGGACCTCTTCGATAGAATATATCCATTCGCCCCCAGTGCTCAGCGATTCATTGAGCGGAACTTCAATTCTTTGAGGTTGCGCCCAACTAACATCTAGGTCATTCGGGTCTATCAGAGGGCCGACACGGGCTTGACTCGTGAGGGGTGATCTAAAGTTTTCTGGCTGAATGCTCTGGAATGAAACGCCGTGATCGATATTATTAACTTTGCGGCTATATTTGATCTTCAAAGGTGGCGTCCCCTCGACCACAAGCATCAAGTCCGACAGCTCACCCTTACATCGGTTATCCGCCGAGGTTCGAATTACCGCTTTCGGGCACGCCGCAACAAGGGTGTCAAGTGGACGGCGTCTAACCTCAAGCTTCGAATCGTCCACGACTCTTTGTAACTGGTAAATTCCCGTTTTTTTGACCGGAAATAGCAAATCTCTTGGACTGTACTTATCCGAACTCGGGTGGCCCTTATTCGCTTGCTTCACTATATGCTTCAGTTGTTTGGGTGGAACTGAGATGGTCTCGCTCTCTCCAGACTCGAGATCAAACCGTAAAAGATCAATGATTATCGGGGTAGTCTGGTTCACACGGATTGGAAGCATGGCTTGGGTTGTCTGGCTGTCTATACAAAAGGAGGCTTGCTCTGGGTTCAATACTGCAGAACTAAAACTCCGTGTCAGTCATCACCATGAATAAACAGGGGTGCTTGGGGGACAAATAGCTCACCCTTCTGGAAGGATATGGATGATTTGCTTGCCCAGAATCAAAGACGAATTACGGAGGATGTCAGCCGGTTTAACCCTTCTTTCTGATATGGAGAGCTCTCTGTCATAGGCCACTTTAACGAGAGCAGCCATCCATGACTCGACGGGTATCTACTTTAAGATCAGAACACAGCTTCGTTATAGGTTCATCTTGGGACGCTTCATTCATAGACTTACAGGGATACGAAACATTAAGAAGGCATTGGCAACAGCATGCACCATGAATACCGCCAACGTAGTCGCAAACGACCACTCTAGCCATGGTACCCTCAGAGCAGGGAGCCCGAACAAAAATATGCCGTCAATTGAGACCCATTTCAAGAAAAGCCAGGTTGAATCGAAATCGTCTGTCGACGTCCAGAATTCGTACATGCGCCACGCATTCAAGGCCAGGTAGAAAGCCACCACATATAATCTCTGAGATGGCGCATCCACAACACTAAAGGGAATAAGCGGCGCGTTTGAGTCCCTTCGTTCTAGCCTCACCGGTGCGGGTTTCTCGTTTCGAAGGGTTCGCAACCGGGCTTCGAGTGGAGTCCCATCCTGGCCGTCGTTGAGGGTTCTGTAATGTGGAGATTTGCGGGGCGTCTGGGGAAAGGAAGATCGAAGTCGAGGAGTGCCGTTCATGGCATGCTTAGAGGGTGCGGGTTATGGCGAAGGAGCCGTAGATACACAGGACGACCGACTTAGCATTCCAGGTCCCATCCAAGCCTAAAACAAGGAGAAGTTAGAGAGGGACTCTTATACTTCAACCATTGGTTTTCGAGCGATTCTTCACTCACTCTGTCGTTACCATATCCTTGCGATTCCTTTCGTAGTGGAATTGTGTCCGAATATGCCAGGAGGGAGAGTAAATTCAGGCAAAAGCTCGCTATCGCAAAAAGTCTGGTGTCAACCTAGGCACCGCTGGAGAGGTGGAACACGCCTAGCAGTGGTTGGTCCGCACAACGCATAAAGGAAAAAAGGCGGATGAATGCAGGGTCTTTCTCCTTCCTAGTCGAATGGGCGGTCTGTCAACCTGTGGCTGCGGATCTCAAGTCAATATCCTACTGCACACAGTATATGCCTGGTGTTTGCGCGAAAGAAAAAAAAACGGCGGTCCAACGCGTCAGGATGGTTGACGCCAAGACAGGGCCAACCTTTTTGCTCTTGTCCGCAGCTAACCAGCATCGCGTGTAAAATAAATAGTCGCGGACGGACGTCATAAAAATTGTTGAAGATTGGGCAAATTCTGAGGGACGAAAGAGCGGAAGGGATATATATATTTGTTGTCCCGAATACAGGCTACACAATCTACTTCTCATTCCTTCTTAATGGTTGAGTAAATATATTATTAGTTATCATCGGATAAACTCGCTTCGCCTGCGCCATGCTCATCCCTTGGACTTGAAGCCCACTTCATCCTTCAGAGCAGTAGATATGACGGCTCGGACAAAACGACGACGGCTTAATCCGCCAACAACCTTTGAGACTTTGCCGCTCCAGCCACTAACAAAGGCCGACAAAGCTCGCTGGAATGGCTTCTGCGAGATCGAATCAGAACCGGTATGTCTACGTTACGATTTAGGTGTATAGTACCTATTCTTTCGAAGCTAAACTGGCATCTAATAGGCGCTTTTTAATGTTATGCTCCGTGACTTTGGTGTTAAGGGGGTTAAAGTGCAGGAAATTGTATCTCTGGAGGATGAGATGCTAGCGCTCCTCCAGTATGTGCTACGGGCTACTGGCTCAATGGCCTCCTATAATAAATTTGTGTCATTTTTGACTAATTCCAATCAATGCACAGCAAACCGGTCTATGGGCTCATATTCCTCTTTCGATGGAAGGAAGATGACCCAGATAAACAGGAGTCAAGCTGTCCAGAGGGCATTTGGTTTGCGAACCAGGTTTGCCTCCGCCTTCCATTGAGGACATGTACAAGAAAGAACACCCTCTGAAGACTTTCTCTTTTCTTGTAGACTTCAAGCTACGCTTGCGCAAGTGTTGCCCTGCTAAACATCATCAACAATGTTGATGAAATCGAACTTGGCGAGAAGCTTCAGCATTTCAAAGACTTCACCTTGCCTTTGACGCCAGCATTGCGTGGGTACGCAATCGGCAATTTCGAATTTGTCAAACGAGTCCATAACTCGTTCGCGAGGTATGTTCTATATATCATTTGATTATAATACAAAATCAGGCGATTCAATAAACTAAACCTCCCCAGAAAAATGGACGTCCTCAACACCGACCTGCAGCTAAAGACCGAAGCTACGAACCGAAGGTCCAGAACGAAGAAGTTGAAAACCCAGGATTACGATGATAGCGAAGCTGGCTTCCATTTCATCGGCTTCGTCCCAGCGAAGGGGAAGCTATGGAAGTTTGATGGGCTCGAACGCCAACCCCAAAACTTAGGTAGATTTATACATTTTTATTCCCATCTCGATTCTAGTTTCCTTTCTTTTCCCCTTCCCCTTTAACTTCTTTAAACTAATCCCTTGCATTCAAGGTGACTGTTCAGGTGATAAGTGGTTGGATCTAGCGAAGCCAGAAATAATCTCGAGGATGGCAGAGTATGAGGAGGGCCAGATTGAGTTTTCGATCCTGGGCCTTGTTAAAGACCCTCTGATCGATTTGAGAACACAGCTTGCTACAAACATCAAGTGCGTCGCTACCATAGACGAGCAGCTATCTGCACTTGGCATATCGCTACCGGACCTGGATGGCACAGCAGCGACTATCAATGAAAACAGTAATGGTATTGGCCATGATCCATTCATCAATATTGAGCGGGAAGAGGTGGAACGGGCAGATGTTCCGGGTGATCTCAGAACCAAGTATAAATCTGCCACACCAGATGAATTGGCAGGTTATCGGGAAGAGCTCGTCGGTGCTCAAAAAAATATACGAATTATGATCAGCGAAGAGGAGCAGTCGCATCGGGCGGATGAGGACTACGCAACGGCCAGAAGACACGATTACGGACCGGCTGTGCACACCTGGGTGCGTCTCCTTGCACGCAAGCAGGTGATTGAAAAGCTAGTTGAGGAAGTACTGGCGTATTGATCTACTTGCGTATATAGCAGTTCGTTGACTGAGGCTTGAAGCATTAGTCTATGTATTAAATAACTATACTATCAATTTTAAAAGTTTTGTCAGTCGCTACAGTAATGATAATGTTCGATATAACCAGTATTTTGCCATTTCTGAAACATGTCATGAAGTATGTATCTCTTCGTTTCAACCAGCTGCTTCGAATCTCCATGCGAAGTGCAAAAATAACTCCATTCAATACAAACCCATGGGAGAGGATGGAGCATCAGCGAAAAAGGAGGCCAGAAACTGCCGAAAATTAAAACTGAAACGCTAAACAGCAACTTTATTGGCGCCTTCGGGGATTCAAGGAAGAGCAGGCAACTGGAGCTTGATTATTCGATCATCTCAGAGTGAACTCTTCCATCAACACAGCTATTTATTTTATTCATTCGTCTTCAACATAAAACGAAAGCAGTTCTGGTTGTGTGTCGTGGGGCCATGCACGACCGTCGTTGAAGCATCACCACACGACCATTTAATCAAACAAGGGCTCTCCTTGAAATTGACAGAACATACAGCCTCCCAGAATTCGGGGAAAGATATGGCATCAGATTCAGATGACCCCGAGCTGAAGTTAGAATTGGATCTAATGACGCTGGATTACCTGCTCCATAAAGCGATAATCGCGGTGATAGACGACCGAATAGTACAACGGCGGGTTGGCGAGCAGTCAAATAAAAATGGTGATAGTATTCTCGGAATATTTGATGGTTAGTTCTGTACTCATAAAAAAAATAAATATAGATTTGAGTTTATTATTTCAACCAGTGTGGCTGTTTAATCGTTGGAGCAAAAAGAAAGCTAATTGATTACTTGTCGCCAGGATGCATGCAATTATTTCGATACAATCATCTCAACAATAACAGTCGCAACAGCAATTATGAGAGCGATAGAAGCAATCAGAATAATAACACTTCATGCGTTCCGATAAACTTGAGAATCAAACTTCAAATCCTTACGGTAACAAATCTCCTGTGCCGACGGTATCATCAAGGCTCCCGCGCATTTCTCCCGTCGGAAGAAACCCTCCAAACCCAGAAAAAGCGGAACAGAGAGCGCGCAGAGCATTGGCTACGTCAAAATGAAGACCACAGAATCTGCCGCACAGCCGCAAGCACGCCGGTAATGAATGATTCAGCGTATCTAGAGCGAAATCGACGCGACATGTACGTGCACATGGGCATCCCTTGCAAAGACGGCAATGACAATATCCCCGTCGCCAGTCTATTGGATATCTTACCGGAATGCATGTCTCTCTGTGGGATGGTGTGCCACCATGACATACCAGACACCAGCTGGATGGAATTACCGGTCCGGTTTATGCTGTTTGCTGCGATTGAGGAGATTTTGTTACACGGCACGATGATAGAGGAAGCGGCCAACGAGGCTTTTGCTTGGGATTATCCTTACAAAGTCGAGAGTGATGATCATCATGATGAAGATTGTGAACAAGATGATAAGGCTCGTATTGCTCAATGGGAGTCCGTGAGGGATTCTGTGAAAACATCTCTGGTTGGTGTTGATGGCGAAAGAGGATGGGAGACAAGTATAGGAGAAATCTTGGAGAACTGTCCTTTCATACGGTTCGAGGAATATGTCATGGAATGGCTGGTTTCATTGCTACGGTTCCAAAAATCTCCTATTCTCATGCAGTTGGAGGAAGGGAAGCTGGAAGGGCTGACGCTAGAAGAGACGGCGGCATTTATGAGTAGGGTTGGCATTTAACAGGCTATGTGCACAGCCAACACAGATTTAATATTCGAATTGAAAAAAGAGAATGGAGAGGGAAAATGGCAATATCCACAATCCAGACTACAAATAAAGAGTCTGATTCTAACGCCTGCCGTTGGTTTCCAAAAAGAGTCACGAACAAAACACCAAAACACCCACTGTCAGTCACGATCCGAGGTCAGTCATCTGGATATTCGTCTCGAATATTGCTAACGAATCTCCGCGACTCTGAGTCCCACCTCTTGAAATGTTTACCGGTCAACTTCAGAAATGCAGGCGGAAGCTCAGAAATTTCTAATGAAACCAGTTCAATATTTTCCTCCGCCACGTATCGTACACTTTTGTCACATACCCTGAAACGGAAGAACAAACAACATGTCAGCAAATCGGTTCGTATCCCGCATAAATATATATATGATAAACAAAAATACAACCACGTACAGAACATGGTAGAAACTTTGGTGTCTGCCAGCCCGTAACCGATCGATTCCCATCCTTTGCATCCACTGCTCTCCAGCTCCGCACTCGGCGTCCCAGCCAGTTATAACAGCAACATAGTCGTAACGACGATGTCGGAACACCTGCCCGATCTTATATTTTATATTCTTATGCTCTGGAGTGCGTCTCCGTACCTGTTTCGGGATCTCATCACCGGCACGCAGAACGCGGACACTCTCTTGCAGCGGAGCATACTCCGGTAGATCCGCAAACAGCGGTATCAAGTACTCCTCGATGAGGTAAACATCCGATTGAAAATCGGAAGCAACGTTATCCATCAACGATGGCAGATGCCGTCGCATGGGAGCATGGCCAGCCTCCCGCGGTGGTAAAACGCCCGGTGACTGGGCGTCGTGGTTTGCATATTCCGCGAAAAGAATGGAGGACCAAAGTGCGGCGTACTTCACGCTGGCGGAGTCAAGGCAGGTGTCGCGAATGCGCGGGGTTTGAAAGACTGAGTTTATAATATTCTTGCTGCAGCGAAGCACTATATTCTGCACCAGGGATTCGCGTAAAAACGTCGACCGCGACAGCGTCAAGGCCCCCAGGAAGCTCAGTTGTTCCTGGAGTTCAGTTACCCGCGTTTCATCCGTTGAGCGGAACGGGTCCATGTACATGGGATCACCAGGCTGGCCTGGATCCTCGAGCAGGTTGCCATCCATATCGTGGCCATCAGCAGGGTGAATTATCACATGTACATGGAATGGAAATCCACACGGATGAGCATCAAGATCAAATCGCCGTGCAACGTAACAGTATATAGCTGAAGAAATGAGAGGTAAAGAATTATGACCGGGATTCCTTAACGCCAAACCTATAAAGTTGTGCTCGATGTTGTAATACTCTCGGCTTGAGTCGATACCCGTGAGATCATGCTCCCGTAGATACTTAGCTATCCTTGTCGCTCTATTCCGTGGGCTTAGCTCCATGATCTCCAAACATTCAGTCGACAACTGAGTTACGATACTCTCAAGACAATCTGAGATCTGTAGAGCATCATTAATTAGAACCCCTGATCCTGATTAAAGCATGAGTGCATCGGTATCATCCCACGTACATCGTTAAAATCCCCCGGTCCATCTTCCAAAACGAACATGTCAAACGCCCCCAGAGCGCGCTCCAGCGAGACATCTTCATTATTTCTCAGTCTATTCCATACCGGTATGGCCATTGTCCGATGAAGACAACCGAGAATAGCGTTGCTATGGTATCTATTTATGCAACCCAGATCAATACCCTTCTCCGTAAATAACCAGGTTCTGAGAAGGAGGGAAGGGGGAAAGGGGGAAAGGGGAGGAAATGTATTTAAATCCCACCGTCTTGCTAAATGATCTTCCCACTCCTCCCCAGCCCTCGCATGCCGCAACAACGTGTCCTTCGCATCATACCCAAACTCCACGATGTGATGCGTCTTTTCAATCCTCCCTGTCTGGTTTTTAACAATGCTATCCAGAATCTGCGTTGTGCTGATATCAATCCGGCGCCGAAGCGCGTAGAGCGCCTTCCAGTCCACGGAGCCGACAGGCTCAACCAATCGTCGCGCGAGCTCATGTCGCTGGTCCCAAAATTTGAAATCGTTCTGGCAGTGCAGGCGCCAGAGGAGAGGGACGTTTGTTGCGCTTTTGAAACGGCGAGATGTGCGCTCCAGGGCTAGTGCTGTCCTTGCGGGTGAGTAGCAAAGGATGCTGTGCAGAACTTCGTCTGGGAGGCTTTCAAGGGTAGGCGGGGTTGCCCGCGCCATTATTCGTTGATTGTACGGTGGAGGGGTTCAACGGGTTAAATAAGTGATAGTAATATGATAACAGAAATTTTCCATGCAAAAAAGCAACAGAAGGGGCGAGATTTGGGATTGAGTGCGAAGGACATTGTTGTTCCCGGAGATAAATCTAATAAATAGCAGGCCTCCCCAATTTTATTGTGTTGGAGCAGTTCAAACTGAGCCAATGCCAGAGCCAAGTGGTAATTCGGACTTTAGAGTAAAGTTGTGATTGCATCATACCTGCTGACTGCCAGAGTGGTTGGACTTGTTTTTGTGGAAAGGAAGAATAATATAATAAGAATATCAATTAATTACGTGGCTTATAATGCGAATACAAAAAAAAACATATACATTAATAAATTAGGAGTATTATATTCATGATATCGTTATTCACAACTGCCATCCATCATTCAGAATATATATACGGAATGTACAGTACTAGAGCCCAATAACCCATTGAAAACCAAATAGTATAGCAGGAGTAGTGTTCTGGAATCAAACGTTCTTGAACGCAATATATGGCCACAACCTAACCCCCCTAGCCCTGCCCCGTACCGGTGGCCCAACAGAAGACAAATAAGCGAGTAAGCTCCCTGTACTTGTCTCCCGGTTGATGGCCGCTCTACCTTTTCTCCAGTGGCACAGAGAGAAGCCTTGGAATACGGGACAAATCTTCCTCTTCCTATCATGGGTCCCGTCGGTTTAATTATAATTAACATTATCACTGAAATAAAATTTAATAGAAGTAAAAGTGGGCAATGAGAGCACACTACATCACGGAGCAAGAATCGTAAGAATTACCATAAAGGTCGATCGTCGCCGCTCGCTCGTTTTCCTTTTGTTTGGCCCTCGTCTCCTTCGGGAAACTGGACGCTAGGAATGCAAGAAGTTCATTGTCTAGGTTTGCTATTCATCAACCAAGTCAGTTATATATTGTCGCGGACATAGACTTCAATGCTCGTGGGAACGAGAGCTAAAGTAAAAAAAAGAAGGAGAAAATGCATATTAACATACCTCCTGTAGCCTCCATTACGACACCCTCTCGACAGAGCGCACAGTTGTTCTGTTTAGCTCTCTGCATAACAACCAAGCAACGGATGCAGAAAATATGGTTACAACGCAGTCGCACAGGTTTGAACGAAATATTAAAACAGATAGGACATAGGTAGTCGTCCAGCTGGGGTATGACAGTAAGGACCTCTTCGGAAATCGTGTAACAGACAGCCTTGGCCATAGTTTCAGCTAAAAACGTCTCAACAACCATGAGTTCTGGGAAAATAGTCCCAGCTGGGAGAGCGGTGCGTTTGTCAAACTTTTTCAAGATCTTGGTGAGGGCAGTGCGATTGATCTCCTGGAACTTTAGATTTTGCAACAAAACATTGTTAATGCACAGAAAGGCCTCAAGCGCGGTACGGCCCTCCTTTCCAAGCTTTTTGATCTGCCGGCCTTGTTTTAACGTTGTTTGGAATTTCTCCAGTTTCCGGCTGGCAGTTTCGGCGTCTCTCTGGCCAGAACCCTGCTCGTCGGTGCAGAAAAAAACCTGCATGTCTATATACAGTCGGAATATTTCCCGCCACACATATAGGGCGGATTGAGATCTCCTGAATTGGGGCTTCGTGATCTTAACGATTTGTTGACGCAAGTCCTTAGCCCGTTCACTTAGTCCAATTTGTTCTCGTTCTTGGAGCTCGTCCAAGCCTGATAACTCTTTGTTTAGAATATGGAAAAATTCCGAGTCAGCGGAGAGCGGTATCTCGACGGAGTGCACTGTTTCGGCGTCATAATCTAGCTTCTTGACCGCTTCCCCCTGTTTGTCAAGGCTCAATTCCCCATCAGCAACCACTTCCAGGAAACCATGATGGGTAAACGATCCCAACTCAGAGTCCAGTCTAGCCAAAGTAGCAGCAGGTATCGGAAGCGGAATTTTGTTCAGTTGTTGAAGGAACTCAAGGGTTTCAGGAGAGACGAAGGCATCAATCGGGGAACCATCCATGGGGTCGACGACGAAGGTCAATTTCGGCAGCCAGAACGACGTTAAAGGGCTTTCTGCGACAAATAGTCAGGAGCCATACCCAAAGCGCAATATCATAACCCAAAATGGTCAAAAACTTACTGCTCAGAGAGTATTGGAAGCCGAAAGGCAGGCTATCACCACCAGCACCATCATACCCTGCCGCGTTTGCCGCTTGACTCTGGTGCCAGAGGAGGTTCAGAATCTCCGGGCGTAGGCCCAGGGACAGCAGCTCCTTACGCACCTTTTTGATACATTTCTTGAGGCGCTTGTAGGAGATTGCAGACTGAACCCACTGGGAAGGGTAATCCTCAGCGTTGAGGATCTGCGTGTAGTCATGCGCAAACTTCATAACCGGGGCTGTCTTAGGCGGATAGACAATGGGTATTTTTCAACCAACTCCAACGGAACTTTTCTATGTGCAACAATAACAGGGAACTATTTAAGTTTCTCTAATAACTAATCTCTCTCGGGAAAAATCGCCACCATCAAGGCTGTCGCATCTCAGAAGCGCGGAGAGCTGGAGCGCGGCCCGATATCTTGGAAGAGACGAAGGATGGAAAAGACAGGGCGCAAATATACATTGCAGTGGCTGGAAATATTGTCTCGGTACGAGCCTCAGACGGGGTGTCTAGCAAGCGACAGACGGCAGACAGACAACGGATCCTGGGCGTGGCCGGCGTTTATGAGCGAGACAAGCAGAAGGCGAATGTCACGGATATCGATGACTCCGTTTTGGGCAATTTGGCAGCAACCTTGGATGCCAAGCCCTCCAATGGGTGTGAAAAGCGCGCCACGTGCTGTAACCCCAGGGTAATGACCGACTGACACTTAAAATACCGCTAATAGAGTGCATATATTACCGTATTGCACCAATAATATGTGGGACGTCTAAGTGGTTGTATTAGCATGCAGGCAGCTGAGGCATATATGTGCGGTGCGCTAGTCCGTGATAGGCAGCCTAGGGCCAACACCTCCCCTCGGACTAGCAGCCGTACAGATATCTATCTATCTAGAAATCCTATTATACATGAAATCAATCAAATCAAGCTATTCTTTATATCCTTTTATCCTTCTATCCTTCACCCTTTCGGCATCTGTGAGGCTTCGGTTCGTGGTAGTAGTATCGATGTTTGAAAAGTTCTTTGATGGCAGTGGTGGTGGTGGTGGTATTGGTGGTGGTATTCTTAATGGCCAATCTCATCATGGTGGTTCTTATAGGAGGTTCTTTGATGGTTTTCATTGGGGGTTCTTTGGTGATTCTTGCAGGGGGTTCTTTGATGGTTGGTTCTTCAGAGGGTTCTTCAGTAGATGGAGGAGCAGTGACAGTGGCTTGTGTAGCCAGTTCCATCTCATCCTCCCCTTGTTTGATATCCTCTTGATCTCTTGACAGAGAATCAGAGTTTTCAGCTGATTTTTGTAAGGATTTTCCCATCCTTCTATCCCAATATTCATTCATTCTCTTCAGACATTCATCTTGCTTTTTCAAATATTCATCTTGCTTTTTCAAATATCCCATCATCATCTGTATCAAGATATCGGTTGTTGGTGTTGGGCCCGGTGGCCCAGGGGTAGTGGTAGGTTCGTATTCAATATCATCATTGCTAGCTGGGGTATCCATCCCCATGGTAGCTCGAGTTCTAGGAGGCATTCTCCCCCCTATATCAATCAAATTTTAATCTTTTTCCCGCGATCAAAGCTCTTCTAGCCTTCGTCAGGATCCCTTCTGCTGATCAGCGTAGCAGTTCGCGAGACGTTAGATGGGCAGTGGAAGGTTTAATAAAAAAACAAGCAATCCGGGCTATAACCTGTGGGACGTCTAAGTGGTTGTATTAGCATGCAGGCAGCTGAGGCATATATGTGCGGTGCGCTAGTCCGTGATAGGCAGCCTAGGGCCAACATAATACCATACACTTTGACCACATGTGGATGACTAATCAAGAAATTGCGGGCACGGCTCTGGCTTGATTCAATTGTTCACGACCCCCTACTGTAGGTCAAAGTCACTGCCAATCCCCCGCTTTGATTTTTTTTATTTAGCTCGTCACCCTTGCTGCCTTTCGTCAGGGAGGTCATGGGCCAGAGCCATTCCTCGGCTGCGGGGGGGAACAGTGGCGCCCCAGCTGCGGATAATGATACGAGGAAGACGGACTACTATGAGCTGCTGGGTATAGGACGAACTGCTACAGACGAAGAGTATGCTACATCCTCCAATTTGATTATGATTATGCTCTATCTTATTCGTAACGTTAGTCGCTGGGATCAGCATGCTACGAAGTCATAAGCAGCGCACCGGTAAACCCTGAGACTAATTACTTATCTTCCACCCCGCACAGGATCAAAAAGGCCTATAAAAAAAAAGCCCTCGAGCACCACCCAGATAGAAACTACGGCAATGTTGAGGCTTCCACTGCTATCTTCGCCCAAATCCAGGGCGCCTATGAGGTCTTATCGGACCCCCAGGAGCGCGCCTGGTATGACTCTCATCGAGACGCCATCCTAGCCGGCCACGATGGTCCCACGGCGGCTGCGCAGTATTCTCATGACATCAAGATGACCACCGCGGAGGATATAACGAGGCTCATCATGAAATTCAACCCTCGTATGGACTTCTCAGATGCACCATCCGGCTTCTTTGGCGGCCTGCGGGAAACCTTTGAGACACTGGCGCGAGAAGAGGAGCTGGCATGCCAGTGGGACGGCTTGGAACCCGTCGACTACCCCTCGTTCGGCCACAAAGACGACGGTTATGACAGCATCCGCCTGTTTTACTCGATATGGAGCGGGTTTGCGACAAAGAAATCGTTTTCGTGGAAGGATATATATCGCTACTCCGAAGCCCCAGATAGAAGGGTCCGCAGGTTGATGGAGAAGGAGAACAGACGACTCAGAGACGAGGGCATTCGAGAATTCAACGACGCGGTCCGGTCGCTTGTCGCCTTTGTGAAGAAGCGAGATCCCCGTTTCAAAGCCACCGTGCAGAGCGAAGAGGAGCGGCAAAAATCCCTCCGGGATGCGGCGGCGGCCCAGGCGGCGCGCTCACGCGCTGCAAACGAAGCAAAGTTGCAGGGCCACCAGGTGCCTGAATGGGCACAGAGCGAAGAGGTAGAGGAAGATATGTTCAGCGGCAGCAGCGAATCCGAGATTGAACAGGATTATTTCGAGTGTGTTGTCTGTCGTAAAAACTTTAAGAGCGAGAAGCAGTTTGATGCCCATGAGCGGAGTAAAAAACACATAAAGGCTGTCAAGCAGCTTCGTTGGGAAATGAGGGCAGAGGATAAACATATTCAACAATTGAGCACGGGAATGGAAACAGAGACGGGCGTTAGCACATCTAGTTCAATCCAGAATTCCGCAAAAACCCTTTCATCCACCGCCACTTCCGCCCAAGAAAATACCGAGCCCATTTCCCCAGACACAGAAGATGAGTTGGAAGACATCATTGAACCAACCCACGAAAATGATGTGGATGACCTGTCGGACCACCCTAGAATACCGGAGTCAAACATAAGCGAAGCCGAGCCCCAAACGCGAACCCAAGAGCCTGAGGAAGCAGAAGACGACACCAACGCAAGCGATACAGACCAAGATTACGCGCCGCGAGCGGTTCTCCTAAAGCGTTTCGCTACAGACACAACCAGCGCGACCAACACAGTGCATTACAACAGCCTAAATGACCTGACGGAAGATATATCGAAAACATCCATCAACGATAATGACGACGACGACGAACCGACACAGCCAAAACTAGGCAAAGCAAAGTTAAAACGCGCTAAACGTGCGGCTGCGGCTGCGGCTGCGGCTGCGGCTGCAGCTGAAGATGAAGGGAAGAAGGGCAAGACGTTTACATGCGCGACGTGCAAAAGCTCGTTCACTTCAAAAACCAAACTGTTTAACCATATCAAGGCGTTGGACCATGCTCAGTCCGTGGCAGCCATTAAACCTAATAATAAGCAGCCTGGCAGGGCAGTCGGCAAGAAGGGCGCAAAGCGCTGATGCGGCGGCATGTAACGAGCGGTTCACGATTTTGTCCTAAATTTTCCGCTTTCCACGGACCGGTATGGGTATTATTTTGGTTTTGTTGGGTGTTTTATTTAGTGCATAGCGCGAGACATCATTCATTACCTTTTGAAATGTTATGATTTACGTACCATTACGACTTATTTTTGACTTCAAGTAGATGGTGATTTACTGCATTGTTCGCGTTTTGAATATATGTAGATAGCGATCCTTTATTTGGCGGGCCGCGGTTGATCAAAACCTCTTGATATATAGTGCCTTTTCTTTCTAACAACCCTCCTATTCCAAAGTTGGGCGCCTACTACCAGCCTTGCCCATGTATTGGTGCTGCTACAGATGCATCACGGAGAGATGAGGAGAGTGTTGATGTTGTTCGCTAACAGATGACACGTCAAGAACGCGTCAAAACGCTTAAATATTTTTCCGCGCCCATTTCTAGTCTAATTTCTCACTCGTCTACTCCATCGCATCCAATGCCATAATAAATATCGCAAGGTTCTTTATATGCCGTAAGCTCCTGGACACCAGGCTAAACATACCAACAAAAAAAGCACGAGGGTGAAAAGGATCCCCAACAAGAGCAAAAAAAATAAAAATCACAATCCCCTAACCCAACCCAGCCTTTGAATTCTTCACCACATGCACAACAGGATGCAAAATTCCCTTATTATTAACGGCGCCCAACGCCGTCCCGGTACTCCACCCCATCTTCTCAAGCATCGCGCGGCCTTTATTCCCGGCCCCGATCTCCGGCGCTGACGCCCCAACCACGTCGCCATCCATGTACGAAGCAGCTTTCACACCACCGCCACCACCACGGGACTTGGCCACCGGCTTAAAGCCACCACCGTCACCTCGTGAGGGTCTATCCATCCGCCGCATGAAGCGCCCACTGGAGAAGATTCTATCGACTCGGTGGACGGCTGCTTGGCTATCCAAGGTGGGTGTGCGGGATGTCTTGGTGAGGATTGGGAAGCGCGAGGTGCCGCTACCGCGCGATATCGACTTGAGTAAAAGGATGTTTGCGATCTCATGGACAAGTTTGCGGTTTCGTTTGTCCATTGGGGGCAGTGAAAGGCTGCAAGTGCCCGTTAGTAATTTTCAAATAGAAGACAGATGGGGGAGGGTATCATACCTCTGGGAAGAGGATGCTAGGAAGGCCCTTATTTCCAGCTTGACATCATCAATGCTCATGCCTTCCGTATATTTCGCCTTCATATCTATCTTTCCATATTTTGTGCCCAAAAGCCCCTGTGCCCTTAGTTCCTCGCGCTCCTGCTTTTTTGCTTTCTTCTTGTTTCGGTCGTTTTCCCAGGAAGCTTGCAGTTCACGCACCAAGTCGCTATCAGAAAGGTCGAAGTCGTACTGATGCGCATGGCGGCGGCCCTTTGGTTTCTTCCTTAAGCTTGGACGATCGAAATCCATAACGTCGAATCCACCGTATGGATCTTTATCGAGAGCGTCTGCGAAAGCTGAGGCGGAGGGGAAATGCCCGTTTCGGTTTCGTCGCTTTTTCGGTTTGGATAATGATGACCCGTACGAGAATTTTGGTCTGGAGAAATTGTCGAAGCCACCAAAGCCTCCATTCCCATCGAGGAGTAAGAAATCATCGGTGCCCAACCCAAACGAGTCTTGAGTTTGAAGTAGACGAGCCATCTGCTCATCATTCAAATCTTGTTTCATACCGTCATGTAAATCTTGATCAAACTCTTCTTCATCATCATCTTCATCATCACCATCTTTTTCTTCTTCTTCTTCTTCTTCTTCTTCTTCTTCGCCAGGATCCGACGAAGGCTCGGATACTTTCTCGCGCCGTGGTTCAATCAAGGCGACGTTTTCTTCGAAGCGTCGAATCAATTCGGACGCGCTAGGCATTGTAAGAAGCTCCTTTCGAATCCAACGCGCTTTGTCAACACTCTGGCCCACGCCGGTAAGCAAGTATTGAATACTTTTGCCCTTTTCCCTCATAGAAAAGATGCGTCCAATCTCGTCCGGGAGTTCATCGGAGGAGCTGAGATCATTCAAGTCTTCAAGATCCGCAGAATTCCATGACTTCGTGCTGGAATGGCTAGATTTATTCTGGTTCTGAACGTGAACCTGACCTATCCCAGCATCTTTGCCTTCATCTTCGCCTTCATCACTGGTGTTATCATCCATCATGTTCGCGATATAATCAGCCAGGATCTCCGAATCATCAGAATCCCAGCGCGATCTTCGTCTTCTTGGTTTACGCGCGTGGGAACGCTTTTCCTTTTCGTTGAGGTTAATAAATTCGGGGGGCCCGGCTGGATGCAGTAGGGTTGACTCGGAGGTATGGATTATTGCCGGATCCGATTCGTTATTAGACGCAGACTCCGGGCCGGAAATCACCGATTCATAGTCATCTCCATCATCCCAACAACTCGGGATGAATGGATCATCCAGGATCGAGGGTCCATGTTGGCGACTTGGATTAAGATTCTGGCTGCGGTGAACCGGAGGCCGTTGGGATCGGTTTCCCCTTCCTGTGAAGACCACCTCATCTTCACTGGAAACTGATAGAGCAGTCATGCACACGTTAAGCGCTACAGTGGAATTTTCACTTCGCATATTCTCCGCGGGATCCTCTCCCTCGCGATCTATGAAAAATATATCCTGGGAGTCCCGGTCGGCATCTAGCAATCCTTCGACTTTTTCTCCAGCCTCTTTTACTCCTCTCTCCTCCTCTGCTCCGGCCTGATCCGCTTCCACCTCCACTGTGTTATTTAACCACTTTCGACATTCCGACTCCAGATCTCTCTCGCCCATCGTACTCGGTGGGTCTACGTTCGGGGCCTTTGTTATATCATGTGCATTCGGGACCTCGAGGCTCTCCTGTACCAAATCACCAGCGCTGACAAATCTTATTTCATTGTACCGTAGATTGAGGTTACTTCTTCGGCTAGTATAGCGCTCTGTATTGCGAGCCTCCTGGGCCATGGTAAGATGAACCTCATCTGGTGCTTTCCCTGGGGAACCAAGTAAGCAGTCAGCGAGATAGCTCGATATCGGGGTCATGTAGCAAGTAGCAAGGGGCTTACTAAAGCCAGCATATGGGAAGGCATTATATGCATGATTAACTCCCTGTTGATTCGCGCGGGATTGCCGTGTTGCCACGACAAAGGCAGCAGAACCCTGACTGTAGGCTCCTCCGGCTCCGGCCTTTGTCCTTTTTGGCCTGGCCATGGGCGTTGCAGGGAACAAGGAGGTACTGTGCGATCTCTTCCACGGGTGCAGCGGCGGGAGGGTGTGGTATTCTTGTCCCCGCCCGTGATGTTGACGCTGCAACAGTTGTCACATCTTCCTCGTTCTCCATTGCGGCACAAGTGCAAATCTCGACCATTCACCCTCCAGACAAACACTGCAAACAAGTTCCCCCTTCTTAGATAAGCCAGTTCCAGTGGAAATTGTAGATAGTTATTTATTGTATGGCCATTTGTTTGCCGGTATTTGATTATTCGTATTGATGCTATATGGATGCCTCTATTGGAGAGGTGTGCTCAGATATGAACCTCTCCGACCATGGCCATGGTGGTGTTGTTGCTCTTGCTTGCTTCCCAGATGTCTTGAAGCTTGGACAAGTTGTATGACTCTATGATTCAAACAAGCAACAATTTCCACTCAACCTCCACCGGGTCTATGTAGGGAATTGCTGTAATTACCTGGCTTACACAGTGTCCTTTGCATTTCTACGCTGTTTGCGTTTACATCCCCGTTGTTTTCGTTGTCTACAGCTCTAGGTCCTGGTGACGTCTTTGTCGGGTCCAGAATATATATACTAGTATATCCGCATAAATATATATATTTCTCCCGTCAGGTGCTCTATTCCCAACCTACAACCATCACTACTGATATTGACCGACTTTACCCCGTCGGTTGACGCCAACGTCCATGGGGTATCAATATACTCTAAACCGACAGCCGTCATGAATAACGTTGATATTGGAAAATACAAGAGAATCGTGCAGTACCTCTGGGATCCCGAGCCGAAGAATGACGATGAACCTGGCTCGCCCATCTGGTGCCTCGGGCGAGAGTATCAGCCACTGACTCCCCCGCAACCACAACCACCATCACCACATGTCCAGGCGGTTGATACCGGCACCAAGGACGCCGGCGATGACAAAAAGACACAGGATGAACAGAAAAATCACTTAGATCAGACCGCAAATACAAGCCCGACAAGATCATCGGATAGTGCTACAAAGCCGCAGAGGCATCTACTGCCCTTCGCAATCCACCGTGGATCAACAAGCCCTCTGGGACAGCAAGGACAGCAGCATTGGCCAGACGCTTTCCTCGATGATTTTGAATCAAAGATATGGCTTACTTATCGCTCCAACTTCCCGCTGATCCCCAAGTCCAACGACCCGAACGCTTTGTCGGCCATGACGTTGGGTGTCCGCCTCAGAAGTCAACTGGTTGATTCGCAGGGATTCACGACGGATACTGGATGGGGCTGTATGATTCGGTCAGGACAGAGTTTGCTTGCAAATGCGCTGGCAATATTATCTCTAGGTCGAGGTATGTTGTGCCCGCGAGGTCTTAGTACGCTCGCTGTATTTATGATTTGCTATACATATCTGGAGGCTAAAGGGAAACTTCCCTGCAGACTGGAGACGTGGTACCAAGATAAAGGAAGAAAGCAAGCTACTCTCGCTATTTGCCGATGATCCAAAAGCCCCCTTTTCAATACATAGATTCGTGGAACACGGAGCTTCCGCATGTGGCAAATACCCTGGGGAATGGTTTGGCCCGTCCGCAACAGCAAGATGCATACAGTAGGTGGCCTTTCCTATCCCCCTCGTTGTCATCTCGGTGACCTAAAGTATAGCCTGCAGAGCATTATCGAGCGAATGCGAACACGCTGGCCTCAATGTCTACGTCACAAGTGACGGCTCAGATGTCTACGAAGATCGATTCCGGGCAATAGCAGGTGCTGGCACGAGCACAGACGTCCACCCCACCCTAATCCTCCTGGGGATCAGGCTGGGCATCGATCGCGTTACACCCGTTTACTGGGAAGCGCTCAAGGCCGTATTGAAATATCCACAGTCCGTAGGGATAGCTGGGTAGGTGAGCCCGTGCGCCTTTCCGGCTTAACCACAATGCTCATATTATATATAAAAAATAAATTCATAGTGGCCGCCCTTCCTCCTCCCACTACTTCATCGGCGCCCAAGGCTCCCACTTCTTCTACCTGGACCCGCACCATACCCGCCCAGCCCTCGTCTACCGCGACGCGGGCGACAGACCGTACACCACTGAAGAGCTGAACACCTACCACACGCGCCGGCTGCGGCGTTTACATATCAAGGATATGGACCCCAGTATGCTGATTGGCTTCCTGATTCGTGATGAGGATGACTGGAATTCGTGGAAGAGGAGCGTGCACAATGGCGCAATGATCGGGACAGGGAAAGCTATCATACACGTGTTTGATAAGGAGAAGTCACCGTTTGGTGGGCATGGGCCGGAGAGAGAAGGGGCGGTTGATGAAGTGGAGGCGCTGGATGATGATGACGACGACGACGATGACGATGTTGATGTCGACAAATGTGACGATCACGATGCGCGTGTTGATGACGATAATGATGTGAGCATCCGCGAAGACCCCGGGGATAGCTCCAGTTTCCTACATATATCAAAATAACGCGCATGTTATGGTTCTGCTTGGGGGGTGAAGCTTTTCTCTCCATTTTGGATATCCTGGTCTTATAACCGCCATTTTCACGTCATGACTGGCATGGGCTGTCTGCAATATCATCATTGGATTTTGTACTTAGCAAATGGAATGGAAATGAGCCATTTACCAAAGTATCGTATACCGCACGAAGATCTCCTATGAACGTCTGGAAATTAAGATGCCGAAATCCCTGGTGGCTGATTTTCAAAATGTAAATAGGGCCGGGGCGATGAGAGAAATTGCGCGAGAATAAAGCACATTTATTTTGCTGCTTTAATCGAGGAAGGGCCAGTGGCCAATAATCCCATGCCGGATTGCCTTCCATATTCCAGTAATTTATTGTACATTCCATCACACCGATACGAATTGCAACCCATAAACATGCGGCATCGGCACAAAAAGAAAATTTGAACAGGAAATAAAATCAAAGCCGTCCCATGAAACGTTAAAATAAAAGAAAAACCCACTGAACACCCGTAACCACCTCACTGAGCCGCAGAAAAGACATTTGACCGTGAGGAATTAAAACGGAAAGCAAAATCATATAGTAGAAAAAGGAAAGCAAGAAAACAAAATGTCGTTTATTTGGCGGACGAGGAGTACTTGGTGACGGCCTTTGTGCCTTCAGAGACGGCATGCTTGGCAAGTTCACCTGGCAGGATGAGTCTCACGCTGTGAAAGGGTTTTTGTTAGTGATGCGATGTGCTGGATTGTGTTGCGGAACGAGCAAACTTACGAAGTCTGAATTTCTCGGGAAGAGATGGTGGATTTCTTGTTGTATGCAGCAAGCTTGGAGGCTTCAGTGGCGACACGCTCAAAGATATCTATTAGGAGAAGAATTAGTTATCGCTCCTACGGGACACGTGAATGAGGCGACATACCATTGACGAAGGAATTGAGGATGGACATGGCGCGGTTTGAGATACCAGTATCTGGGTGGACTTGCTTGAGGACTAAGGACAAAAGAGAAAAAAACGCGTTAGCACGCTTCCATCGCGTCATATAGAAAGACTTCGATTTATGGGTGAGAGAAGGAGCAGCGACAGGGAAATATATAACATACCTTTGTAGATGTAGGACGAGTAGGTCTCTTTTCTGGTCTTGGATCGCTTTTTCTTCTCGCCACCAGCAGCAGTGGTCTTCTTGCCGGCCTCCTTCTTCTCAGGAGCTTTGCCAGCTGGGCTTTGCCAGCAGTGGAGGGCTTCTTCTCAGCGGCCTTTGGTGGCATTGTGATTTGGTTGTTTGATTTTTAATTTAAAAAAATAAAAGTTGGTAGAGGCGAATGTGGATTGAGAATAAACACAAACGTGGACGTGCGGAGATGAACGACGGGGGACGGTTGTTAGCGGGATATGGAGAGGAAGAAGAAAAGAACAAGAGTCGCGACGAGGAAGCTGGCGGGGGGCGAGTACTTATAGCAGCAGCAAACAGCGCCAGTCCACCCAGCGTGATCTGAGGTGGGTGAAGGAAGCAGAATTTCGATACGGTAATAGTTTCGTATGATCCGTATGATTAAGGGGCGTGGCGGCTGTGGTTTGTATGGCCACGCGACAATACTGGGCCGTACGGGACGGTATCAGCGCCATTTACCACGCTTACCGGATCGGGCAGGACGCCATAACAAGCTGACACAGCAAATGAGAGCCTGTGATTGGATTGATCTGGCTGATCGAGCTCAGCTAAGCGAGAATCCCGTGACCCGCCTGCGTGATCTGGGTTGCGACTCCGCCCAACAAGAGCCGACGCCGTGTTTTCTTATAAACCAGTGTCTCGTCCTCCCTGCCCTTCTTTGCTCTCTTCTCTCTCCTCCTCTCTGTTTCTTCTCCACATTCCAGTTTGACTCTGCTTCTCCTCACGTCCTCTACCGCTCACGTTACTGCCACTTACGCTTCTGTATCCACCCCCTCTCTCAACCAAAACCAAAACCAAACCACTCAAAATGACTGGAGGCAAATCAGGAGGAAAGGCCAGCGGCAAGACTTCGCAATCGTATGTGACATCCATTCTCGGATTTTGCGGGATACAAACATAACATCCTTATTCCATTGTATGAATCTAATCTAACTCGTCGAATTCCAGCCGCTCTTCCAAGGCCGGTTTAGCTTTCCCAGTCGGTCGTGTCCACCGTCTGTTGCGCAAAGGAAACTACGCACAGCGCGTTGGTGCTGGTTAGTCGCCCCCTTTATGGGTTCTGTCATTTATGCTATATTGTGAAATTAACACGTTGGTGGCAGGTGCTCCCGTCTATCTCGCTGCTGTCCTTGAGTACCTGGCTGCTGAAATCCTCGAATTGGCTGGTAACGCCGCCCGTGACAACAAGAAGACGCGTATCATCCCCCGTCATCTCCAGCTCGCCATACGCAACGATGAGGAATTGAACAAACTCCTTGGCCATGTCACCATCGCCCAGGGTGGTGTCCTGCCCAACATTCACCAGAATCTGCTCCCCAAGAAGACCCCCAAGTCAGGAAAGAACCCTAGCTCCAGTCTTGAACTTTAAGCAGATTTTCTTATCTTTTGTTTTCCATCGATTAATTTCCCCCTCCACCTCATGTCTTTTCGAGTTTTCTACTTGTTCTTGTTCTTCGGCGCAGTATGGGTTTTCTGACGTGATCATGGGATTCTGGTTGGGCAAAGTTTTTATGGCTCCTGTTTGTTTTTACTGGTGTACATTACGTCTCGACGGCAAATCGGTGCGGATGGGGGTATTTAAAGCGGCGCATCGCCCACGAAAGCATATTTTGACGCGTGCTGGCGATCTTGCGTTTTTATAGCTTGATTCTTCAAAAAATGAAGAGTGATTATTCTATTTCCAACTTGTTCTCCCCCCCATTTCTTTCATTAACGTGTGTGAGTGAAGCATTTGCCCGCATTTTTATCAGTGATTCAGAATTGAAGAACAAAATCCGCGTTTCTCCCAGCTGCTATATCTAATAAGGACGCGTCAGGAAACCCACTGGCTTGGCTTTCGTTGATATCGCTCCGGGATCAACCACGCCTTGCAAGTTTTTATGGAACGCGAGTTGACAAAACATGAGGATGCGGGTTTCTCCAACCCTTGGAACTTCCAAGGTTGAATGTTGGGGGTGGGGGTTTGTGATGCATGGTTGGTCACAAATCCAACAAAGGAAGTGCAATTGAGACTGCTATGTACATTAGGACTGAAATGGAATATACAGGTCTGATTTGCATGTAAAATCTTTTCTTAGAGGCTTATCAATGAGCAATCAGAGTCAGCACTCATATCTGTGCGGTGGACATTATTAGCTTGAGACAAAAGCAATCAGTGACTGAGAGATAATTTATTGGAAAAGAAAACCCAAAGGAAACATTTAGTTATATACATAGAAAGGACTTATACTGAGGATGTCTCTTCCTTTCTCTATAGCAAAAAATACTCAACCCAGTGTTACACATACACACATAAACAAAATCACTGAAGGTTCTATTCCTTTTCAAGTCTGATCACTTCCTGCTCATCTGCTTTCTGCCTCTGTGCTTTTTCCTGGTTAAGTCTTGAAGTTTCTCTAATTCGCTGTTCCTCTTCCTCCATTATTTCATGTTGTGCTTTGCCCACTATTTAAAACCTCAGTTAGTATGATTCGGTTGTAGAGTAGATACACGTATTTCCACGTACATGGTAGAATTGGTAATTCGGAATTTCGCTCGTATTTGCTCCCTACGCAACGAAGTGTTAGTGACGTGTTAAAAAAAAGGAAGCAAAAACTACGCGGTGCAATTGATTCATCCATCAAAGGGGAAAATGCATACCGCCTGGTGCCGTCGGGGCTCTATACGGATCAGGATGTTTCCACTCTATCAGCAACTTCTCGGTCTCGCGGAATAAAACCTAATGAATGCGTCAATTATAACCCCAAGCCCACATATACATATATACATCAATTATGGTTGAACAGTGTAGTGTCGTACTTTCTGTTGTCGAGGCTCCCTCACATGTCTATTTGCATCAAAGAGCGAACGGATATAGACAGCCTGGCCACGCCATAGATGACGATGGACGGCCCAATCGAGGGCAAGCTTGAGGGACCGTCGGTAGAGAGACCTGTTCAAATACAGATTGGAGGTGGGTGCGATTAGTAGATGTAGAATAGATGGAAACGAAGTGCAATGGTGATCTGGCGGAATTTTGAGGGTAGCTTACAAGGCTGTTGGGTTGGGCGTCATAGTGGTAGACGAAGAAGAATTGATCCCAAGTGGCCCCAACCCAGTGGGTAGTTAATTGATTATTGAATATCCGTCGAGCGAGCCAGTGGCAAGGCAAAGGAGAGGGCGTTGTCTGGCTGTCGCTGGTTGTCAAAGCAGCCGGTTGGGTGTGATGCTTGGGCCGGGGACGCGGGAGGGAAGATGTTCCTGTTCCGCAGCCATGCTGGCTTCAAGCAGCAACAAGAATAAGAACAAGAACAAGAATTTGGACCGAGCACTACTATGTTGACATCTCTCGTTGCGTGACAACACACTCTCTGTTGATATTGACCTTTGCTTAGTACTATCTCTCTGTCGTTTTCTTCCGGCCTTGTTAAATCACAACCATCCTCTATCCTAATTCTCAGCCTCGTGACTGATAACCGCTTAACCCGATGGCTCCACGACTACAGCTCCCGCGAGAAATGTCGAAACATTTGCGACTTGTCCCTCGACATGTTTATACCAGCTCAATCTCTTGCAGAGCTGTGTCTTCTCTAAGCCGGGTGTCTCGATCCAATGGCAGCCTGAGAACTGCACACACCACTCTTCTGAATTCGTCGGTTCCATTGAGGTATATATCCCCACTCCGTCACAGATTCTTGATTCTGATCGGTCATTTATTATGTAGACAATCTGTAGCCCTGTCGAATAATCCGCTGTTTATGGGCAGCCAGCGACGAACTTATGGTTGATATGCTCGCCCCCTTGTCAACTTTTAATTGCCTTGCAACGTTTCTAATGAGTCTGGTAGCGGATTCGATCGTAAAGGTACCGCCGATGGCCGAGTCGATATCAGAAGGGACATTAAAACAGTTTTCTAAAAGTGAGATATTACCTTCCTCAGGCCTTCTCCACTTTCCTGGATCATATTACGTGCCCATTGATGGAATCTTGCTAAACAAGAATATAGAGGTTGGCGAATATGTTGAGCGAGACGAGGAACTTGCAACCATCGAAACAGATAAGGTAATATTTTATCACGCTTCCCCCGAACTGCATTTTATCCTCTCCCTTCCCTCCCTCTCCACACCCCCCCCCCCCCCAAAAAAAAAAAAAAAGAAAGAAAGAAAGAAAAAAGACACTTACTCTCGCACGTTTTTGTTTCAGATCGATATCACCGTCAATGCTCCAGAGGCAGGTACGATCAAGGAACTTTTTGTAAATGAGGAGGACACTGTTACCGTTGGTCAAGATCTCGTCAGGCTGGAGACAGGGGGCCCCGCTCCCGAGAAGTCCAAAGAAGAAAAAGAGCCTGTGAAAGCGGAAGAAAAGCCAGCAGCCAAAACAGAATCTGCTCCCCCGCCACCGTCATCACCTCCGAAGGAAGAAGCAAAGGCCGCTACCCCTCCACCAAAGTCGGAGCCAACTGTCCAGAAATCCTCCCCATCCAAACCGGAGCCGGCCCAAGCGTCGCAATCAGCCCTTGGGAATAGGGAAGAACGCAGAGTACTGCTCCCTCCACTGAAGAAAAAGCTCTTTCGGCTGACAAACTATCTAGGTAAAAATGAACCGTATGCGATTGCGAATTGCGGAGCGCCTGAAGCAGTCCCAAAATACAGCGGCATCGCTCACTACATTCAACGAGGTCGACATGTCATCTCTCATGGAATTCCGTAAACTATACAAGGACGATATTTTGAAGAAAACTGGTGTAAAATTGGGCTTTATGAGCGCGTTCTCTCGTGCCTGCGTTTTGGCTATGAGAGATATTCCAACCGTCAATGCGTCTATTGAAGGGCCCAATGGCGGAGATACAATCGTCTATAGAGACTACGTCGATATCAGCGTGGCGGTAGCGACGGAGAAGGGTCTGGTCACGCCGGTCGTACGAAACGCTGAGTCTATGGAACTCATTGGGATTGAGAAGGCGATCGCGGAATTAGGTAAAAAGGTATGCTTGTGTGATGTGGTTCCATACTACCTCTCTCTTTAGAATTATAGACAAGCTCATTGATATTTGATTTTGAAAGGCACGTGATAATAAATTGACCATTGAGGATATGGCCGGCGGCACGTTCACCATTAGCAATGTAAGGGTCTCTAAACTCCATTCAGCGGTCGCGTTTTTATTAATATCCGTTCCAGGGAGGCGTTTTTGGATCTCTGATGGGTACCCCGATTATCAACCTTCCACAAACAGGTGAGCAGCGCTCTTTCATCCGACGAGTGTGTGCATATTATGGTCGTATCATACTTACGTGACTCCTGTAGCTGTGCTCGGCCTTCATGCGATCAAGGATAAGCCAGTCGTCGTCAATGGAAAAATTGAGATCAGGCCTGTAAGTGTTTTCTCGTGTGATAACTCACATTTTTCATATGCATCTAACTAATATCTATTTTAGATGATGTATCTCGCATTGACCTACGATCACCGCCTTCTGGATGGTCGGGAAGCCGTCACGTTCTTGGTTAAGGTCCGTCTTGTTTTGTCCCATCATGAGGACTGTGGTGATTTACTAACCCTAACCCCTTCGATAGATTAAGGAGTATATCGAAGATCCGAGGCGAATGCTTCTGGCATAGTTGCCTTCCCGCTGCACTCTAACTCCTGTCATGCCAGGTCTCCGAGCCAGAAAATATATGTATATCACGGTATTTTTCCTTTCTAGCGCTACGTTAACTGGACAGGTGTGAATAGATTTTCCGACTGTCATTTTGATTCACTTTTTCCTACCTTCTTTCCGTACTAGGGAGGGAGAACTAAAATCATTGTCTCTTGACCTTTTTTTTATTCTGGCGATAATTTGTATATAGATGAAGTTGTTTACTACAAATAACCTCCGGGCACTTTCCTTTGTGGCAATCATCAGAAGGTATATCTTCACCTTTTGCTTTCCGGTTATATCCTGCTAGAATTGGTGATGTTGTGTATAACATTCGTGTTGCCTGTTGTTTACATCTGTAGGCCACGTCTTGTTTACTTACTGCAAGGTACGCAAATATGAGGTCATTCGCGCGGTTTTGTCAGAACATAACGAATATGTTCTATCTGATGGTCGCCCTGCATATCTTGCCTATATGTCCTCCTTCAAAGGTTAAATAAGAATCAAAAATATTCTTTGGTTATCAAAAAATAAAAGCCTATCACAATCAGTATAAACTTGGGTCTTTCTACTATATAAACACTATCTTAAAGCACTTGAAGTTAGTTATATGTATATATATATATATATATATAACCAAATAATTTGATGGGATGACCAGTCAAATGAAGCACGACACACTTTACACATTTCTAAAGGGTCTCAGCTCATTACCCATCAATCCTTCCTGCATTCAGAATAGACTGGCTGTGTGACCATGCATGGGACTGGGACCAAATTTTTCCTCAGTTCCATTATTAGATATCTTAGTCCTGGTCCCATATAGTGTTTAGTAAATTAGTCACTTTACACTGTTTATATTATAAATCTAGTCCCAGATCATGTTTTACTAATAAATTAGTGGTCCCAGTCCCATTTGGTCCCATTTTACAAAATGGGACCAAATGGGACCATGATTTACCCTATATAGGTTGGCAGCGATAGATTAGCAGTGGTAGGTAGGTTGGCAGCGGTAGGTAGGTTGGCAGTGGTAGATAGGTTGGCAGCGGTAGGTAGGTTGGCAGCGATAGATTAGCAGTGATAGCGATAGATTAGCAGTGATAGATAGATTAGCAGCAATAGATTAGCAGCGATAGATTAGCAGCAATAGATTAGCAGCGATAGATTAGCAGCAATAGATTAGCAGCGATAGATTAGCAGCAATAGATTAGCAGCAATAGATTAGCAGCGATAGATTAGCAGCAATAGATTAGCAGCGATAGGTAGGTTGGCAGCGGCATAGATTAGCAGTGGTAGGTAGGTTGGCAGCGGCATAGATTAGCAGTGGTAGGTAGATTGGCAGTGGTAGATAGAGGATCTAATAGCGAGCCATCAGGGCATTGAGCACTAAGCAAGATAGGGGTAATATCTCCACCAATCATATCATCAGATTGATGTATTATATAATCATCAGAATGGGACCAAACTTGAGTCAAAATCATGATCAGTCCCAGATCATGTTCTTATTTTTGATAGTCAGTCACTTGACATGGAATATCAAGATTTTTTAGTCCCATTTCACTCATGTTTTGATAATTCTAGTCACTTTACACTCCCATTCTGATCCTGGTCCCACTAAAATAATGCCAAGAAATGGACTGGGATCAAACCAAATCAAACCAAATGTGAAATTCATGGTCCCACCAGCCAGTCTAATTCAGAACCCGATTTTGCTGACAGGCTTCAATTGCCCACCCGACCTCACATAATAAGTTACAGAAACACAGCTTAGTTATGACACTATGTATAAAATCAATCATAATCAATTAATATTCTACAGTTTTATGCTACAATCGCAATTGATTTTCAATTAACTAACAATTAATTAATTAATACATCATTTATTTGAACTTTTAAAAAAGGAATTATAAAAATTACATTACCACACTCTTGCTAGTGATTTTCTGTATTTTGTGAGGTCAGGCGTGGGTACAGGCCACAATTTGAGCTTGGTAGAAAATGCGAGGTTAGGTTATCTGATTTTTCATATACACTCAAATAAACAAACCAAAAAAAAAAAGAAAACATACAAAGGCCCGGATTCGCTGGTGGTCACCCACCCAACTACTAATAGGCCAGCGAGTGGCTTGAACGCGCTCGATACCTCAGGCGCCGTTCGGGCGGGTTAGCGCGTGATGCTGCCTTTTGCCCTTTAGTGAATCTAGAGATGGTGTTGAAGCAAGTGATAGTACGGAGGGCGCTATCAAAAGAATTGCGCTGCTCAGATTCAATTTATACAACTAAGAAGTGCCACAACATTTTAATGAGTAATTACATTTAGCTTCAAATGACCTCATATTCTATTTATATGAGAATGCTATGTATTCTGAATTGATTCCTCTTTTTTCTCAAATATCTCATCTCTAATATTTCATCTGCTGATTCATATGGCATTCAATACTGATATTATCATAAGAGCTCTTGTGGTGGCTCTTAAATCACTCTATTTTGACAAGTCAAATACTGAAATCACAGAAATCACTCAGATCTCAAAGAGTCAAATCAATTATATATATAAATATACAATTGAACACAGATTTGATTCTGAACTGTCTCATATTATACTTTATAATGAATGACTTTGAGATGTCTTCAAATCTGACTGATCAACTTAGAGAAATGATAGTATTAAAAATACTATTCTTGCAAAGATTTAATATAATCAATTTGAATAAGAAAAAACATATACTGATTTTATCAATGAATTTAGTAATGAAGAAATTAAGATATCTTTTATAACTATATAAAAGATTCTTTGCAAAGCAGATCTGTGAAAAACAAAGTCTATACAGAAGTCAGAATTTATTAAGAAAATACAACTAGATTGACTTCAATTCTATCTGAAGTATAAAGATTGAATTTTAAAGAATTGAAAGAATGTTATCTGATCAGATGAAACCTCTATTATTCTTTTTTATCAATGAAATAAATATAGAATATAATGTGTATATAATAAATATGTTACTGATTAAGCAGATATTATCAATATTGCAGATTAAATCATTTATATCATCTACACAGTTTATATAATCTATTTCAACAGCACTATCAATAAACTTAACACTATTTTAATAACAGTTTATAAATTGATTAAGAAAAGAAAGAGAAAGAAAATCAGAGAAAGAGATTATATAAGAGAGTTCTTATAGATAAGAGAATTAAAATAGAAAAAATATCAGAGATTATACTCTGAAAAAGTATAGAGTGAAAGAATTATTAGAGTATTAAAATATATATAATTATAAAATAGAATTGTAAGAAGATATAAGAGAACTTTATAAGTATATATAAATATATAAATATACAGTAGAGGATTGATTATATAAGTTAACTGCTAACAGATGCTAATTTATTATATTATCTTTTTTTACTGAAATAAATAAGAATTTATAAATATCAAATACAGCAGTGTTCTTTATAATAGATATAGATTTTCAGATTAAATAATTATATTTTATTTATTTAATAAAATATTCACAGCAGTAACAATTAATTCTGTTGTTGAGAATTACTTTAATTTCTTATTCAAATTCATTGTCTTTTTTTATAATAATAAATAATTATCAGTCAAAAATTTTCTGTAAGAAGAATAAATTCTTAATTATAAATTAAAATAAATTTATATAAAAAATATTATAAATATTAGATAAAATATTCAGTTAATAGTTGTAAATATCTAATACTTCTACTACTATATATTTAATATAATAATAGTTCAGTATATATAAGAAATGATCTATTCTTATATTTCTGAGATCTAGTCAAATCTTATCTTTTATATTATATTAGATTACAGAATTTTTTCTAATATTTATTTAATTTTTATAATTCTGCTGAGTATTAATCATCAAAGCTTTAGTTTATTTACAGATTTTCTTAAATTTACTGACTATATTCTCTATTATTTATACAGAACTGTGAATATATATAATCTTTCAGAAAATCTCAGAGAAGTTCAGAATTTCTAAATTATAATTATATAGAAAAAAGAATAAATTTATATCTATTGTAGTAGAATTTCAGTTATTTATAGTAATTTCAGTATACAGCAGTAGATTACTTCAGTTATTTTATATATAATTATAGAATTTTCAAAAAATATTTTTAATTATTTATATTATTCTTTCAGTAGCTTCATCAGTTTCTGAGTAATATACTATTAATAACTTTTATTTAATTTTTAGTAGCTGATATATATAGATTCAGAGTATACTGATAAATTAACTACTTCTGTTTAATACAATAAATAAAAATAAATTATATATATAATAGAATAAGTTTCTGATAAAAATATTTATAATAATCTCAGTATTTATTTTATTGCAGAGCTGTAGTATTATATTTTTATTAAATCAATTAATAATAATCAGAATGTTTATAAAATTTCTATTTTTGAGTAAGAAAACTATAAAATCAATAGTTATATTATATTATATTCATTCAGAGATGAGTAGCAGCTTTAGTATTTCTTTTTAATATTTATATTATACTGTCACTGAGCCACAGTGATCACAATTATATATAAACTAATATATATTTTTTGATATATTCAGTCAGTAGAATTCTCAGACAATGATACTGTATATAATTTTATACTCTGAATATTCAGTTATTGATGAGTTATAAATTTTTTATATAATTTATATTTATAGAGATTCTGAATCAGAGACTTATTATCTATCTCAAAAGTATAGACAGTTATTATCATTAATCAAGTATGCTGAGATATTTATTCTTGAATATATATCTGTAGAAAATCAGAGTATTTTACTTTATACAACTTTTATAGTCTATTATCAGAATTTATTTATCTCTACTGCTTGTTTTTATTACTCTTTAAGCAAAGATTTCTGAGCTCAGAATAGATTAATATATATATAGAAGCTATCTAATTATATAAAACTTTTTATAATTATAGATAGACTGATTGTATAATTATATATAAAACTGAGATCAAATTTTTCCTCAATTCTATTATTAGATATCTTAGTTCTGATTTTATATAGTGTTTAGCAAATTAGTCACTTTATACTGTTTATATTATAAATCTAGTTTCAGATTATATTTTACTAATAAATTAGTGATTCTGATTTCATTTGATTTCATTTTACAAAATGAAATCAAATGAAATTATAATTTACTCTATATAGATTGGCAGTGGTAGATAGATTAACAGTGATAGATAAATTGACAGTGATAAATAGATTAATAGTAATAGATTAATAGTAATAGATTAGTAGTGATAGATTAGCAGCAATAGATTAGCAGCAATAGATAGATTGATAGCAGTAGATAGATTGATAGCAGTAGATAAATTGACAGCAATAGATTAGCAGTGATAGATTAGCAGTGATAGATAAATTGACAGTGGTAGATAGATTGACAGCAGTAGATAAATTGATAGTAATAGATTAATAGTAATAGATTAACAGTAATAAATTAGCAGTGATAGATAAATTGACAGCAGTAGATAGATTAATAGTAGT